TCAGGTACTGTATAAGCTGAACATTAAAATGGTATAAGCTACGTTCTCACTCACACACAAAAATATATACACAGAGTTTCAAATGTCAGTAATTTATAAATCGTTATCCAGTTTTGAAATACATCTTGTTCTTAAAGAAGCATTGCTGGCCACCACCTTTCTTCTTCAATTAGGCCAACGTTGTTTTTCTTATAAAAATGAATCGAACTTTGAATTTACCACTGAACACAAACCAGACATGTAATTAGTGAGATTGCTAGATGAGTTGAGGTCTATGTATTGACATTTTCCAAGTGATTTAACTACTTTACGTTGTATTGTGTTGACAGGAGCGCAGGCGCAGTGTGACAACGTTGAGATTATTAACGAGTGGGATGGTAACTACCAGGCTGACTTCAATGCACCAGCCCCCATAGACATCGAAGACCTTACTGTGGAGATGACCTTCAGTAGACCAGTCGACGAGATTGAGGTAAGTTCTCTGCTCACCTAACATCACGGTCTACCATCACCAGAAATTAAGTACTGTAAACAAAGACTAGAACTATTGTCTGATTCTTTTCGGTTATCCTAGATAATTTACACAGATGTTACTATGTATGATAATTTGTGTGTGTGTGTATCTGTTTCTAAGTAAACTTACTCTCTGTCTTAGCTTACCTATTGTATAGAGTTCAATACACATTGTGAGGCGTATATTATTTGACGATACATGTCACAGGCAATATGGCGCCACATTCAGATACCGCCTCCTGTTTTCCATCATATTATCATGATACTGACAGTTGTATTATATATCTGGACCATTCCAGATGTATATCTTCTTCACTTATCTTATAGTAAAGCAATTATTCCAATACTATTTCCATCGGGAGCGATTACACACGATTACTATCATGAACTGCTCACTGGTCCAATATTCACGGTACGCCATCTTTGATGCTTCTTCCAAAACCTTTATCTTATACACATATTTTCATTTAAATTTAGTGATATATTTAGGTGTGTGATACATTTTTCTTTTCCGAATATTATTTTTTTTCTTAATATTACACCAATTACACTTAATTTCTCACAGTATATAGGAAAATTATAGTGATTTATCACCTTTTAAAAGTCACACCAATATTTTACCCACCTGCACTACTATATATAAACATTATCCCTATCAACATTATCCCTATAGACATTATCCCTATCAACAATATCCCTATCAACATTATCCCTATCAACATTATCCTTATCAACATTATCCCTATAAACATTATCCCTATCAACATTATCTCTATTAACATTATCCCTATCAACATTATCCCTATAAACATTATCCCTATCAACATTATCCCTATTAACATTATCCCTATCAATATTATCCTTATAAACATTATCCCTATCAACATTATCCCTATAAGCATTATCCCTATAAACATTTTCCCTATAAATTATTACACAGAAGTTACAGGGAAATTATCATAATTTTCTGCAGTTATGTAAATTTAGACATTTGTGTCATTTCATGTGTGTAAATTGGTAAAATTTGATATCGAAGTTCTAACTTCTTTTTTGTAAACCAAGTTTAAATTTTTAACAATATTTATCTTTTGCACTTGACACCGACTTGGAACTTTGTTGTCTTGCAAAACTTTTTTTTGAGAATAAACAAGTGATTTATAAGTATATTTTTATTTTTTAGTGGATTAAAAACAAGACTATGGCTACTGAAGGGATTTCATTAAGAAGACGTTTCGCACACCAGTGACTTTAATCAATGTTTCGATCAAGCCCCTGGTGGCCAAATGGCCTTAGTAAATATTATGTCTTATTAACGTACTTCCCCTTCTAAAATTACATTGTTACACATTGGAAAAACTGTAAAACTGTATTTGACACAGTTTTTGACTTTGGTTCTCACAGAACTACTCAGGAAACGTTACTAAGATTGATGATTATCACTTCGTCTTCACCTTCCCGGGAGTCAACCTCAATGCCGGGGATAACATCATGTACAGATTCCGTGTGATGTACCCCTACATCCTGCCTCTGGTTGTCAGTGAGGTGGTGAACGGCGTGGAGATCTGTGGTAAGTGATGCTGTTGTTAGTGATCTGTGGTGAGTGATGCTGTTGTTGATCTGTGGTGAGTGCTGCTGTTGTTGATCTGTGGTGAGTGATGCTGTTGTTGATCTGTGGTGAGTGATGCTGTTGTTGATCTGTGGTGAGTGATGCTGTTGTTGATCTGTGGTGAGTGATGCTGTTGTTGATTTGTGGTGAGTGTGATGCTGCTGTTCTGTGGTAATGATGCTGTTGTTAGTGTCTGTGGTGAGTGATGCTGTTGTTGATCTGTGGTGAGTGATGCTGCTGTTCTGTGGTAAGTGATGCTGTTGTTAGTGATCTGTGGTGAGTGATGCTGTTGTTGATCTGTGGTGAGTGATGCTGCTGTTCTGTGGTAAGTGATGCTGTTGTTAGTGGTTGATGTTGCCAGTGGTGTGTGTTGTTGATGGGTGATGATGATGTTGAAGACACTGATGTAGGATGTTCTTGCTATTGTTTTTACTGTTGTAGTTAATGTTGGTGATAATATATTATTATTATATTCATAAGGTACCACTAAACTCAGAATACAATATACCTACAACTCTTGCTGTATACATTGTATATTGTGATGTAAATGGTTTAGAAAATCGACAAGTTGAAGAATGAGACACTTGTGAAACATTTGGGATCTTTACTGAGGAAACGTTTCGCCAGCCACTGGCTTCTGTGTTGGACTGAAGAAGCCACTGGTTGACGAAACGTTTCTTCAATAATGATTCTCAAACGTTGCTCAATTGTCTCATTCTTCACATTGTATATTATACAATATACAATGTGAAGAATGCTTAGTCTTTGCATTAACAACAGTTCCCGCTATTATTCATTTAATTTTTAAATTAATTCAGCTTACCAGTTTTCCCATCTACACTAAGCAGCAATTTTACCATCTTTATCTTCATCTTACCCACGTTTACATCTTTCTCACATGTCATGGTTCTGGCAATGCTGCAGCAGAAGTGTTTACCAGTTGTATGTCTCCCAGTATTTATACACAGAGACTTTTACTTTAATCTCTATTAAAGTGATCATTATTCTTGACTGGTGTTGAACAGGTAACATGCAGTCTTGATGGTCCTTTGAGCAGTCAATCGGTTCAAAACTACCTCAAATTTATTGTGTTTTCAGATGCAGCTATCGTCACTCCTTCTCCCATGGAGAATCCATGTGCTGAGACTGGTATGCAACCATATGACTACAGCCAGGTCAGTAAATTTTTATCAATAATCCGGTCAAAGATCTTAGAATAAGGTCAGGTGATTAAGTCTTTCAGTACAACAGAGTCGGTGGTTTTCGGACTGCAGTTACGACAGTGAATTTCACTGTAGCTAAAGTTAATGAGTCTTTTTACAGTCAAGTCACTGAGGTTTCACTACTGCCAAGTCATTGAGGTTTTCACTATAATCAGGTAAATTAGTCACTGTTTTTTTTTTAAATTCTACCGCATTAAACCAATGATTATTTATTTTATAAATATTCTATAAACAACACAAAACAACTACAAGACACCTGGCAAAATTCTGAAGCATTTTCTTAAGTTCAATAGATTTTCTTTCTGTATGTTTTATTTCTGACGTTTTCCCTCTTATTTACTTTCAGTTCTCTTCTCATATAAGAATATAAGAAAGAAAGAGCACTGCAGTAGGCCTTCTGGCCCATGCTAGGCAGGTCCAAGTCACCTACTGGTCCAGGCTAGTCAGGTCCAATTCACACCCACTCATGTATTTGTCTAACCTAATTCTAAAACTACACAGCGTTTTAGCTTTAATGACGCCCCTCGGGAGTCTGTTCCACTCATTCACAACTCTATTACCAAACCATATAGTTTCTCTGCATGCTCCTTTTCATCCCTAACTTCTCCAGGTCCCACCTACCTAGCTTTGGTTTCTTTTCCATCATTCTTTGTTCCTATGCCTTGCCTTAGGTCTCTCCTTGATCCTCAGGTACTGTGCATGTCGTACTTGTTCTACGAGGCCCAGCGGTCAGGTCCTCTGCCAGCTGATCAACGAGTCACTTGGCGATTCGACTCAGCTCTAGATGACGGTTCTGATGTTGGTCACGACCTTACTGGAGGCTACTATGATGGTGAGACGAGAGAGGGAGACACAAGACAAAGATTTAATTCCACATGATGCAATGTTTGTACAGAGATAGGTAACATTTGGGTGTTCATGCAGGAAGCCCCTAGTTTTGCAGAGCATAGGGAAAGAGAGGGAGATGGAGAACAAGCTTAGATAAATGTACTACACTTGGGTATCTTTATTGTTGAGACATTTCGCCCACCAGTGGCTTTATCCAAAACAGAGAATAATCACTGTTGGAAGATGTGAAGTCATGTTTTGAGGTGTTCAATCCCTTAGTCTTGATTACTTTTAATAGTTTTTAATTATTAAATTCATGTAAATGCGCGGTGGCCCAGTGGTCTGGTGGCTTAAGCTCTCGCTTCACACACGGAGGACCTGGGTTCGATTCCCGGCGGGTGGAAACATATCGACGAGTTTCTTTACACCTGTTGTCATGTTCACCTAACAGCAGATAGGTACCTGGGTGTTAGTCGACTGGTGTGGGTCGCATCCGGGGGACAAGATTGAGGACCAGAATGGAAATAAGAGAGTCCTCGATGACGCACTGATTTGCTTGGGTTATTCTGGGTGGCTAACCCTCAAGGGTTAAAAATCCGAACGAAATCTTATCTTATCTTAGACTTAGATAATGGTAAATTATAGGAGCCGAAACATGTTTTCACCGACAAAAGAACACAGATGCACCTAATGTAACGGCTTGATAAAGCTCCTGGAGAGCGAAACGTTGCCACAATATCACATTATTTGCACTTGTGGCCTTTTACCTAACAAGTTTCTCACGTAACATTAACAGTAACAAAAATCTCACATTTATTTATTGTTTACAGCTGGTGACCACGTCAAGTTTGGGTTCCCGATGGCTTTCACGGCCACTATGCTGGCTTGGGGACTCATAGACTTCGCTGAAGGACACGAAATTGCTGGTGAGTTGAACTGCGTGTTTAATGTCCCTAATGAATATCAGTGATAGAATATACCAATAACAATATTAAAAAAAAATACATGTGGTTTATGGTATTTTGTTGCGAAGATGTTTCGCCCACAGTGATGAACTGATGAAGTCCCTGGTGGATGTCTTTTTAACTAAATTACGTAAACTGTACAGTACCAGATTTACATGCATATAAGGCGCACAAGTGTCACAAGCAGTTGTAACGTAGCGTTAGTAAACAACTGCTAAAGCAGACCCTGAGCTGCTTTGGGGATTAGCGTGGACGGTTACAAAGCATGGCTTGCTTCTGCAGTGTTTTAAAAATTGAGGTTGGAGAGTTGAAGGAGGACGTCTTGCTTCTCCAGGAGGAGATTAGGAGGCTGAAGGTCCACCTCAGTGGGTCTGGGAGAGAGTGTGAGGTGGCTGGAGTTGTGGGGAATGAGGCTTCTAGCAGTGAGGTGCAGTCTGTCTCTCGCTGTGAGGAGGCTGTAGGTGGGGAGGTAGCAACGGCTACCAGCAGTGAGGTGCAGTCCACACCTGCTACAAGTGGCGAGTGGTAACCAGTAATGGGAGGAGAATCAGAATAAGGAAAGTTAAGAGTGAAAATCTGAAGGTAGGAAATCGCCCTTTTTCTGTTCTTCAGGATGAATGTACTTCAGTGGCCAGTTTAAGGTAAGGTACTACTGCCCCTGCTAACAGAGGTAAGTGATTCTTGTGGTTGGTGACTCTCAGGTAAGATATATTGACCGTGCTTTTTGTAATAGGTATAAATGAGAGATAGAGTGTGCTTCCCTGGAGCTGGTGTTGGGGACATAGTTAACAGGCTGGATAATTTCATGTCAGGTAATGGGAACAAGCCCATTATTTGTCTCATTGCTGGTGGAAATGATATTGGAAGGGTAGGAGAGAAAGCTGCTAGGAAAGTACAGGTCAGCTATAGATTTCATTAAGTCTAAGGGGGGGGTCCCAATCATATGTAGCATCTTGCCTAGAAGGGGGGTAAAGGGAAAAGAATGGTTGTCTGGGCAATTGGTGTAAATTGCTGGCTAGACAGATACTGCAAGGAACTTTCAATCCCATTCATTGACAACTGGAAAACTTTTATGGCAAACATGATATGTATGCAAGGGATGGGTACATCTCTCTGGGGCTGGGGTGGTAGCACTTGCAAACTCAATTGAGAAGGCCATTGGTGAATGCCTATGATTTTAAACTGATAGAAGATAGAGGTATGGGTGTGTGTGGGAAACAAGCCCGGTTGCAACACTAGGGTTTGGAATCATAAATGTATGAAAGGCATTCAGCATGAAGTTTTTAAATAAAGACAATAGATCAGGTCAGCAAACAAAGGGGGACAGCAGAGGACAGCAAGGGACAAACTCCCTTAAGGTTTACTATTACTAATAGCAAAGGGGTGTAAGAAATAAGATAGATGAGCTAAGATTAATTGCAAGTGCAGGAAACATAGTATTATTGCTATAACAGAGACCTGGCCTCAATCTGAAAGATAGAGAGAATGCCCTCTGAATGTCACATACAAGGCTATAAATTATTTTCCCCACTGACAGGGTCAACAGGAAGGGTGGTGGAGTAGCGATGTATGTCAGAGACAATTTAAATTGTTGTGTTAGACAAGATATAAAAGTGAAGCGTCACCACCTGAATCTGTTTGGTTACAGCTTCTCGAAAGGGTGAGAAAAACTAATTTTGGGTGTGATTTACAGGGCCCCAAATCTTGAAAGGGAGCAGTAAACTTCTATGGGACGAAATTCGTAAAGGGATCTACATACGAAAATGTTGTGGTAATGGGAGATTTCAACTATAGACAGATTGACTGGAGCAATTTGACATGAAATTTAGAGTCAGGTGACCTTCTTGATACGATCCAGGATTGTTTTTTAAAACAGTTTGTGACAGAGCCAACTAGAGGAAATAACCTCCTTGACTTGGTTCTTGCCAGTAGGGAAACACTAATTAATAATCTTGAGGTTAATGATGAGCTTGGGGAAAGTGATCACAAATCACTCAGTTTTAATATATCATGGAATTCCCCTAATAATGGCAATCAAGTCTCCGTCCCTGACTTTCGCTTGGCTGATTTCATAGGACTGAAAAATTACTTAGGTGGGCTGAACTGGAATGACCTGACTAAGGGTCAAGTAGGTGGTGATGGGTGCCGATATGATGCTTTCCAGGGCATAGTTCTAGCTGCTCAGTCAAATTATGTTCCAAATAGGGAAATCAGATCAAACAAAAATGATCCTAAATGGATGAACAATAGATTAAAATATCTGATTGGTCAAAAGAGTGGCATATATAGGCAAATCAAAAGAGGAGAGGGGCAATTAAGAAATCGATATGTTCAGTTAAAGAGAGAAATAAAAAAGGGAATTAGAAAAGCAAAAAGATATTATGAGGTTAAATTTGTAAGAGAATCGAAGACTAACCCAAAAGGATTCTTTCAGGTATACAGAAGTAAGATCAGGGACAAGATAGGCCCACTCAAAAGTTCCTCATGTCAGCTCACTGACAGTGATAAGGAAATGTGTAGAATTTTTAACACATACTTCCTCTCAGTTTTTACACAGGAGGATACCAGCGATATTCCAGTAATGATAAATTATGTAGAACAGGACGATAATAAACTGTGCACGATTAGGGTCACAAGTGACATGGTCCTTAGGGAAATAGATAAATTAAAACCTAACAAATCCCCAGGCCCTGATGAACTGTATGCAAGGGTTCTAAAGGAATGTAAAGAGGAGCTTAGCACACCTTTGGCTAATCTTTTCAACATATCACTACAAACTGGCATGGTGCCAGATAAGTGGAAAATGGCAAATGTGATACCTATTTTCAAAGCAGGTGACGGGTCCTTAGCTTCGAACTATAGACCAATAAGCCTAACCTCCATAGTGGGAAAATTTATGGAATCAATAATTGCCGAGGCAGTTCGTAGCCACCTTGAAAAGCATAAATTAATCAACGAATCTCAGCATGGTTTTACAAAGGGGCGTTCCTGCGTTACGAATTTATTAACTTTTTTCACTAAGGTATTTGAGGAGGTAGATCATGGTAATGAATATGATATTGTGTATATGGACTTCAGTAAGGCTTTTGACAGGGTCCCACATCAGAGACTATTGAGGAAAATTAAGGCACATGGAATAGGAGGAGAAATTTTTTCCTGGATAGAGGCATGGTTGACAAATAGGCAGCAGAGAGTTTGCATAAATGGGGAGAAATCAGAGTGGGGAAGCGTCACGAGCGGTGTTCCACAGGGGTCAGTGTTGGGCCCCCTGCTGTTCACAATCTACATAAACGACATAGATGAGGGCATAAAGAGCGACATCGGCAAGTTTGCCGATGACACCAAAATAGGCCGTCGAATTCATTCTGACGAGAACATTCGAGCACTCCAGGAAGATTTGAATAGACTGATGCAGTGGTCGGAGAAGTGGCAGATGCAGTTTAATATAGACAAATGCAAAGTTCTAAATGTTGGACAGGACAATAACCATGCCACATATAAACTAAATAATGTAGATCTTAATATTACGGATTGCGAAAAAGATTTAGGAGTTCTGGTTAGCAGTAATCTGAAACCAAGACAACAGTGCATAAGTGTTCGCAATAAAGCTAATAGAATCCTTGGCTTCATATCAAGAAGCATAAATAATAGGAGTCCTCAGGTTGTTCTTCAACTCTATACATCCTTGGTTAGGCCTCATTTAGATTATGCTGCACAGTTTTGGTCACCGTCTTACAGAATGGATATAAATTCTCTGGAAAATGTACAAAGGAGGATGACAAAGTTGATCCCATGTATCAGAAACCTTCCCTATGAGGATAGACTAAGGGCCCTGAATCTGCACTCTCTAGAAAGACGTAGAATTAGGGAGGATATGATTGAGGTGTATAAATGGAAGACAGGAATAAATAAAGGGGATGTAAATAGTGTGCTGAAAATATCTAGCCTAGACAGGACTCGCAGCAATGGTTTTAAGTTGGAAAAATTCAAATTCAGGAAGGATATGGGAAAGTACTGGTTTGGTAATATAGTTGTGGATGAGTGGAACAAACTTCCGAGTACAGTTATAGAGGCCAGAACGTTGTGTAGCTTTAAAAATAGGTTGGATAAATACATGAGTGGATGTGGGTGGGTGTGAGTTGGACCTGATAGCTTGCGCTACCAGGTCGGTTGCCGTGTTCCTCCCTTAAGTCAATGTGACCTGACCTGACTAGGTTGGGTGCATTGGCTTAAGCCGGTAGGAGACTTGGACCTGCCTCGCATGGGCCAGTTGGCCTTCTGCAGTGTTCCTTCGTTCTTATGTTCTTATGTTCTTATGTAACACAAAGCCTACCCTTGACCCTGACCTTGAGCATATAAGGCGCAGGCTGATTTTCTAAGAATTTGTGGGGAAAAGTGCGTCTTATATGCCGGAAAATGCGGTACGTCTCTAATATTTGCAGCCGGAGACAGCGGTTATACTCGTTCACAATTACAATACCCATATAGAAGATCTTGTAGTGAAAAATTATCATGAGCTTCATGACCCGTATGGGTCATGCAATTTTAGGCATTCCTTATCAGTAAAGTAGATAAGGTAATGTAAAGTATATCGTTATGACCTTCCAGTACTCTGCCTGGCCCGAAACCATCATTATTATTATTATTATTATTATTATTATTATTATTATTATTATTATTATTATTATCCTAACTGGAACAGTACACAAATACCCTGCACATAGGAGAAAGAATCTTATGTGGTGGTTATCTGCATATTATTCTAATTATTATTATTACTAATTATGATATTCAAAGGAAAGCTGTAAACACACAGAGGTCTTACTCCTCCCGGAGTACAGAACGTGCTCATGTTTTGTGTTTACCCCGGCAGGTCAGACTGAGTACGGTCGCGCAGCAGTCAAGTGGGCCACAGACTACTTCCTGAAAGCTTACACAGCCAAGAATGAGTTCTACGGTCAGGTCAGCATCCCTTCTGCTGCAGTTTACAAACTTTTTATGTACAGACAGTTAAGAGAGAATTAAAAGCAGGAAGACGTGAGATTTGTTGATATTTGGTGAAATTTTGGTAATGGTTACCTTAAAGCGTTTTGGAAATATGTGAATAAATGCAGAATTAAAAGCAGGAAGACGTGAGATTTGTTGATATTTGGTGAAATTTTGGTAATGGTTACCTTAAAGCGTTTTGGAAATATGTGAATAAATGCTAAAACATTGTTAGAATGCACTTCGGTCCGGGAAACGTTTCCAAGAACCGAAACGTTTTCTAATATGTCATAATGTCTGCTCACGTATCTTCTCAAAACATATATGCTTTAATGCAGTATATAAAATACACAGGAGTAAGTATCGAAGTAGAGAAGAAATGAAGCACAGCAGAGCATCAAAAAGATAAAAGACTTACTGAAAATAACAAGTGCAAATTAATAGAAACAATGCATGCAGTATCAAAAAGTTTAAAGATTAATACACGATCCGCACATAGAAACTTATGACGACGTTTCGCTCTTACTTGGACCAATAACTACTTCATGGCATCTTAGTTGATGAAAGTTTTGGGACTCATTTCAGGTGGGCAAAGGAGACGTCGACCATGCCTATTGGGGTCGCCCTGAGGAGATGACCATGGAGAGACCTTCCTATAAAATCGACGAGGCAAACCCAGGTTAGTAAGTCGTGGCAATGTTTATGTTATGTAGAGTTTGTAAGAGTTCCTTTGTGCATGTATTAATAATTCTTCAGGGTGTGAATGAGAATTTCTTTGAATGTGATTTAAGAATTCGTAAGAGCGGGAATTAAGAATTCCTTAGGTGTGATTTAGGAATTCCTTAGAGCGGGTTCACCTGACATTATTTTCAAAATACCAAGTTCACAACATTTTGCTACAAATCAGGGATATTAATGTTATAAGTAAATCTCTGAAGCCACAGAGGCAACCAGGCACTGTAGTACCTCTTCCAACAGCATCAATGAACTAACCATTCAAGGTAAGGTAGCATTTGTTTATATGCCTCACGCAGTGTTTTTGACTGTGTCTACCGGACTTAATTTTAGAGGTGAGGGAGTAATATGCCTGCACTCTGAAAGACTGTGTAGGGATGTTGCTGTTCAGACGTTCATCTGGGATGCAACGGCTGTGCACTTCTGTGCAAAGACAGTTGTTGATACATAAGACATGTGCAACATTTGGGCATTATAGATACCCAACTGTTACACGTGTGTCTTGTCAACTTGTCTGTATTTTATCCCATTTCAACAATTTGTTCTTGTACAGGCTATGAAGACACCAAACAGCATACTTCTTTAATATAGCAACATTTCGGTCAAAAGTCTGTAATCATGACTTGAAAACAGATAAAAATGCTGTATGAAACATTGTTTCACTAATTATATTTTAGACCTGAGATTCTGAGACTAAAATCATCTCTTTCAGGAAGTGAGTTGGCTGGAGAGACAGCGGCCGCCTTGGCAGCAGCATCCATAGTCTTCAAGGTAATTTCTCAACCAATCTTCGGTTTTCCAACTGATTCTTCTGTGGGAGTCTTGTTTTTGGAATGCTAAACACAGGCAAGTCCTTTAGTGCAAGGAGTGGTGGAGGTTCGATCCTCCGTCCATCAACTGTGGTCACTGATCAGTTAGACTGTTGGTAATGATTTCCATGTTTGTTACTGTGTGCTTTCTCATGTTTTTTCCTGTTTTTTTTTGTACTGCTGCTGTCGTTGTTGTCTTTACATTATTTCTGTAGTCTTACCTCCAGTAATATGTTGTTTTAAGTCCAGTAATATGTTGTCTTACCTCCAGTGATATGTTGTCTTACCTCCAGTAATGTGTTGTCTTACCTCCAGTAATATGTTGTCTTACCTCTAGTAATATGTTGTCTTACCTCCAGTAATGTGTTGTCTTACCTACAGTAACATGTTGTCTTACCTCCAGTAATGTGTTGTCTTACCTCCAGTAATGTGTTGTCTTGCCTCCAGTAATATGTTGTCTTGCCTCCAGTAATATGTTGTCTTACCTCCAGTAATATGTTGTCTTACCTCCAGTAATATGTTGTCTTACCTCCAGTAATATGTTGTCTTACCTCCAGTAATATGTTGTCTTACCTCTAGTAATATGTTGTCTTACCTCAAGTAATGTGTTGTCTTACCTACAGTAATATGTTGTCTTACCTCCAGTAATATGTTGTCTTACCTCCAGTAATATGTTGTCTTACCTCCAGTCTTTGAGTTGTTTTCTTAGCTTTATAAAATCACGCTAAAACAGTTTGATCTGAGGAAGAGGAATATTCAGTTCCTTGGATCAAGAGCATTTAACAAGCATCAAGACACCTTGAACGGGTTTTCTCTGTTGCTCCCGTTTTTATACAACTTGTGCTGCTAATGGCGATAATTACTTCTGTTACATTTCGTTTTAACAACGTGATTTTTATCCGTTTATTTGTCTGATTTCTGTTATCTTGTCTGTTGATTCTTAAATATAAACTCATGTGGTTTCAGATATATTTTTATCCTAAAGTCGATGTGAAGTTATATATGTCGTGCCGAATAGTTAAACTTGCAATTTTGGTTTAAATAGCAGCGCTCTTCTTGCCGAATAAGGCAAGTGAAAATCTGTGTATGCAGTAATTTCACAAAAATCATTCTGAACCTAATGAAAAAAATATATTTCATTGTGTTTATTATCATTGTAAACTTATCTAAAATATATTTAGTTGGATTAGGATAACTTAAGTTGTACTTGTTATAATAAGGTCAGGTAAGTTTTCTAAGGTTCTTTTGGTACAAAATTATTAATTTTTACATTAACATTAATGAAAAGAAATACATTTTTAAACGTATAAGAGAAATTTTTAGAAAAGACTTAATTTTAAATGAATTCTTGATAATTGACCAGTTTTATCTAATCGGCATGACATATACCAGAGTAAAAATAAGAAATAAAACCTAAGCGCTCAGGTTTTATTTCCTATATATTCACTATGGTTTATTTACATATTTGCTACCACGCGTTTTGCTGTGATTTCTTTCCTCTCAACAATTCTTCTCTGTTTTTATATTGTGATAAATCCACCCGGTCCTCAGGAGGCGGACCCGTCGTACTCAGAGACGTTGCTGGCCACGGCCAAGGAACTGTACGACTTCGCAAACAACTTCCGACAGAACTATGACGTCTCTATCGAAGACGCTTACTACTACTACCAGTACGTATTCCACTCATGACATAAGTGTTATAAATGTGTGTGTGTGTGTGTGTGTGTGTGTGTACTCACCTATTTATGGTTGCAGGGGTCAAGTCATAGCTCCTGGCCCCTAATCTTCACTGATCGCTACTAGGTCCTCTCTCCGTGTGTGTGTGTGTCTGTCTGTCTGTGTGTCTGATAAGCCGAAATAGTTAATTAGGCCCTAAAAACTGAACTTTTCTAGACCAAAAGATATATTTTTTTATTGAAAGTGATGTAAAAATTTAAGTTTTGTACCAAACCTGACTTTCGAGAACTCTCCTCACCTGTTATAAACGTTATTTATTTTAGCCAAATTCTACAAAACGTAAATCAGTTAAAATTAATTTAATATTCCATTAAAATCAATGTGTATATTTTTCATTACATTCACACTAATTTTCGCGGATTTATTGTATAAATAAATTGACACTCTGTGTAGTCAAGAAATGACAGTTGATTTCAGCAAGCATGACTAAACGTCAACCATCTCTATTGATGAACATTAAAATGGTATAAAATACCAACAGATTGTTAGGTAAGACACATATGCAACAGTTAGGTATCTTTATTTCGAAACGTTTCGCCTACACAGTAGGCTTCTTCAGTCGAGTACAGAAAAGTTGATAGAAGCAGAAGAGACTTGAAGACGATGTAATCAGTCCATCACCCTTAAAGTTTTGAGGTGGTCAGTCCCTCAGTCTGGAGAAGAGCATTGTTCCAAAGTTTGAAACAATATGATATTGTTTCAAACTTTGGAACAATGCTCTTCTCCAGACTGAGGGACTGACCACCTCAAAACTTTAAGGGTGATGGACTGATTACATTGTCTTCAAGTCTCTTCTGCTTCTATCAACTTTTCTGTACTCGACTGAAGAAGCCTACTGTGTAGGCGAAACGTTTCGAAATAAAGATACCTAACTGTTGCATATGTGTCTTACCTAACATCTCTATTGATGTACTAGTTACATTGACTCCGGGTTGAGGGACTGGTTACCTCAAACTCCTTCTGATCCTCACCATTCTTCTTTGTACTGGACTGATGAAGCCACTGTGTGGCGAAACATTTCCACAATAAAGAAATTATCACCCATCTCTGTACAAACATTGTATCAAGCTGAAATATGAAAAGAAAGGACAAGAATGTAAGTAATCCTGGTATCTCTTCAGCTCATTTAGCGGCTACGGTGATGAGCTTGGCTGGGCGGCGCTGTGGCTGGCCAGGGCCACGGGAGACGACGCGTATCTCACCCTCGCTAGAGAACACTGGGACGAGTTCCAGCTTGGAGGCTACGGTGGCTCCATCGGCTGGGACGACAAGCGAGGCGGCGTTGATGTAAGTTCCCTTCACAGACTCTTCATTTAAGAGATACCTAGCAATATAACCTAGCGGTGAGAGCTGCGGCTCTCACCGCCTTGATCAGGCGATCAAATCCTCCCCAACTTGGAAAGTATATTAAGAGGTGATAAGTAACACATATTTGCAACAACTGGGTATCAACAATAAAGATACTTAAGTGTTGCACATGTGTCTTACTTATCAGCTTCTCGGTATTTTATACCATTTTTAATATGGCCAAGAGTCATGACATTACACCTACTTTACCCTTCCCTGAGATACACCTGATTATCTCCCATTTCCCAGGCGCTGCCCCATGAATATAATAATAATAATAATAATAATAATAATAATAATAATAATAATAATAATAATATTAAAATAAAAATAACAATAAATAATAATAATAATAATAATAATAATACAGTAATAATAATTATTTTTTATTATTTTTATTATCACACTGGCTGATTCCCACCAAGGCAGGGTGGCCCGAAAAAGAAAAACTTTCACCATCATTCACTCCATCACTGTCTTGCCAGAAGGGCGCTTTACACTACAGTTTTTAAACTGCAACATTAACACCCCTCCTTCAGAGTGCAGGCACTGTACTTCCCATCTCCAGGACTCAAGTCCGGCCTGCCGGTTTCCCTGAACCCCTTCATAAATGTTACTTTGCTCACACTCCAACAGCACGTCAAGTATTAAAAACCATTCGTCTCCATTCACTCCTATCAAACACGCTCACGCATGCCTGCTGGAAGTCCAAGCCCCTCGCACACAAAACCTCCTTTACCCCCTCCCTCCAACCTTTCCTAGGCCGACCTCTACCCCGCCTTCCTTCCACTACAGACTGATACACTCTTGAAGTCACTCTGTTTCGCTCCATTCTCTCTACATGTCCGAACCACCTCAACAACCCTTCTGCAGCCCTCTGGACAACAGTTTTGGTAATCCCGCACCTCCTAACTTCCAAACTACGAATTCTCTGCATTATATTCACACCACACATTGCCCTCAGACATGACATCTCCACTGCCTCCAGCCTTCTCCTCGCTGCAACATTCATCACCCATGCTTCACACCCATATAAGAGCGTGGTAAAAACTATACTCTCATACATTCCCCTCTTTGCTCCAAGGACAAAGTTCTTTGTCTCCACAGACTCCTAGTGCACCACTCACCCATTTCCCCTCATCAATTCTATGATTCACCTCATCTTTTCATAGACCCATCCGCTGACACGTCCACTCCCAAATATCTGAAATACATTCACCTCCTCCATACTCTCTCCCTCCAATCTGATATCCAATCTTTCATCACCTAATCTTTTGATATCCTCATAACCTTACTCTTTCCTGTATTCACTTTCAATTTTCTTCTTTTGCACACCCTACCAAATTCATCCACCAATCTCTGCAACTTCTCTTCAGAATCTCCCAAGAGCACAGTGTCTCAGCAAAGAGCAACTGTGACAACTTCCACTTTATGTGTGATTCTTTATCTTTTAAACTCCACGCCTCTTGCCAAGACCCTCAATTTACTTCTCTTACAACCCCATCTATAAATATATTAAACAACCACGGTGACATCACACATCCTTGTCTAAGGCCTACTTTTACTGGGAAAAAATTTTCCCCTCTTTCCTACATACTCTAACTTGGGCCTCACTATCCTCGTAAAAAACTCTTCACTGCTTTCAGTAACTACCTCCAACACCATACACCTGCAACATCTGCCAATTTGCCCCCCTATCCACCCTGTCATACGCCTTTTCCAAATCCTAAATGCCACAAAGACCTCTTTAGCCTTATCTAAATACTGTTCACTTATTGTTTCACTGTAAAAACCTGGTCCCACACCCCTACCTTTCCTAAGCCTCCTTGTTCATCTGCTATCCTATTCTCCATCTTACTCTTAATTCTTCAATAATAACTCTACCATACACTTTACCAGGTATACTCAAACAGACTTATCCCCCCATAATTTTTGCACTCTCTTTTGTCCCCTTTGCCTTTATGCAAAGGAACTATGCATGCTCTCTGCCAATCCCTAGGTACCTTACCCTCTTCCATACATTTATTAAATAATTGCACCAACCACTCCAAAACTATAAACCACCTGCTTTTAACATTTCTATCTTTATCCCATCAATCCCCGGCTGCCTTACCCCCTTTCATTTTACCTACTGCCTCACGAACTTCCCCCACCAAATCACAACTGGCTCTTCCTCACTCCTACAAGATGTTATTCCTCCTTGCCCTATACACGAAATCACAGCTTCCTTCTTCAAACAACATTTAAAATTCCTCAAAATATTCCCCCCATCTTCCCCAAAACCCCTAACTCTCCATTTAATAACTCTCCTCTCCTATTTTTAACTGACAAAAACCATTTGTTCTCTAGGCTTCCTTAATTGTTAATCTCACTCCAAAACTTTTTCTTATTTTCAACAAAATTTGTTTATAACAAACTCACCACTCTTCATTTGCTCTCTTTTTACATTGCTTCACCACCTCTTAACCTCTCTCTTTTTCTCATATACTCTTCCCTCCTTGCATCACTTCCACTTTGTAAAAAAATTCTCATATGCTAACTTTTTCTCCCTTACTACTCTCTTTACATCATCGTTCCACCAATCGCTCCTCTTCCCTCCCGCACCCACTTTCCCGTAACCACAAACTTCTGCTGAACACTCTAACACTACATTTTTAAACCTACCCTATACCTCTTCGACCCCATTTCCTATGCTCTCATTAGCCCATCTATCTCCAATAGCTGTTTATATCTTACCCTAACTGCCTCCTCTTTTAGTTTATAAACCTTCACCTCTCTCTTCCCTGATGCTTCTATTCTCCTTGTATCCATCTACCTTTTACTCTCAGTGTAGCTACAACTAGAAAGTGATCTGATATATCTGTGGCCTCTCTGTAAACATGTACATCCTGAAGTCTACTCAACAGTCTTTTATCTACCAATACATAATCCAACAAACTACTGTCATTTCGCCCTACATCAAATCTTGTATACTTATTTACCCTCTTTTTCTTAAAATATGTATTACCTATAACTAAACCCCTTTCTATACAAAGTTCAGTCAAAGGGCTCCCATTATCATTTACACCTGGCACCCCAAACTTACCTACCACACCCTCTCTAAAAGTTTCTCCTACTTTAGCATTCAGATCCCCTACCACAATTACTCTCTCACTTGGTTCAAAGGCTCCTATACATTCACTTAACATCTCCCAAAATCTCTCTCTCTCTTCTACATTCCTCTTTTCTCCAGGTGCATACACGCTTATTATGACCCACTTTTCGCATCCAACATTTACTTTAATCCACATAATTCTTGAATTTACACATTCATATTCTCTTTTCTCCTTCCATAACTGATCCGTCAACATTAATTAATAATAGTATAATAATTAATTAATAATAGTATAAATTATATTATGGATCAACAGAAAGGCTCTCCCCCATAAACATACTATTATTATTCCCACTTAAATTTAAGTAAACAAGGTGTTTTACGAAATTCCTCTCTATATAGCATTAATTTTTTTTTGTATTCGTTATAAGTATAACCAACATTGAACAGCGGCTGGATAGGCCTTCATACTGTCCACTGTCGAATTTTGGATGGACTTTTCATTGGCCATTTAAAAAATACCTAAATAAAGGAGCTTCATAAGATAGCTTAATATATTCTATAATTTTAGACTTCCTACAAAAATTTGTATAATAAACACACGTCTGGTAGAATTATTATTACTGTATATTCATTGGGAAACGCTAAACCTGTATGAAAGAAATGGTTTAGACATGTGAACAAACATTAGGGCATATTAGAAAACGTTTCAGTCCTGGGACCTTGATCATTTCTTATCAAGGTCCCAGGACCTTGATTCTAATGTTTACGCAGGTAACTTTCTAAACTTCCTCAGTTTGTATTAACAAAGTTGATGCCATGAGAGAGCTAAATCTGTATGGGAAAGCACTAAATCTGGAGAATAAAAGATAATTTGATTTGATCGAAAGATGGAAAGAGCAGCTCCAGTTTCTTGAATCAAGAACTCTTCATCAGCATTGAGGGACTTCCTGTGAAGGGAGTCGGGACATAAATTGTTGTACAGTCTTAAATTTGGGAAATATTACTACTACTACTACTACTACTACTACTACTACTCATTAGAATACAAGAAAGTAGGAGCACTGAAGTAGGCTTACTGGCCCATACTAGGCAAGTCTTTCTCAAACTCACTAACAAAAATACTTGCCCACTCCATTTTCAGTGCCTCGTTTTCCTTGCAGTCACTCTTCTACCTACTGACTGGCGAATCCCAGTATTCTGATCTTGTCAACCAACACCTGGACTGGTTGAGGAACGATGCCCCATACACCCCAGAGGGTCTGGTCTTCCTGAACGCCTGGGGTTCTAACAGAGATGCTGCCAACGCCATTTTCCTCGCACTCTGGGTCAGTTCTGATGTAGATGACTTAGAAAGCTGACAAGTTGATGACCGAGAGACTTACATAACATTTAGGTATCTTCATAAATAGTTCCAAATGTTGCATAAATGTCTTAGTCTTCAACTTGTCTGTTTTGAAAACTATTTTCATCACAACTTTAACATCAATAAAAGCGAACACATGTAGGAATAATTTCCTTCATGTTGGAAATAAATTACCAGTACTAAAGATATAATATTTAAGCGACTCATTCTTGACTTGGGATCTACAGTGGATGATCAATATTTTAATGAATGATATGTAAGAAAAACAAGTTACCAAGGTTTTCTTTATGAGTTGCCAAATAGACTAGTAAGACACATTTGTTACAGTTGGACATGTATATTTGTAACCTCTGAATACGACTGAAGAAGCCTGCAGATCAGGTGAACTAATCGTGGAACGGTTGGAGTTTGAAATCATAGCAAGTGAGTCCTAAAACTCAAAGATCAGTGGTCACAGTTGTGGCCCATGCTAACCTCCCTATGGCGTATAGAAATATACGTAGCTGGATGAATCTTAGAGCCACCTGGTCCAGTGGTTAGCACACTGGTCTGTAAATTTCAGGACTCACTTGTTATGCGTTTAAACCCCACCCATTTCATGATTTGTTTGCAGTCATGTTATTTAGATATCGTGAGTTAGGTTAGCTGTTTCAACATGGCTGGGACACATACATCTTACTCGTGTACAAGAGAGTGGAAGACTGCTTTTATTATTTCTGCAAAAGACTGGAAATCAACAGTCGTCTCTTGAATGCAGTAAATAATAATTATTTAACATAACAGGGAGCTAAGAATGGACTCAACACAGAGCTGAACCAGGAGTGGGCCAGGGGTCAGATGGGTCAGCTGCTTGGAGACAACCCACGCTACCAGTCCTTCGTGGTGGGCTTCGGTGTTAACCCACCTCAGAAACCTCACCATCGTTCCAGGTAAACATTAGAAATATTGGACCACATTATGATGATGAAAGTTTTTCTTTTTCGGGTCACACTGCCTTGGTGGGAGACGGCCGATATGTTAATAAAATAATAAAAAAAAACTCTGGTTTACTACTAGAGTATATAGTTCAGTGGTTGACTTCTAGGCGAGGCTAGGCACTTGTAATGCACTGGCCGTAAGTTTTAGGACTCGCTTGCAGTGGGTTCAAACCTCACCCGTTCCCTGGTTAGACATGGATACATAAGGAGAACTACAGTACGCCTGCTGGCTCATGATAGACAGGTCAAACTACCACCTCTCTAACATATTAATAAAACCATCCAAGGTAAATACATATCTTCACCGCTGCCCCTCGTTCTTGGCAGTAATTTGATACCTGGATGTTGATCGACTGTTTCGAGGGGTGGTTGAGTGCTGTATATTAGGGTGGTTGAGTGCTATATATTAGGGTGATTGTGTACTATATATTAGGGTGATTGAGTACTATATATTAGAGTGATTGTGTACTATATGTTAGGGTGGTTGTGTACTATATATTAGGGTGATTGAGTACTATATATTAGGGTGATTGTGTTTATATATGGTTAGGGTGGTTGTGTACTATATGTTAGGGTGGTTGTGCACTATATATTAGGGTGGTTGATTACTATTATTAGGGTGGTTGAGTACTATATATTAGGGTGGTTATGCACTATATATTAGGGTGGTTAAGTACTATATATTAGGGTGATTGTGTACTATATATTAGGGTGGTTGAGTACTATATATTAGGGTGATTGTGTACTATATGTTAGGGTGGTTGTGCACTATATATTAGGGTGGTTGAGTACTATTATTAGGGTGGTTGAGTACTATATATTAGGGTGGTTATGCACTATATATTAGGGTGGTTAAGTACTATATGTTTAGGGTGGTTGTGCGCTATATATTAGGGTGGTTGAGTACTATATATTAGGGTGATTTTTGTACTATATGTTAGGGTGGTTGTGCACTATATATTAGGGTGGTTGAGTACAAATATATTAGGGTGATTGTGTACTATATGTTAGGGTGGTTGTGCACTATATATTAGGGTGGTTGAGTACTATATATTAGGGTGATTGTGTACTATATGTTAGGGTGGTTGTGCACTATATATTAGGGTGGTTGAGTACTATATATTAGGGTGATTGTGTACTATATATTAGGGTGGTTGTGTACTATATGTTAGGGTGGTTGTGCACTATATATTAGGGTGGTTGAGTACTATATATTAGGGTGGTTGTGTACTATATATTAGGGTGGTTGTGTACTATATGTTAGGGTGGTTGTGCACTATATATTAGGGCAGTTAAGTACTATATATTAGGGTGGTTGAGTACTATATATTAGGGTGGTTGTGTACTATATATAATGTCTGGATTTAAAAATGAACAGAGGTTGAAAAACAACTTTTGTCCTGTAAATTTGACTGCATAAAAATATAGATCAACACTTCAGAAATGTAGATAAACACTGGAGGAAATGTTAATAGTTTTAATGTAATCTTTATTATGTTTCAGTTTCTAATACCATTTACTGACAACTCATAATAACTGAGAAAGTTTTACATGAATGAACTGACAGAAGAATGGAAGGGGATTCGAATCGTGGTCCTGGTAGTAGCAGGGCCAATGTTACTTTGCTTCCTACTGCCATGGATACCTGGAGTCTACCTGGAGGTTTTTTCGGGGGTCAACACCCCCGCATCCAGGCCCATGACCAGGCCTCACAGATAGTTTATATTTTTACTAGATCTTAGCAGTTGATAAATTTAATAGCTATAAATGCTTAACCAATTATGTTTCACATAATGTGAAGCATTAGCATACGCACTAAGTGTACATTATTTATCTTCCTCAGTTCGTGTCCGAGTCTTCCTGAGGACTGTACCGGCGCCTTTAACAATCCAGGACCAAATCCTCAGCCTCTCTACGGTGCTCTGGTCGGTGGCCCAGATGAGGTGAGCTGTAGCATCACTTGTGATGAGGGACTCCTCAGTCAGCAGTCTTGGCAGCTTTCTTGTGTCCAGTTACGAGATGTACACTTTGGAAGTATATACGTACTTCTGCATTTAAATAATAAGTCACAATACCGTGACTGGAACAATACACAAATAACCCACACACAAAGACTTTTGACGACATTTCGGTCCTACGTGGACAATTGACTAGTCACATGTGTGACTAGTTAATGGCCCATGTCAGACTGAAACGTCACCCTTAGTTTCCTTTCCCTATGTGTGGGTTATGTGTGTGTGTTCTGCATTTAAAAAGTCAAAAATGAAAAGGGAGTAATTTCAGTAAATTTAGAGTTATGAGTTACTTTCACTACCAGTTCGTGGAACTTCAAGCATGAAGACTTAGAGTTGAGGACACAAGAAAGACAACAAATGATACTGAATACCATATACCAACAGATTATATAATTACCGTCGAAATGTTAGGTAAATTGACACAGATGCAACTAGTGTAACATTATATTGTGGCAACGTTTCGCTCTCCAGGAGCTTTGTCGAGCCGTCAAGGCTTGACAAAGCTCCTGGAGAGCGAAACGTTGCCAGAACAAAATATCGCATTAGTTGCACTTGTGTCAATTTATCTAACACTTAATGATCTGATATATTCACATGCTTTTAATAGTGACTATTCAGAATATGCTTTAAGAGACCTTTGTATGTAAATGGTCGTCCCTGGCCTTTAAAGCTTATTTGTAATGATTTTTTGACTCTCGAAGTGCCAGCTTCACCCAGGATTTATATGTAATGTTAGTCGTTCATATTCCAAATTCATCTCCAAGTAATTTTATCCTGGAGTGCATTTCCTTGCTCACTATACTTTAAGAACATAAGTTTTGCTTACATAGTAGGATTCTTCAGTCGTGTACAGAGGCAGCAGAAGCAGTTGAGATGTCAACATGATGTAACCAGTCCATCACCCTTGAAGACGTTGTTTTTGAAGATGATGGACTGATTACATCGTCTTGACATCTCTAATACTACCGCTGCCTCCTCTGTACCTGACTGAAGAATCCTGCTGTGTAGGTGAAACGTTTCGGAATAAAGATACCTAACTGTTGCTCATAAGAATATAAGAATGGAGGAACACTGCAATGGGTCTACTGGCCCATATAAGGCAGTAACCAGCCACAGTTCATCTATCATAATCTTTCTTACCCTAGGATGGTAGTTATAACGATGACCGCGGGGACTACCAGCACAACGAGGTGGCCTGTGACTACAACGCTGGCTTCACTGGGTCTCTGGCTGCTCTGGTGGAGATCAGTAGCTAAGTGGAAATGCTTGGAAGCTGCATTAATTTCCACCACTGAAACAATCCCATCATATTCCAGAAGCTTGTGTGTTTAATAACATTTGTGCAACATCTGGATATCTTGTAGCATCCACTGGATGGTGGAGCATCTGCAAGTAAACCCAGATGTTCTACAGGTGTCTTATTTATCTTGTCAGTGTTGAATACCACAGATAAACAGTTTCTCTGTTACTTAAATATTTACCAATAGATTATAACCCATATTCAAACCAGCCGTCATCTGATACCCATTAATACAACCTGATCTACTTCACCTTTACTATATATCACCTGTGAAGGTCACTGTATAAAACCCATGGAAAAAATCACAATAAAATGCGTGATTGCAAATAGGTTAAAATACCAGTGAAAATAAGAAATAAAACCTGAGCGCTTTCGTGTGCTTACCCACACATCGTCCCCTGAAGATGTGTTTATGCACATGAAAGCCCTCAGGTTTCATTTCCTATTTTTACTGTGCTATTTTTTTTTACACATTAAACCCATATTGCAGATTAATATGTGTTAGACTGAAGAAGTCACTCCTGGGTAAATATTTCCTTTAATAAACATTCTAAATTCTGCACGAGTCTCTTTATTACGACCTTATTATTCCTAAAGTTCCACAAGTCTCCAAGATACATCAACATTAGCAAGTTACTAGTTATTTTTTATCACGAGTTCACCCCAGCTAGGTGGGTGGAGGGTTAATTCAAGGTTGTGTTCTTGTGAAAAATCCCCCACATAATTTCTACGGAGTTAAACAGGACAACAAATTCTTTAACTATATCTTGAGCAAATCTCAATTGGTTAAGGGATATAAAACTGTGAATGCGGGTTTTCCCAAAGAGAACGAACTGAATAAATACACGAGGCTATATATCACACCTCCTGTTCTTCACCATTCACCTTTGTATGGACTGATGAAGCCACTGTGTGGCGAAACGTTTCCTCATTAAAGATATCCAAGTGTTGCATATGTGTCTAATTTATCAAAAAAAAAATTCTGAGACAAAGCTCCTGGTGAGCGAAATGTAGCAGTACTAGACGTCTTGTAAGTTGACTATTGATCAGTGGCGTTAAGCTCCGAAGTCTGGACATTGTTCCAGACTATGAAGCTCATTTCTTCTCCAAACTGAGGGACTGACCACCTCAAGAACTCTTTACCTCGCCACTATTACTGCTGTTTCCATGTTCATTCTCTTCTGTATTTAACTAAAGAAACCCCATGTAGACTAAACGTTTTAAAAAATAAAGGTACCCAGCTTTTGCATTCGTTTCTTGCTCGCCTACTTTCAGTTTTTACCTGGAGTTTACCTGGAGAGGGTTTCGGGGGTCGACACCCCTGCGGCTCGGTCTGAGATCAGGCCTCATGGTGGATCAGGGTCTGATCAACCAGGCTGTTACTGCTGGCCGCACGCAAGCTGACGTAAGAACCACAGCCCGGTTGGTCAGGTACTGACTTTAGGTGCCCGTCCAGTGCCTTCTTGAAGACAGCCAGGGGGTCTATTGGTAATCCCTCTTATGTATGCTGGGAGGCAATTGAAAAGTCTTGGGCCCCGGACACTTATTGTGTTGTCTCTCAGTGTATACCATTGTATACCAGGTCATAACAAGTGTCAATAAACATTAGAATGGCTAGGGACTCGAACTGTGGCCTTGGCGTTGAGCCTGCTGTATGCCAGGACCACTGTTCGAATCCCCGTTCATTCTGTTTATACACAGAGTATCTGAATCAACATTTCTGTGATGAAAAATTAATTATACACACTAAGAAGGGCCAAATTATACACACTGGGCAGTGCAAAATTATACACACTGGGCAGTGCAAAATTATACACACTGGGCAGTGCCAGAACATTATATCAAAGCACCTGAGAAATGGGATGGAACCATGCTTGATCCGAGGAAAGGAAAGAGAAGCTTCAATTCCATGAATCAAGAGCTTTACCCTTAAAGAATCAGGGAACAGAATACTCTAAAATTCAGTGGAAGAAGCCTGTTGAAGTCTTCTTACCTACTTCAGTTTCCAATCGTATCTTCCTTCAAAAAGAGTCTTGAGGCTTGTGAAGCTCTCTTGATCCAAGGAATTGGAGCTATCTTTCCCTTCCACTCACCAAACTCAGTTATCCACCCCCTAGCTGCATGACTCCTGTGGGTTTAGCGATTTAACAGAAATATTAATAATGATTAGGTCGTAGTTTAGATTCGTCTTCAAATGCTGAGTAGAAAGAACTGGTGGATCCAGCCAGGTCACTGACTGGTTACTGCAGCCAGGTCATTCAATGGTTACAGCAGCCAGGTCACTGATTACAGCAGCCAGGTCACTGGTTACTACAGCCAGGTCACTTGTTACAGCAGCCAGGTCACTGATTACAACAGCCAGGTCTCTGACTGGTTACTGCAGCCAGATCACTGACTGATTACAGCAGCCAGGTCACTGAATGATTGCAGCAGCCAGGCCACTGACTGATTATAGCAGCCAGGTCACTGACTGGTTACTGCAGCCAGGTCATTCACTGGTTACCCCAGCCAGGTTATTCACTGGTTACCCCAGCCAGGTCATTCACTGGTTACCCCAGTCAGGTCATTCACTGGTTACCCCAGTCAGGTCGTTCACTGGTTACCCCAGCCAGGTCATTCACTGGTTACCCCAGCCAGGTCATTCACTGGTTACCCCAGCCAGGTCATTCACTGGTTACCACAGCCAGGTCATTCACTGGTTACCCCAGCCAGGTCATTCACTGGTTACCCCAGCCAGGCATTCTCTGGTTACTGCAGCCAGGTCGTTCTTTGGTTACTGCAGCCAGGTCCTTCTTTGGTTACTGCAGCCAGGTCGTTCTCTGGTTACTGCAGTCAGGTCATTCTCTGGTTACTGCAGCCAGGTCGTTCTCTGGTTACTGCAGTCAGGTCATTCTCTGATTACTGCAGCCAGGTCTTTCTCTGGTTACTGCAGCCAGGTCGTTCTCGGGTTACTGCAGCCAGGTCGTTCTCTGGTTACTGCGGCCATGTCGTTCTTTGGTTACTGCAGCCAGGTCGTTCTCTGGTTACTGCAATCAGGTCTTTCTCTGGTTACTGCAGCCAGGTCGTTCTCTGGTCACAGCAGCCAGGTCGTTCTCTGGTTACTGCAGCCATGTTATTCACTGGTTACTGCAGTCAGGTCATTCTCTGGTTACTGCAGCCAGGTCGTTCTCGGGTTACTGCAGTCAGGTCATTCTCTGGTTACTGCAACCAGGTCATTCTCTGGTTACTGCAGCCAGGTCGTTCTCTGGTTACTGCAGCCAGGTTGTTCTTTGGTTACTGCAGCCAGATCGTTCTCTGGTTACTGCAGCCAGGTCGTTCTCTGGTTACTGCAGCCATGTTATTCACTGGTTACTGCAGCCAGGTCATTATCTGGTTACTGCAGCCAGGTCATTATCTGGTTACTGCAGCCAGGTCGTTCTCTGGTTACTGCAGCCAAGTTATTGACTGGTTACTGCAGCCAGGCCGTTCTCTAGTTACTGCAGCCAGGCCGTTCTCTAGTTACTGCAGCCAGGTCGTTCTCTAGTTACTGCAGCCAGGTCATTATCTGGTTACTGCAGCCAGGTCGTTCTCTGGTTACTGCAGCCATGTTATTGACTGGTTACTGCAGCCAGGCCGTTCTCTAGTTACTGCAGCCAGGCCGTTCTCTAGTTACTGCAGCCAGGTCGTTCTCTAGTTACTGCAGCCAGGTCGTTCTCTAGTTACTGCAGCCAGGTCGTTCTTTGGTTACTGCAGCCAGGTCGTTCTCTGGTTACAGCAGTTGTCACACAGTTGTTATGACAGGAAAGATAAAACAAGTTAGGGGAACCTTTCCTGGGACAACGTCACCTGCTTGATAACGTCCTGATAAGATGACCTTCACTATAAATGAATAACTGTATCAGTTATTATACATTATGTATGAAACATTAAAGTGCAACTTAAAAAATATGACTTGAAACTATAATTTGTGTGTTTCTACACAATATCAAATCACCTATTCGTATACATGTCATAATATAATAAATGTCCCAAAAGCATCTTAAATCACACTAAGCTTCAGCAAGAAAGGGATAAGTTATTTGTCAAACCACGTATTATTTGAGATACCCCGTGTTATTTAAGATATCCCGTGTTATTTGAGATACCCCCCCCGTGTTATTTGAGATACCCTCCGTGTTATTTGAGATACCCCCCCGTGTTATTTGAGATACCCCCCGTGTTATTTGAGATACCCCCCGTGTTATTTGAGATACCCCCCGTGTTATTTGAGATACCCCCCCCCGTGTTATTTGAAATTCCCCCCGTGTTATTTGTGAACCAGTGTTATTCTGAATCAGTGCAGGTATGATTGTGGTGTTTTGGGGAAGAGAGAAAGAGAGAGAGAGAGAGAGAGAGTGTGTGGTGTGGCCATCAGGTTGGATATATATAAGAGGTGAGGGTAGTGTGGTTCTGGTCCACAGTGTCTTCTGCAGCAGACATGACTGGTGTGCTGGTGAAGACCTGCCTGCTGGGGGCCCTGGCCCTTACTCTTTTACGCTCAGGTTAGTTCTCGTTCTCTTTACACAGAGAGAAACATTGTCTCAGTAAAAGTTTGCTCCGTAGTGTGTATTTTCTTCGCCAGTGGGAATGGCACATAGAATCTAAGTAATCTTTATTGACGATGTTTTACCCTCACAGTCAACTTTCACCAAGTAACGTGTCTCATTATCCTTTAATTTTACATTCATGGGTGGATGTTACACTCTTGGGGTTCAAATTATGTGATCAGGCATATGGTCACTGTCTTGAACACTATGTGCTTAATTGTCCACTTATTGAGGAATACAGAGACAGACAGTATGATAACCTATGTGACATGTCAAGATATCTTATTAATGAAAATAAGATACCAGATATACTAAGCAAATTTCCTAAATTTGCTTGTAACAGATAAGTGAACTATAGATATGTAGATATAAATCCATATGTATTCCTGTTAACCCTTTGGGGCCTAGTTCCTAGGCCTTTTGTGTATCCATATGCTCTCGCGCTACCGTCCACATGATGGATATGGGGTGCACAATAAACTAGCCACTTCGGTGGCAAAATCTAATCTTGGGGTTCAGCATTGCCTTGGAAATGGGAGGTACTCTGATACGATCTCTAAAAGGGATAGATTATATCCCATTCCCTCAAAAAAAGAGTCCATCACTGGCATCAAAACACCTTCCTTAAGCAAGATAAGTTGTATATAACTCTAGCTTAGTGTTGGTATCTAGTACTGATGCATACCATAGCTTATCGTGTTGGTATGTTGTACCTCCAACTTTGGATGTAAGGTATGAGTTAAGCACTTCTGCAACATACCTTCTGCATTGTTAAATAAATGGCTCAGAGAACCGACAAGTTGATAAGACAGTTGTGTATCACTTGGGTATTTTTTTTGTGGAAAAGTTTGAGGTAATTAGTCCATCAGCCTGGAGTCGATGTGATCAGTCCAAACTGAGGGACTGATTACCTCAAACGCCTTCTGATCTTCAACCGTGCTTCTCTGTATTAAACTGAGAAAGTCACTGGTTGGCGAAACGTTTCCACGTTCTCTGAGCCATTTATCTACAGTGCAGAAGGTACGTTTATACCGACACGGTGTGGCTGAATGCTCACTTTAAATGATCATTTGGAGTGACCAAGGTTCCAGGACCGAAGCGGATCCAAGACAGATATCTTAAGTGTATGTATTTGCATAGTTTTTCCTCAATCCTGATTTTATTTACACTGTGTGACTAGGAGGGGCACAGACGCAGTGAATCACTGTTAGAATTACAGTGTTGACAGAGACGCAGGTCCAAGTGAGTCAATGTTAGAATTACAATGTTGACAGAGGCGGAGGCGCAGTGTGACAATGTTGAGATAGTCAACCAGTGGGACATCAACTACCAGGCTGACTTCAATGCACCAGCTCCAGTAGACATCAACGGCCTCACTCTGGAGTTGACCTTCAGTAGAGCAGTTATCGAGATTGAAGTAAGTTTAAGTGTCTACTGCCTATTCTTCTTTCTACTCCAATACAAACTCTTTTATTCCTCTTTCTCCTGTTCCTCTCCTTTCCCCCCTCTCACATTGTTTTGCTTTAGAAATTTTACGAGGCTTCCAGACATCGTCGGTATCTAAGGTCTGGTTTGGTGAGGACGAGTTGTGCCTTATTGCAGTTCATCAGATGTCCCGTGGAGTTCCTGTGGAGGACACAGGCGTACCTTAAGTCGTCCCTGTTACTGGCATTTCGATGCTCGTTCAGGCGAACCGAAAGATCTCTGCCTGATTCCTCCTACATATTTGTAATAATGTTGGTAGAATTACCGACAATATGTAAAGTAACCTGGTGCAACTAATGTGACATTTTATTATGGCAACTTATGTCACTACTACTACTACTACCTCTAGTATTGCACCTCACTCTGAGCCTATATATACCCTCTGTGTCCATGTACTGTTTGTGCAAGACAGGTATACAATACCGGTGCTCTAAACACCACCTCCAAGGCTGAGGGGCTGATTACCTCATCTTTTGTATATAGTTCTTCAGTTTTCTTATTATGTCCAAAGAATCTGTATTGATAAAGCCACTGGATGGCGAAACGTCTACAATAAAGATAACCAGATGTTGCACAAGTGTCTTAACTTTCATGTACTGTTTGTAACGGCTTGACAAAGCTCCTGGAGAGCAAAGCATTGCCACAATAAAATGTCACATTAGTTGCACTTGTGTCCTCTTACTCCTACATATTTCTTGGAACAGTATCCACAGGGGATGGTGTAGCAATTAAAATGGGTTAAACAAATATTTTTGTTAGTGGGCTTGGGTTTGAAAAGAACTTGCCTAATATGGGCCAGTAGGCCTGCTGCAGTGTTCCTTCTTCATGTTCATTGTCTTTTCAGAATTACGGAGGAACGGCAACCAAGATCGATGACTTTCACTTCATCCTCGAATCTCCAGGAGTTAACCTCAATGCCGGGGAAAACATCATGTTTCGGTTCCTTGTAAAGTTCTCCTACTTCATGCCTCTTGTGGTCAAGGAGGTGGTGAACGGCGTGGAAATCTGCGGTAAGTGTTGAGCTGTTGAGACTTGGGTAACATTTAGGTATGGAGATTGAACATTAAAATTGTATAAAATACCGACAGGTTGTTAGGTAAGACACATATGCAACAGTTAGGTATCTTTATTTCGAAACGTTTCGCCTACACAGTAGGCTTCTTCAGTCGAGTACAGAAAAGTTGATAGAAACAGGAGAGACTTGAAGACGATGTAATCAGTCCATCACCCTTAAAGTTTTGAGGTGGTCAGTCCCTCAGTCTGGAGAAGAGCATTGTTCCGTAGTCTGAAACAATATTGTTTCAGACTACGGAACGATATTGTTTCAGACTACGGAACGATATTGTTTCAGACTACGGAACGATATTGTTTCAGACTACGGAACAATGCTCTTCTCCAGACTAAGGGACTGACCACCTCAAAACTTTAAGGGTGATGGACTGATTACATCGTCTTCAAGTCTCTTCTGCTTCTATCAACTTTTCTGTACTCGACTGAAGAAGCCTACCGTGTAGGCGAAACGTTTCGAAATAAAGATACCTAACTGTTGCATGTGTGTCTTGAAGATTGAGACACTTATGCAGCATATGGGAATCTTTATTCAGGAAACGTTTCGCCACATAGTGGCTTCATCAGTCCAATACAAAGAGGAAGGCGTAAGGAGAGGAGGAGTATGAGGTAATCAGTCCCTCAGCCTGGAGTCGATGTGTTCAGTCCATCAATCTTGTAGAATGTACAGCATAGGGCCGTAGACGTGGCTTATATACTGTAGTTAGGTGAGGTGAAGCAGGCGGAGGCGGGGTCATAGTGGTACCATCCACTAGTCGAAGTAGGTCTTCGTCCAAAGGTTGAACAAGTGTTGAAGAATTCTTTGTAACAAGATCCCATGATGCTGCAGTGTCTGACAGTTGTGATGAATGGTTTGAAAAACCGACAAGTTGAAGATTGAGACACTTATGCAGCACATGGGAATCTTTATTCAGCATCATGGGATCTTGTTACAAAGAATTCTTCAACACTTGTTCAACATTTGGACGAAGACCTACTTCGACTAGTGGATGGTACCACTATGACCCCGCCTCCGCCTGCTTCACCTCACCTCACTACAGTATATAAGCCACGTCTACGGCCCTATGCTGTACATTCTACAAGATTGGTGGACTGAACACATCGATTTCTCGACTGATTACCTCATACTCCTCCTCTCCTTACGCCTTCCTCTTTGTATTGGACTGATGAAGCCACTGTGTGGCGAAACGTTTCCTGAATAAAGATTCCCATATGCTGCATAAGTGTCTCAATCTTCAACTTGTCGGTTTTTCAAACCATTCATCACATATGTGTCTTACCTAACAACAGGTATGAAGATAAATGGTATGAAATGCCGACACAGTGGAAAGCTAAACACAAATGCAATATAATGTGATCGTTTATTGACTTCGTTTCGCCCACACAGTGGGGTTTATCAAGTCACAAACAGATCTACCTGGGTGAATAGGACGCAAGTATTTATAGGATGGAGTCAGGTGGAGAATGCTGGGTGGGTTGGATCTGATAAGGGCTCCCACGGGACGTTATGTAGGATAACGATAAAGTCTCTTGGCTAGAGATTTCTCGATGGCCCCTTACAGGTCCGTCTCAGGTCCAACCTACCAAACATTGTGAGAGTAAGACACATGTGCAACATCTGGGTATCTTTATTGTAGACGTTTCGCCATCCAGTGGCTTTATCAATACAAATTCTAGGACATAACTTGAAGACAGTAGAACTATGTACAGAAGATGAGGTAATCAGTCCCTCAACCTAGGAGTAGGTGCGAACAGCACCATAGTCGTGGAGATTCTGAAGCAGAAGAAAGAATCCTGGCGCTTATATAGCAACGTCAGGTGAAGCAGACGAGGGCAAATTCACTGGTAGGCGGGATTCCTCGTCTGCTTCACCTGACGTTGCTATATAAGCGCCAGGATTCTTTCTTCTGCTTCAGAATCTCCACGACTATGGTGCTGTTCGCACCTACTCCTAGGTTGAGGGACTGATTACCTCATCTTCTGTACATAGTTCTACTGTCTTCAAGTTATGTCCTAGAATTTGTATTGATAAAGCCACTGGATGGCGAAACGTCTACAATAAAGATACCCAGATGTTGCACATGTGTCTTACTCTCATCTTGTCGGTATTATATACCATTCGTACACTACCAAACATTCCAGTCCACAGTTCCTCGAAGAAGAATGTACATACATCACCAACTCGTTTAGTTCACTGCACTTTCCCCTACACTTCATACGTGACTGCAGGAAACGTGCGACACGTATCCTCAGCAAGACCAACACCTATCAAATTGAAGAAAAGCCTCCAAGTTACATCGTTTTACCGGTCAGCAACGTTGCCACTAATGTTTCAAAAATGTTTGACAGAAAACTGGCTAAAATATCTACCAGCTCTCAACTACTATTAGGAACCTGATACAAAAACCCAAGCATGATTCTGGCACAAGTGCAGGAATCTACACTATACCATGTGGGGGGGTGTGACAAAGTATATGTAGGGGAAACAGCCAGAACTCTGGACATTAGAATAGCAGAACACAAAAATGCTTGCAGAAATGATGACCGCAAAAACGCATGTGTTCAACATAGAGACGATGTTGGACACCTCATGAAATTCAATGAAGCTAAACTAGCTATTAAAGAAGACGACTTAAGACGGAGAAAATGCATTGAAGCTGCACTAATTTCTGTCAGTAACACTATAAAGCAAAAATCCGGTAGTTACAGTATTTCAAAATTACTAAGCAAGAGGATAATACCCATCCGGGGAACTGGTGTTACTTGATGCCAGCAGTCCCTCTAAAAGCCTCACCTCCTTAGTTCCATTACTACTACTACTACTACTACTACTACTACTACTACTACTACTACTACTACCTCTACCCACGCATCACCTCACCTGACTCCTGCCACTATATATATAAATGTTTTCTTAGTTTTCTCTGTATTAGGACTGATGAAGCCACTCGTGGCGATACGTTTCCTTTAATAAATGTCCTGAACTGTACATAAGTGTCTTTTTCCACATTCTCAGCGGTCCCTTACAGGTCCATCTCAGGTCCAACCTACCAAACATTCTCAGCAGTCCCTTACAGGTCCGTCTCAGGTCCAACCTACCAAATATTCTCAGCGGTCCCTTACAGGTCCGTCTCAGGTTCAACCTACCAAACATTCTCAGCGGTCCCTTACAGGTCCGTCTCAGGTCCAACCTACCAAACATTCTCAGTGGTCCCTTACAGGTCCGTCTCAGGTCCAACCTACCAAACATTCTCAGCGGTCCCTTACATGTCCGTCTCAGGTCCAACCTACCAAATATTCTCAGCGGTCCCTTACATGTCCGTCTGAGGTCCAACCTGCCAAATATCTCAGCGGTCCCTTACAGGTCCGTCTGAGGTCCAACCTACCAAATATTCTCAGCGGTCCCTTACAGGTCCGTCTGAGGTCCAACCTACCAAATATTCTCAGCGGTCCCTTATAGGTCCGTCTCAGGTCCAACCTACCAAATATTCTCAGCGGTCCCTTACAGGTCTGTCTCAGGTCCAACCTACCAAACATTCTTAGGAGTCCCTTACTGGCCCGTCTCAGGCCCAACCCACCAAACATTTTCAGCGGTCCCTTACAGGTCCGTCTCAGGTCCAACCTGCCAAATATCTCAGCTGTCCCTTACAGGTCCAACCTACCAAATATTCTCAGCGGTCCCTTACAGGTCTGTCTCAGGTCCAACCTACCAAACATTCTTAGGAGTCCCTTACTGGCCCGTCTCAGGCCCAACCCACCAAACATTTTCAGCGGTCCCTTACAGGTCCGTCTCAGGTCCAACCTGCCAAATATCTCAGCTGTCCCTTACAGGTCCAACCTGCCAAATATCTCAGCTGTCCCTTACAGGTCCGTCTCAGGTTCAACCCACCAAACATTCTTAGGAGTCCCTTACTGGCCCGTCTCAGGCCCAACCCACCAAACATTTTCAGCGGTCCCTTACAGGTCCGTCTCAGGTCCAACCTGCCAAATATCTCAGCTGTCCCTTACAGGTCCAACCTGCCAAATATCTCAGCTGTCCCTTACAGGTCCGTCTCAGGTTCAACCCACCAAACATTCTTAGGGGTCCCCTTACTGGTCCGCCTCAGATCTAACCTACCCAGCATTCTCCACCTGACTATCCACTCATTTACTATTCACCCAAGTAGTTCTGTTTGTGACTTGATAAAGCGCACTCTGTGGGCGAAACGTCAATAACCACATTATACTGTTTGTGTATATTTTTCCATTCGGGTGTGGTATTATCCTTGGTAATAAATACCGACAAATTGGTTTAGACAGCCACGTAAGCAAACACTAGGACTTAGATATTAAAAACGTTTCAGTTTTGGGACCTTGATCATTTCCCAAGGTCCCAGGACCCAAATGTTTTCTCATAAATATGGCCTGGTGCCTGCTTACGTGTCTTGATAAACCAACATTTGTTCTGGAAACTTCCCATTTCCAGGACTCGAGTCCGGCTATATGAAAATAACCGGTTTCCCTGAATCCTTCACTAAATATTACCCTGCTCACACTCAACAGATCGTCAGGTCCCAAATACCATTCGTCTCCATTTTCGCCAGGCAATGGCTTTATCAATACAAGGACATTATGTGAAGAATGTAAAACTATACACATTCTCATCTAATCATTTCTCACTCATCTGGTAACATTCTCATACGATTCTGTGGTATCGTTCTCAGATGCGGCTATCGTCACGTCATCTCCCACACCTAACCCTTGTGATGAGACTGGTATGACACCCTACGATTATAGTCAGGTTAGTGAGTGGAGGCTGATGGTATAAAATACTGACACTGTGAACAATAAAATGGTATAAAATACCGACAGGTTGTTTAGGTAAGACACATATGCAACAGTTAGGTATCTTTATTTCGAAACGTTTCGCCTACACAGTAGGCTTCTTCAGTCGAGTACAGAAAAGTTGATAGAAGCAGAAGAGACGATTACATCGTCTTCAAGTCTCTTCTGCTTCTATCAACTCTTCTATACTCGACTGAAGAAGCCTACTGTGTAGGCGAAACGTTTCGAAATAAAGATACCTAACTGTTACATATGTGTCTTACCTAACAACTTTGTTAATAAATCTCAGGCTACAGCTAAGTCAGTGAGGTTTCACTGTAGTCTGGTCAGTGAATCTCAGGCTACAGCTAAGTCAGTGAGGTTTCACTGTAGTCTGGTCAGTGAATCTCAGGCTACAGCTAAGTCAGTGAGGTTTCACTGTAGTCTGGTCAGTGAATCTCAGGCTACAGCTAAGTCAGTGAGGTTTCACTGTAGTCTGGTCAGTGAATCTCAGGCTACAGCTAAGTCAGTGAGGTTTCACTGTAGTCTGGTCAGTGAATCTCAGGCTACAGCTAAGTCAGTGAGGTTTCACTGTAGTCTGGTCAGTGAATCTCAGACTACAGTGAATCCATAAAAGAAGTAAGGAAGTCTCTGCCCTATCAGGCTGTTGGTGATCACCTGAAATACTTTAGATAAATTTAAAAATGTGGGTTGAAAAATCCTGGGTCGTTTATAACTTAAAATTTAAGTTTACGAAATACCTTTTTTTCACATTTTTCTCATTTTGCCTTTTTTTTTACTCTACTTCACATGTCACTCAGTTTATTGTAGTGTTTCTTATCTACGTCTTTCTACTGCTCGTTTTCTGTGTCGTGATTCTTTCGTCTCGCTGTTTTATTTATTTCTATTTATTTCTAATCTTGCTTCTTCTATTTAGCCTTATTCGTCTTCTCTCTCTTATTTATGTCATTTCATTTATACTTCTTGTCCTCTTTCTTTCATTTATCACTCGTTCAACGCACTTAACTCCCTTTTCTAGATGGAAAAATAAACACTACGTTTCGCCCATATAGTGAGCTTTATGAAGTCACAAACAGATCTACCTGGGTAAATAGTACGAGACAGGTGGAGAATGTGTGGGCGAAACGTAGTCAATAACGGATCACATTATAGTACATTTGTGTTTATTTTTCCATCGTGTCGATATTCTATGCCATTTATCTCCATCCTTCCCTGTACCTCGTACCTTGTCTCTCACCTTCAGGTACTGTGCATGTCGTACTTGTTCTACGAGGCCCAGCGGTCAGGTCCTCTGCCAGCTGATCAACGAGTCACTTGGCGATTCGACTCAGCTCTAGATGACGGTTCTGATGTTGGTTACGACCTTACTGGTGGCTACTATGATGGTAAGGATGTATATATATATATAATATATATATATATATATATATATATATATATATATAATATATATATATATATATATATATATATATATATATATATATATATATATATAATGTCGTACCGAATAGGTTAAAATTGGTCAGTTATCAAAAACTCATTTAAAATGAAGTCATTTCTAAAAATTTCTCTTATATGTTTAATGATATATATACTTTTTCACTTATGTTAATGTAAAAATTAATAATTTTGTACCAAAAGAACCTTAGAAAACTTACCTGACTTTATCATAACAAGCTCAATTTAATTTAGCCTAATCCAACTAAATATATTTTAGATAAGTTTGCAATAATTTATTAATAAACAAACACAATGAAATATATTTTTTTTCGTTAGGTTCAGAATGATTTTTGCGAAATTACTGCATACACAATTTTTCTCTTGTCTTTCTCGGCTAGAAGAGCGTTGCTATTTAAGCCAAGCTAGCAAGTTTTACCTATTCTGCACGATATATATATGTAGGTAGTAGGTTGGTAGACAGCAACCACCCAGGGAAGTACTACCGTCCTGCCAGATGACTGTGAAACAAAAACCTGTAACTGTTTTGCATGATGGTAGGATTGCTGGTTTCTTTTTCTGTCTCATAAACACGCTAAGATAACAGGGATATCTTGCTACTCCTACTTACACTTTGGTCACACTTCACAGACACGCACATGCATATATATATATACATACATCTAGGTTTTTCTCCTTTTTCTAAATAGCTCTTGTTCTTTTTTATTTCGTCTATGTCCAGGGGAAGTGGAAAAGAATCTTTCCTCCGTAAGCCATGCGTGTCGTATGAGGCGACTAAAATGCCGGGAGCAATGGGCTAGTAACCCCTTCTCCTGTATACAATTACTAAAAAAGAGAAGAAGAAAAACTTTATAAAACTGGGTTGCTTAAATGTGCGTGGATGTAGTGCGGATGACAAGAAACAGATGATTGCTGATGTTATGAATGAAAAGAAGTTGGATGTCCTGGCCCTAAGCGAAACAAAGCTGAAGGGGTAGGAGAGTTTCAGTGGGGGGAAATAAATGGGGTTAAATCTGAGTATCTGAGAGAGTTAGAGCAAAGGAAGGGTAGCAGTAATGTTAAATGATCAGTTATGGAAGGAGAAAAGAGAATATGAATGTGTAAATTCAAGAATTATGTGGATTAAAGTAAAGGTTGGATGCGAGAAGTGGGTCATAATAAGCGTGTATGCACCTGGAGAAGAGAGGAATGCAGAGGAGAGAGAGAGATTTTGGGAGATGTTAAGTGAATGTATAGGAGCCTTTGAACCAAGTGAGAGAGTAATTGTGGTAGGGACTTGAATGCTAAAGTAGGAGAAACTTTTAGAGAGGGTGTGGTAGGTAAGTTTGGGGTGCCAGGTGTAAATGATAATGGGAGCCCTTTGATTGAACTTTGTATAGAAAGGGGTTTAGTTATAGGTAATACATATTTTAAGAAAAAGAGGATAAATAAGTATACACGATATGATGTAGGGCGAAATGACAGTAGTTTGTTGGATTATGTATTGGTAGATAAAAGACTGTTGAGTAGACTTCAGGATGTAACATGTTTATAGAGGGGCCACAGATATATCAGATCACTTTCTAGTTGTAGCTACACTGAGAGTAAAAGGTAGATGGATACAAGGAGAATAGAAGCATCAGGGAAGAGAGAGGTGAAGGTTTATAAACTAAAAGAGAGGCAGTTTAGGGTAAGATATAAACAGCTATTGGAGGATAGATGGGCTAATGAGAGCATAGGCAATGGGTCGAAGAGGTATGGGGTAGGTTTAAAAATGTAGTGTTAGAGTGTTCAGCAGAAGTTTGTGGTTACAGAAAGTGGGTGCAGGAGGGAAGAGGAGCGATTGGTGGAATGATGATGTAAAGAGAGTAGTAAGGGAGAAAAAGTTAGCATATGAGAAGTTTTTACAAAGTAGAAGTGATGCAAGGAGGGAAGAGTATATGGGAAAAAGAGAGAGGTTAAGAGAGTGGTGAAGCAATGTAAAAAGAGAGCAAATGAGAGAGTGGGTGAGATGTTATCAACAAATTTTGTTGAAATAAGAAAAAGTTTTGGAGTGAGATTAACAAGTTAAGAAAGCCTAGAGAACAAATTGATTTGTCAGTTAAAAATAGGAGAGGAGAGTTATTAAATGGAGAGTTAGAGGTATTGGGAAGATGGAAGAGAATATTTTGAGGAATTGTTAAATGTTGATGAAGATAGGGAAGCTGTGATTTCGTGTATAGGGCAAGGAGGAATAACATCTTGTAGGAGTGAGGAAGAGCCAGTTGTGAGTGTGGGGAAGTTCGTGAGGCAGTAGGTAAAATGAAAGGGGTAAGGCAGCCGGGATTGATGGGATAAAGATAGAAATGTTAAAAGCAGGTGGGGATATAGTTTTGGAGTGGTTGTGCAATTATTAATAAATGTATGGAAGAGGGTAAGGTACCTAGGGATTGGCAGAGAGCATGCATAGTTCCTTTGTATAAAGGCAAAGGGGATAAAAGAGAGTGTAAAAATTATAGGGGGATAAGTCTGTTGAGTGTACCTGGTAAAGTGTATGGTAGAGTTATAATTGAAAGAATTAAGAGTAAGACGGAGAATAGGATAGCAGATGAACAAGGAGGCTTTAGGAAAGGTAGGGGGTGTGTGGACCAGGTGTTTACAGTGAAACATATAAGTGAACAGTATTTAGATAAAAGGGTAAAGAGGTCTTTGTGGCATTTATGGATTTGGAAAAGGCGTATGACAGGGTGGATAGGGGGCAATGTGGCAGATGTTGCAAGTGTATGGTGTAGGAGGTAGGTTACTGAAAGCAGTGAAGAGTTTTTACGAGGATAGTGAGGCTCAAGTTAGAGTATGTAGGAAAAGGGAAATTTTTTCCCAGTAAAAGTAGGCCTTAGACAAGGATGTGTGATGTCACCGTGGTTGTTTAATATATTTATAGATGGGGTTGTAAGAGAAGTAAATGCGAGGGTCTTGGCAAGAGGCGTGGAGTTAAAAGATAAAGAATCACACACAAAGTGGGAGTTGTCACAGCTGCTCTTTGCTGATGACACTGTGCTCTTGGGAGATTCTGAAGAGAAGTTGCAGAGATTGGTGGATGAATTTGGTAGGGTGTGCAAAGAAGAAAGTTAAGGGTGAATACAGGAAAGAGTAAGGTTATGAGGATAACAAAAAGATTAGGTGATGAAAGATTGAATATCAGATTGGAGGGAGAGAGTATGGAGGAGGTGAACGTATTCAGATATTTGGGAGTGGACGTGTCAGCGGATGGGTCTATGAAAGATGAGGTGAATCATAGAATTGATGAGGGAAAAAGAGTGAGTGGTGCACTTAGGAGTCTGTGGAGACAAAGAACTTTGTCCTTGCGGCAAAGAGGGGAATGTATGAGAGTATAGTTTTACCACGCTCTTATATGGGTGTGAAGCGTGGGTGATGAATGTTGCAGCGAGGAGAAGGCTGGAGGCAGTGGAGATGTCATGTCTGAGGCAATGTGTGGTGTGAATATAATGCAGAGAATTCGTAGTTTGGAAGTTAGGAGGAGGTGCGGGATTACCAAAACTGTTGTCCAGAGGGCTGAGGAAGGGTTGTTGAGGTGGTTCGGACATGTAGAGAGAATGGAGCGAAACAGAATGACTTCAAGATTGTATCAGTCTGTAGTGGAAGGAAGGCGGGGTAGGGGTCGGCCTAGGAAGGTGTTGGAGGGAGGGGGTAAAGGAGGTTTTGTGTGCGAGGGGCTTGGACTTCCAGCAGGCATGCGTGAGCGTGTTTGATAGGAGTGAATGGAGACAAATGGTTTTTAATACTTGACGTGCTGTTGGAGTGTGAGCAAAGTAACATTTATGAAGGGATTCAGGGAAACCGGCAGGCCGGACTTGAGTTCTGGAGATGGGAAGTACAGTGCCTGCACTCTGAAGGAGGGGTGTTAATGTTGCAGTTTAAAAACTGTAGTGTAAAGCACCCTTCTGGCAAGACAGTGATGGAGTGAATGATGGTGAAAGTTTTTCTTTTTCGGGCCACCCTGCCTTGGTGGGAATCGGCCGGTGTGATAATAAGATAATAATAAAAAATATATATGTTAACTTTGGCATAGATATATGCCGTGCCGAATAGGTAAAATTTGCGATTTTGGCTTAAAAAGCAATACTAAACCAAAATCGTGTATGTAATAATTTCGTGTATGCAATAATTCCGCAAAATCGTGTATGCAGTAATTTCGCAAAAATCATTCTGAACCTAACGAAAAAAATATATTTCATTGTGTTTGTTTATTAAATTATTGTCAACTTATCTATGAAGTAAATACTGGCACAAGACATTTTTTTTTTGATACTCATCACTGTAAAAATGCCACATAATTCTTGTTCTCTCGTCCGCAGCTGGTGACCACGTCAAGTTCGGGTTCCCGATGGCTTTCTCCACTACTATGTTGGCCTGGGGCGTCATAGACTTCGCTGAGGGGCACGAAATTGCTGGTAAGATTTACCTGTATTGAAGTCTATTGGGAAGCGATCAAAGACCTGGAGTTTACCTGGAGAGAGTTCCGGGGATCAATGCCCCCGCGGCCCGGTCTGTGACCAGGCTTCATGGTGGATCAGAGCCTGATCAACTAGGCTGTTACTGTTGGCTGCATGTAATCCAACGTACGAGCCACAGCCCGGCTGGTCAGGTACCGACTTCAGGTGCTTGTCTAGTGTCTGCTTGAAAACAGCCAGGGGTCTATTGGTAATCCCCCTTATGTTTGCTGGGAGGCAGTTGAACAGTCTCGGGCCCCTGACACTTATTGTATGGTCTCTTAACGTGCTAGTGACACCCCTGCTTTTCATCGGGGGGATGTTGCATCGTCTGCCGAGTCTTCTGCTTTCGTTGTGAGTGATTTTCGTGTGCAAGTTCGGTACTAGTCCCTCTAGGATTTTCCAGGTATATATAATCATGTATCTCTCCCGCCTGCGTTCCAGGGAGTACAGGTTTAGGAACTTCAAGGGCTCCCAGTAATTGAGGTGTTTTATCTCCGTTATGCGCGCCGTGAAGGTTCTCTGTACATTTTCTAGGTCAGCAATTTCACCTGCCTTGAAAGGTGCAGTTAGTGTGCAGCAATATTCCAGCCTAGATAGAACAAGCGACCTGAAGAGTGTCATCATGGGCTTGGCATTCCTAGTTTTGAAGGTTCTCATTATCCATCCTAACGATAATATAAACCCTAGGTTCAAATGGCATATTTTAGAATATAGAGAGAAAATACTCACGTTTCAAAACATTGTTTAATGTGGACAATGTTTCGCTTAATAGAGCTTTACACACACACACACACACACACACACACGATGTGTTTATACAAGAAGCAAAATAACCACTTGACCCATCCCCATGAATGAATCTACCTGGACTTCCTACTCATTTCTGTACCATTGCAAGCTGTTGAAGATGTGTTGATGGCAACACGAAAGGCATAGAGCTTCATTCAACTCCTCCTGTGGTTTGTTTTACACACACACACACACACACACACACACCAACCACAAATAGGTGAGTACAAATAGGTGAGTACACACACCCATACAAGTTAAATAATGAAGATTGAGACACTTACACAACATAATGTTTTTCGAGTAGCCGGTGTCTGTGTCACGTTTAGCGAATGACGGATCGAGTTTCCAGCACTTCTTACGTTTAATAACCCGTACAGGTTTAGTATTTAACATAAATATAAGAAAATAATATGGCTCAATCTTCTAGGTAATGTTTTTAGTGGCTAATGACTCTTGTGTGTCGCCCACAGGTCAGACAGAATACGGTCGCGCAGCGGTCAAGTTGGCCACTGACTACTTCCTCAAGGCTTACACTGCTAACAACGAGTTTTATGGTCAGGTGAGAATGATTCAATAATTTACCAGGATCTTTATGTGTACAGGCGTTTTAGACAGCCCTTGAAAATCAAACAAAAAAAGAATAGTTATTGAAAACTTTCGGATTTGTGAAAGAGAATGGATGTTACTTATGATTACTTACCTAATTTTGAAAGTTTTCGATTTGTGTATTTTTGAGTGGTTTGGCCACATTAATCGGACTGTAAGAACTCTTAGAAAGGCAGCTAATAGATTAAGCAGCATGCATTAATCGCGAATGAGTGATAACATATGCAAAATAGCCACAAGGGTGAGTTATTTCGCAAACCAACGTTTACAAGCTTTGATGCCGAGTTTATAGGTTCGAATCCTGCTGTGGACAGAGATAATATTTGTGAATAATTTCGTCTGTCTGCGAATTGTTAAGTATAAATCAGTATATAATATCATGTCATGACGTGGGTTAAACCAGATGTTTCTTATGTTAGGTATAAGGACACAATTGCAACTAATGCCACATTTTATTGTGGCAACGTTTTGCTTTCCAGGAGCGAAACGTTGCCACAAAATATCACATTAGTTGCATTTGTGTCCTGTTACCTAACATACTGTCGGTAATCTTACCAATATTACAGATCTTCCTTGTATTTCTGACGTTATATCAAATACATAACCATTGTTTCCAGGTAGGCAAAGGTGATATAGACCACTCGTACTGGGGACGCCCAGAAGAGATGACCATGGAACGACCTTCCTATAAGATCGACGAAGATCACCCAGGTTAGTACGCTAGGACGCTCAGGAGACCAGAATACTGTACAGGTATACAGGTATACACAAATACAGTTACATATATGTGGAGAACCTGGGATCCTTAAACAATTTTTTCTGGTAATTCATAGAGAAACTGGTTAAAACCCACAAGAAAAGACATATTGCTGAGATGATCACATAAAAAAGCACGGATAGGAAAATTTATCACTCGTAAGAATTCTAAGAAAGTTTAGGATTTAATTTGTCTAAAAAAACCCCAAACAGGGCTTTTAAAGTGTACTCTATATGCAATTAAATTTTTTAAAATTACGCTTATTAATATTTTTTAGAAGATTATAGTATTTTTTATTCATTTAGCTATTTTTATTTATCATTAAGCTGTTGTTTTTAATCTTATAGTGTTGTTTTTTATCATTATAGCTGTTGTTTTTATATCTTTGTTTATTATTATATCATTATAGCTGTTGTTATTTTCTTTATAGCTGTTGTTATTTACATTTTAGCTGTTTTTTTATATCATTATAGCTGTTGTTATTATATCATTTTGCTATTATTATTATATATTTAGCTGTTGTTTTTATATCTTATAGCTGTTGTTATTTCTTATAGCTGTTGTTATTTTTCATTATAGCGTTGTTTTTATATCATTATGGTTGTTATTATATCATTATACTTTTGTATTATATCATTATAGCTGTTGTTATTATTCAATACTGTTTTATTAATCATTATAGCTGTTGTTTTATTCATTATAGCTGTTGTTATTATTCATTATAGCTGTTGTTTTATATCTTATAGCTGTTGTTTTATTCATTATAGTGTTGTTATTATATCATTATGTTTGTTATTATATCATTATAGCTGTTGTTATTATATCATTATAGCTGTTGTTATTATATCATTATAGCTGTTGTTATTATATCATTATAGCTGTTGTTATTATATCATTATAGCTGTTGTTATTATATCATTATAGCGTTGAAATTATATCATTATAGCTGTTGTTTTTTATATCATTTGCTTTTGTTTTTTATCATTTAGTGTTGTTTTAAATTATTTAGCTTTTATTATTAGTAGTGTAGTACCATTGTACTATTATAAATTTTTATTATCATTATTATTATATATAAAAAACCCTAGTATAAACGAAGTTTCCATAGGTTCGAATCTTCTTTTCCCACTGATTTGTGTGTGTTACAGTTGTGTTGTTACAGTTTGTGGTGTTCACAGTTGGTGTGTTCACAGTTGTGTGTGTCACATTGTGTGTGTTACAGTTGTGTTTTTTCAGTTGTGTGTGTTCCAGTTGTGTGTGTTCACGTTGTGTGTGTTCACGTTGTTGTTTTACGTTTGTGTGTTCACAGTTGTGTGTTTTCACATTTGTGTGTGTTCACGTTGTGTGGTTTCACAGTTGTGTGTGTTAAGTTGTTTTTGTTCACGTTGTGTGTGTTCCAGTTGTGTGTGTTCACATTTGGTGTGTTAACAGTTGGTGTTTTTCACTTTTGTGTGTGTTCACAGTTGTGTGGTTCACATTGTGGTGTTACAGTTGTGTGTGTTCAAGTTGTGTGTTTTTACAGTTGTGGGGTTTTCACATTGTGTGTGTTCACAGTTGTGTGGTTACGTTGTGTGTTTCACAGTTGTTTTGTGCTCCAGTTGTGGTGTTCACAGTTGTGTTTTTTTCAAGTTGTGTGTGTTCACAGTTGTGTGTGTTCAAGTTGTGTGTGTTCCAGTTGTGTGTGCTCACAGTTTTTGTGTGTTCACAGTTGTGTGTGTTCACAGTTGTGGTGTTCCAGTTGTGGTGTTCACATTTGTGTGTTTTCACGTTTTTGTGTTCACAGTTGTGTGTGTTCACGTTGTGTGTGTTCATTTTTTTGTGTGTGTTCACAGTTGTGTGTGTCACGTTTTTGGGGTTTGTTCCAGTTGTGTGTGTTCCCAGTTGTGGTTTTAATTTGTGTGTTTTAAAAGTTGTGGGTTCACATTGTGTTGTTACAGTTGTGTGTGTTCACAGTTGGTGTGTTCACGTTGTGTGTGTTCACAGTTGTGTGTGTTCACGTTGGGGTGTTACGTTGTGTGTGTTCACATTGTGTGTGTTCACGTTGGGGTTTGTTCACAGTTGTGTGTGTTCACAGTTGTGTGTGTTCACATTTGTGTGTGTTCCATTTGGGTTGTGCTCACGTTGGTGTGTTCACAGTTGTGTGTGTTCACAGTTGTGTGTGTTCCAGTTGTGTGTGTTCACAGTTGTGTGTGTTCACTTTGTGTGTGCCACGTTTGTGTTTTTTCACAGTTGTGTGTGTTCCATTTGTGCGTGTTCACAGTTTGTGTGTTCACAGTTGTGTGGTTCCAGTTGTGTGTTTTAAAGTTGTGTGTTTTCACAGTTGTGTGTGTTCACAGTTGTGGGGTTTTCACAGTTGTGTGTCCACAGTTGTGTTGTTCCAGTTGTGTGTGTTCACTGGTGTGTTTCACATTTGTGTGTGTTCACGTTGTGGTGTTCAAGTTGTGTGTGTTCACAGTTGTGTGTGTCACAGTTTTGTGTTTTCACAGTTGTGGTGTTCACAGTTGTGCGTGTTCACGTTGGTGGTTCACGTTGGTGTGTTCACAGTTGTGTGTGTTCACAGTTGTGTGTGTTCACAGTTGTGTGTGTTCACAGTTGTGTGTGCTCACAGTTGTGTGTGTTCACAGTTGTGTGTGTTCCAGTTGTGCGTGTTACAGTTGTGTGTGTTCACAGTTGTGCGTGTTCCAGTTGTGCGTGTTCCGTTGTGTGGTTCACAGTTGTGTGTGTTCCAGTTGTGTTTTCACTTTTGTGCGTGTTCACAGTTGTGTGTGTTCAAGTTGTGTGTGCCCCAGTTGTGTGTGTTCACGTTGGTGTGTTACAGTTGTGTGTGTTCACAGTTGTGTGTGTTCCAGTTGGTGTGTTCACGTTGTGTGTGTTCCAGTTGTGTGTGTTCAGTTGTTGTTTTCACGTTGTGCGTGTTCACATTTTGTGCGTGTTTACAGTTGTGCTTGTTCACGTTGTGTGTGTTCCTTGTGTGTGTTCACAGTTGTGTGGTTCACAGTTGGTGTGTTACAGTTGTGTGTGTTCCATTTGTGTGTTTCACGTTGTGTGTGTTCAAGTTGTGTGTTTTCCAGTTGGGGGGGTTTGTTCACAGTTGTGTGTGTTCACAGTTGTGCGTGTTCAAGTTGTGTGTGTTCACATTTTGTGTGGTTCAATTTGTGTGGTTCACAGTTGTGTTTGTTTCACAGTTGTGTGTGTTCACAGTTGTGGTTTTCAAGTTGTGCGTGTTCCGTTGTGTGTGTTCACATTTGTGTGTGTTCACAGTTGTGGTGTTACAGTTTGTGTGTTCACAGTTGTGCGTGTTCCATTGTGTGTGTTCACAGTTGTGCGTGTTAAAGTTGTGGTGTTCACAGTTGTGCGTTTTCACAGTTTGTGTGGTTCACGTTGTGTGTGTTCACAGTTGTGTGTGTTCACAGTTGTGTGTGTTCACAGTTGTGCGTGTTCACAGTTGTGCGTGTTCACAGTTGTGTGTGTTCACAGTTGTGTGTGTTCACAGTTGTGTGTGTTCACAGTTGTGTGTGTTCACAGTTGTGTGTGTTCACAGTTGTGCGTTTTCCCAAGTTTGTGCGTGTTACTTTGGCTTGTTCACGTTTGTGTGTTCACAGTTGTGTGTGTTCACAGTTGTGTGTGTTCACAGTTGTGTGTGTTCAGTTGTGTGTGTTCACAGTTGTGTGTGTTCACAGTTGTGTGTGTTCACAGTTGTGTGTGTTCACAGTTGTGCGTGTTCACAGTTGTGTGTGTTCACAGTTGTGCGTGTTCACAGTTGTGTGTGTTCACAGTTGTGTGTGTTCACAGTTGTGTGTGTTCACAGTTGTGTGTGTTCACATTTGTTTTTGGTTCACGTTGTGCGTGTTCACAGTTGTGCGGTTCACAGTTGTGTGTGTTACTTTGTGTGTGTTCCAGTTTGCGTGTTCCAGTTGTGTGGTTACGTTGTGCGTGTTCACAGTTGTGTGTGTTCACAGTTTGCGTGTTCCATTTGTGTGTGTTCACATTGTGGGTTCCATTTGTGTGTTTTCACAGTTTTTGCGTGTTCACAGTTGTTGCGTGTTCACGTTGTGCGTGCACAGTTGTGGTGTTCACAGTTGTGCGTGTTCCAGTTGTTGTGTTTTCCGTTGTGTGTGTTCACAGTTGTGTGTTTTCACATTTTGGGGGGGGTTCACAGTTGGGGTTCCAGTTGTGTGTGTTTCACATTGTGTGTTTCCAGTTGTGTGTGTTCACAGTTGTGTGTGTTACAGTTGTGCGTGTTACAGTTGTGTGTTTTCCCACGTTGTGTGTGTTCACAGTTGGTGTGTTCCCGTTGGTGTGTTCACATTTGTGTGTGTTCACAGTTGTGTGTGTTCACAGTTGTGTGTGCTCACAGTTGTGTGTGTTCACAGTTGTGTGTGTTCACAGTTGTGTGTGTTCACAGTTGTGTGTGTTCACAGTTGTGTGTGTTCACAGTTGTGTGTGTTCACAGTTGTGTGTGTTCACAGTTGTGTGTGTTCACAGTTTGTGGTTTCCAGTTGTGTGTGTTCACAGTTGTTGGTTCACAGTTGTGTGTGTTCACATTTGTGCTTGTTCACAGTTGTGGTGTTCACGTTGTGTGTGTTCACAGTTGTGTGTGTTCAAGTTGTGTGTGTTCCGTTGTGTGTGTTCCATTTTGTGTGCGTTCACGTTGGGGGTTTGTTCACAGTTGTGTGTGTTCACAGTTGTGTGTGCTCACAGTTGTGTGTGCTCACAGTTGTGTGTGCTCACAGTTGTGTGTGTTCACAGTTGTGTGTGCTCACAGTTGTGTGTGTTCACAGTTGTGTGTGCTCACAGTTGTGTGTGTCACAGTTGGGTGTCCATTTGTGTGTGCTCACTTTGTGTGTGCTCACAGTTGTTGTGCTCAAGTTGTGTGTGCTCACGTTGTGTGTGCTCACAGTTGTGTGTGTTCACAGTTGTGTGTGTTCACAGTTGTGTGTGATCACAGTTGTGTGTGTTCACAGTTGTGTGTGCTCACAGTTGTGTGTGCTCACAGTTGTGTGTGTTACGTTGTGGTGCTCACATTTGTGTGTGCTCAAAATTGTGTGTGCTCCGTTGGTGGCTCACAGTTGTGTGTGTTCACATTGTGTGTGATCACAGTTGTGTGGTTCACAGTTGTGTGTGTACATTTGTGTGGTTACGTTGTGTGTGTTCACAGTTTGTGGTCACGTTGTGTGTGTTCCAGTTGTGTGTGATCACAGTTGTGTGTGTAACATTTGTGTGTGTCACAGTTGTGTGTGCTCCATTTGTGTGTGTTCACAGTTGTGTGTGTTCACGTTGTGGTGTCACAGTTGTGTGTTTTTCACATTTTGGGTTGTGTTTCACAGTTGTGGTGTGCTCACAGTTGTGTGTGTTCACAGTTGTGTGTGTTCACAGTTGTGTGTGCTCACAGTTGTGTGTGTTCACAGTTGTGTGTGTTCACAGTTGTGTGTGTTTACGTTGTGTTGTTTTCCATTGTGTGTTTCACAGTTGTGTGTGCTCACTTTGTTTGGGTTACGTTGTGTGTGTCACAGTTGTGTGTTACATTGTGTGTGTTTCCAGTTGGTGTGTTCCGTTGTGTGTGTTTACAGTTGTGTGTGTTACAGTTGTGTGTGTTCCAGTTGTGTGTGCTCAAGTTGTGTGTTCACAGTTTGTGCTCACGTTGTGTGTGCTCACGTTGTGTTTTTCACATTTTCTATTAAGTTTTCTATCTAGCCAAAAGGAGGAAAAGGAAAAAGCAACGTAAACGCATGGCGAGGGCCCAGCCCCAGAGGCCCTAGCTTCTCCCTCAACCCCCGTGAGGGCGGGGACTGTGGCTAGGCCTGGGGGCAGTGGTCACAAAGATGGGGGTTTACTTTCCCTCCTCCCAAGGGGAAAACTTAGGTCCGAGACATCCCCGATAGGGACCAAGGCCGGGCCCCCACTACTTGGAAAAGCCCCGGGCCGGGAAAATCCGCATTTAGAAAACTTTCGTTTTCGTTAAAACTCTCAGCTTGCTGAAGGTGCCTTTGATGCTGTCGTAGTGATAAACCTTTACTGGAATACTTGCCTACCCTCTTGTCCCTCTGTTTTCCCCAGCTCAGGCTGACACTACTAAAGTTTCCCAGCTCAGGCTGACATATGAGTTCCAGCCGGCTCCCCTACTGAAGTCTCCAAGCTCGGGCTGACCACTACTGAAGTCTCCCAGCTCAGGTGATATTTGAAGCTCCAGTTCGGTGTATATGGTCTCCCAGCTCAGGCGACACTCTGAAGTTCCCAGCTCGGCTGACACTACTGAAGTTAAGCTCAGGCGACACTGTAAAGTCACCGCTCAGGCTGACACTACGAAGAATCACGCCAGGTGACACCCCTGAAGAATCACAGCTCAGGCTCCCATACTGAAGAATCACAGCTCAGGCTGACACTATGAAGATCCAGCTCCGGTGACATATGAAGAATCACAGCTCAGGCTGACACTACTGAAGAATCACAGCTCAGGCTGACACTACTGAAGAATCACAGCTCAGGCTGACACTACTGAAGAATCACAGCTCAGGCTGACACTACTGAAGAATCACAGCTCAGGCTGACACTACTAAGAATCACGTCAGGTGACACTACTGAAGAATCACGCTCGGGGCTGAATACTGAAGAATCACAGCTCAGGCTGCATACTGAAGAATCAAGTAGGCGACACACTGAAAAATCACAGCTCAGGCTGAATACTGAAGAATCACACTCAGGCTGACACTACTGAAGAATAAAGTCAGGCTGAACTATGAAGAATCACACTCAGGCTGACACTATGAAGAATCAAGCTCAGGCTGCCCCTCTGAAGAATCACAGCTGGCTGACATTATGAAGAATCAAGCTCAGGCGGGACCTACGGGAAAAATCACAGTCAGGTTTGACACTACTGAAGAATCACGTCAGGCTGACATTCTAAAGAATCACAGCTAGGGACACTACTGAAGAATCACAGCTCAGGCTGACCTTGAAGAATCACAGCTCGGCTGACATACTGAAAAATCCAGCTCAGGCTGCATACTGAAGAATACAGCCAGGTGACCTACTGAAGAATCACGCTCAGGTGACATTTTCAACATATGAAATCAAATCTGTGATGGAACATGCAGGAACATCCATCCTATGTGATGGAATGTAAGAAAAAACTTGTGTTTTTCCCTCCCGGGTCTTATCACCAAAAACAGGAAACAACACACTACCGATGTACGCAGCTTTGCAATTTAAAAGTGTCCCGTTGCTCGATTCCCAGAAGCATTTTCTAAACACTGAGGCCCCGTGCTTGTCCCCGGTCGGTTGGAAATATTAGGGGCGTGTTTTCCTTAAAACACTGCTGTACATGTTCACCTAGCAGTAAAATAGGTACTGGGTTTAGTTATGGGGGGGGCATCCCGGGGATAAAATTACATAATTTGCGGGAAAAGCTCAGCATAACAAGGGACTTTCTATATAGTAGTATGTCACTGATGTCAGCTATGGTCTGTATACCTTGTACATGTACTGGGAGAAATAAAGATTTATTATTAACAAAAAAGCTTTTCTTTCAAGGAAGTGAACTGGCGCGGAGACGCGCTGCCCTGGCCGCGGCAGCCGTAGTCTTCAAGGTAATTCAATAAATTTGATTTCTTTCTGCAATATTACAAAACGTAATTTACATGCAGTAAAATATTAAGCAGAAAAAACCCCTGGGTGCTGCCACTAAAAGCACCCTTTTAAGGCGGTGAAATTGCCGACTAGAAAATGTAAGGAACTTTCACGGCGGATAAGGGAAAAAAAACTCAATTTTTGGGAGCGCTTGGGTTCCTAAACCTGTTTTTCCCTGGAACGCAGGAGGGAGAGATACTGATTATATACACCTGGAAATCCTAGAGGGACTAGTACCGAATTTCACACGAAAATACCCCTACGAAAGCAAAAGACTTGGCAGCATTTCACCCTCCCCCCCAAAGAAAAGCAGGGTGTCACTAGCACGTTTTAAAAGACCCAAAAATAAGTGTAGGGGCCCCAGACTGTTCAACTGCCTCCAGCACCTTTAAGGGGGATTACAAAAGACCCTGCAGTCTTCAAGCTGGACTGGACAAGCACCTAAAGTCAGTTCCGGATCAGCCCGGGGTGTGGCTGTTGTTGGTTTGCGTGCAGGGAGCGCAACAGCCCGGTTGATCAGGTCTGATTCCCCCAGGAGGCCCGGTTCAGACCGGGCCGCGGGGGGGGTTGACCCCCGGAACTCTTCCCGGGAAAAATCCAGGGATTACGTGCAGAAGTTGGGGTTTGTATTGAAATTGTTTTTGGCCTTTTGAGAAGAGGTTCTCTGTTGTTTGGGCTTGTGAGAGGGGTTCATCTGTTGTTGGGCTTGGAGAGGGTTCATCTGTTGTTGGTCTTGTGAGAGGAGGTTCATCTGTTGTTGGTCTTGTGAGAGGAGGTTCATCTGTTGTTGGTCTTGTGAGAAGAGGTTCATCTGTTGTTGGTCTTGTGAGAGGGGTTCATCTGTTGTTGGTCTTGTGAGAGGAGGTTCATCTGTTGTTGGTCTTGTGAGAGGAGGTTCATCTGTTGTTGGTCTTGTGAGAAGATGTTTATTGTTGTTGGTCTTGTGCGAAGAGGTTCATTGTTGTTGGTCTTGTGAGAAGAGGTTCATCTGTTGTTGATTTGTGAGGAAGGTTATCTGTTTTGGGCTTGTGAGGAAGCTTTATTGTTATTGGTCTTGTGAGAGGAGGTTCATCTGTTGTTGGTCTTGTGAAAAGAGGTTCATCTGTTGTTGGTCTTGTAAGAGAGGGTTCATCTGTTGTTGGTCTTGTGAGAAGAGGTTCATCTGTTGTTGGTCTTGTGAGAGGAGGTTCATCTGTTGTTGGCCTTGGAGAGGGGTTTTATCTGTTGTTGGTTTGTGAGAAGGGGGTTCATTTTTGTTGGTCTTGTGAGAGGAGGTTCATCTTTGTTGGTCTTTTGGAAGAGGTTACTGTTGTTGGTCTTGTGAGAGAAGGTTCATCTGTTGTTGGTCTTTTGAGAAAGAGGTTATCGTTTTTGGTTTGTGAGGGAGGTTATTGTTGTTGGTCTTGTGAGAGAAGGTTTTATCTGTTGTTGTCTTGTGAGGGGAGGTTCATCTGTTGTTGGGTTTTTGAGAGAAGGTTATTGTTTTTGGTCTTGTGAAGGAGGTTCATTTTGTTGGCTTGTGGAAGAGGTTCATTGTTTTTTGGTCTTGTGAGAGAAGGTTCATCTGTTTTTGGTCTTGTGAGAGGAGGGGTTTATCTGTTGTTGGTTTTGAGAAGAGGTTCTCTGTTTTTGGTCTTGTGAGAGAAGGTTTATCTGTTTGGTTTGTGAGAAGAGGTTATCTCTTGTTGGTTTGTGAGAGGAGGTTATCTGTTGTTGGTCTTGTGAGAAAAGGCTACTATTGTTTGGGCTTGTGAAAAGAGGTTCATCTGTTGTGGGGCTTTTGAGAGAGGGTTCTCTGTGTTGGTCTTGGAGAAAAGGTCATTGTTGTGGGCTTGTTAGAGGGGTTATCTGTGTTGGTCTTGTTTGTGGGGTTCATCTATTGTTGGTTTTTTAGAGGAGGTTTATTGTTGTTGGTTTTGTGAGAAGAGGCCATCTATTTTTTGGTCTTGTGAGAAGAGGTTTATCTGTTGTTTGGGTTTTTTTGGGGAAAAGGGTTCACTGTTGTTGATCTTGTGAGAAGAGGCCATTGTTGTTTTCTTGTGAGAAGGGTTTATTGTTTTTGATCTTGTGAGAAGAGGTTTTTTGTTTTTGATCTTGTGAGAAAAGGTTTATCTGTTTTTGTCTTGTGAGAGGGGGTTTATTGTTGTTTGGTCTTGTGAGGGAGGTTCATCTGTTGTTTTGGGCTTGTGAGAGGGGTTCATCTTTGTTGGTCTTGTGAGAGGAGGTTCATTGTTTTTGGTCTTGGGAGGGGTTCATCTCGTACATTGTATCTGTAGTGTTGTGGGTCTTTCTGTTTCTCCAGTGATTCTTAAAATTTTATTTTTGTATTTATTTTTCTCTGGTTTCGACATTTAATAAATTCTTATTACAGTTTATTCGCCCCAAGGGCTTGTGTGTTTTTCATTTCCCTCAATTGTTTGGGATCAAATTCCAATTTAATGTTAGGGATTTAAGACAACGGATAATAAGGACATCTTGTTGCGTACATTCAGTTTTGCAACCTTGGTTATCTAAATATATCAGATAAAAAAAGTTAAAGTGCATGCCTGCGTTAGTCGACTGGGGTGGGTGCATCCCGGGGGGCAAAGTTAACCTAATTGCCTGAAATGCTCTGCATCCAGGGGCTTTTTTTATAGTTTTTTTTTTTCTTATTCGCCGGTATTTTCCCCGGGGGTCTTTTCCGAGTAGTGGTGACCCGGCCGGTCCCATCTCGGGAGTATCTCGGCCCAAGTCCCCCCCCATTTGGGTTTTTTAGTATGTATTTTGTTAGTTTTGGTCTGTTAAGTTGTTTCGTGTACTTGTAGAAATAAACATTTTATTTTTAGTTATAAGTAATTATTAATTATTATTTCAGGTATCGTTTACCCCTGTTCTTCAAGCGTTATGTTCCTTGATTTTTTCCAGGATGCGGACCCCTCGTACTCGGGGGTGCTGCAGGGGGCAAGGAGCAAAGATTCGCGAACAACTTCCGGGAGAAACGATGTGTTATCGAAGACGCTTATACTACTACCGTAAGTTGAGCGATTTTGCTAGTCGTGCATGTATATTTTAAAAGTCATTTCTCACATCTTTGGGTTTTATCGGGCTACAAGTGTATATTCAGCATATTGCTAGTCAAGTAAGACAGTGGATAAACAATTTAGACACAATACAGGTGTTACACAAAACAGGCATTGTGTCAAACCTTTTTAAAAATCAAATAAAATTCCCTTTTTTCTTATATCTTCTCAGTTCCCAAAACAATTCCCGATTATCACTCATAGTTAGTGTACCAAGTGCTATAATTCACCCTCTCCAAGTCTTCAAGGGTCGGTGTGAGCTGTGCTGGGGGGGCACTGTGGTTAGCCGGGCCCCGGGAGGGTGCATTCCTCACTCGTGCCAGAGAAAATATGCGAGTTTGACATCAGTGGCTATTTAGGCACTCTGGGGTGGGATGAAAACGGGTGGGTATTTGTAAATTACCTTTTTATAGCATTTTAAAGGAACCTAATATATATATAATACCTTACTTTTAAAAGTTCAGAATAGCGACTTCCTTACTTTAACTGTCTAGTCTCTGTTTTTTCATCAACATCGTTCATTACAAATAAATGAGTTCTTTTTTCTTTAAAATTCATAAAAACGCTTTTGTCTTTTCAGTCACTTTTTGGTGTTTACTGGGATTCTCAGTATTGACCCCTTTCGTTTTCTCCTCAACTGGTTTTAAGAACGAAGCGGACTATACCCTGAGGGTTTAGTGGGCCCCAGTGACTGGGGTTCGAAACGTGCAGCTGCTAACGTTGCCTTTATGGCTTTGTGGGTGAGTTTATCCTCAATGAAGACTAAGAAAAACGTTGTAGAATAAGCTTTTGCTGGTACAACGTTTCGCTCTCTGTAGAGGTTTATCATGACTTGATAAAACTCTTCATATAGCGAAACGTTATCTTGATTGAAGCTTGTTTTGTAATGTCTTCGGCAAGTCGCCTCTGCAAGGACCAGTTGACTGGGGAAGAAATTGGGTTATATATGGATATTTCCTCTCTGGAGTTAGTATCTTATGTTATTTTGAGTTATTAACTACACCTGGGCTAATAATCTTAAATTATCTTGGTTTTCTAACCCTCCAGGGCTAATAATCTTGTATTATCCTGGGTTATTATTAAAGATATGCTTTTTTTTCCATTTTTTTCCAAAATCACAGCCTGAGATTCGGGTAAATTATATTACGAATTTAGTAACAAGACGTTTATACGTATTTTTATTTCCAGGCCGCCAAAAACGGCTTCGATACAGAATCCAACCAGGAGTGGGCCAGGAGGCAGATCGGCCAGATGCTGGGAGACAACCCTAAGTACCAGTCCTTTGTTGTGGGCTACGGTGTGAACCCTCCTGAGAAGCCTCACCACCGCTCCAGGTTTGTAAATACACATAAAACAAGGCTCTTGATGCAAGGAGAGAGAGAGAATGGGTCAAGTAGCGGCTCCACGAGGAGGCGGGACCAGGAGTTGTCTCTCCCAGAACTAAGAGGGTGAACTTTGAGGAAAGAATAGAAGAACTGAACTTGACAGCTGTAGAAAGGAAGAGGATTTAATGAGACATAATTTCGACATACATGTTACTAGGAAAATTTGATGAGGATAACAACAGACATTAATTTAAGAGTAAAGATCATCTGGCCTTGATAGATCACAAATTAGCTCAGAAAACTGAGCTAAATTTCTCAATTTTGATTAGCATTTTCGGTGTTAAAATATGCTTTATCATTTTGGAAATTACTTATTAATGTTTATGGGACACAAACAGCCGCTTTTTCCTATAATTGGAAATTATAGGTATTTTCAAACAGGTATTTACACCCTGGGTGATCTGGCAACTCTGTTAGAATTGTTCAGAACTGGTTCAGTATCCTCTTTAAAACGTCTTCCTTTGCATAAAGGGAATCAGAGATTTACAAGAGGAATTCACTTTTTATCTGACCTCTTTTTCTCTTTCTAGCTCCTGTCCCAGTCTTCCAGAAAGCTGTATCGGGGCATTTAACAACCCAGGACCCAACCCACAGACACTCTACGGTGCCCTAGTTGGCGGTCCAGGCTTGGTAAGTCACACATCACATATGAAAAGAAACGTTTAAGTGCAGTACAGGACATTGGAGGAAACGTTTCGCCCCAAGTGGCTTCTTCAGTTCTAATTAGGACTGAAGAAGCCACTCGTGGCGAAACGTTTCCTCCTGCACTGTACGTAAAGGTTTTTCCACATCTTGTTGGTGTCGCCATTTTCACAGATTATGGTTTGGTCAAAATATATTTTCCAAACCTGTTAGGTCTTAGGAATCTCCAAGAATAACAGTGATTGAAGGTGTTAATGTTTTGATCCAAAATCAGTCCCACGTTTCACAAAACTTAGCAATTATTATCAATAAGAATGACCTATGGAACTTTCCATTCATTTATTTCCTTCCTTTTGTTTATAACTGATAACTGGAGAAGTTTCATTTGCTGGTTTTTAATTCAATCGACTGTACCGGTTTGGATCCTTGACATGTACTCACTTAATTGTGGTTGCAAGGGTCGAGACTCAGTTTCTGGCCCCGAGCGATCAAATGTGATCGGTGGCCTGGTGGCTAAAGCTTCCGCTTCACACACGGAGGGCCCGGGTTCGATTCCCGGCGGGTGGAAACATTTCGACACGTTTCCTTACACCTGTTGTCCTGTTCACCTAGCAGCAAATAGGTACCTGGGTGTTAGTCGACTGGTGTGGGTCGCATCCTGGGGGACAAGATTAAGGACCCCAATGGAAATAAGTTAGACAGTCCTCGATGACGCACTGACTTTCTTGGGTTATCCTGGGTGGCTAACCCTCCGGGGATTAAAAATCCGAACGAAATCTTATCTTACCTCACCTAAGTTTGGGTTACGTGTATTGTTCCAGTCATATTATTGTAATTTTCTGTTTTTGGATTAAAACATTACGGCCACAATTCATCTGTACATTAATTTCAAGAATAACTTTCTTTCTGAAATAAGAATGCCTTTTCTTTTCAACACGTTGGTCGTCTCCCACCGAGGCAGGGTGACCCAAAAAGAAACACTTTCACCATCATTCACACTACCACTGTCTTTGCAGAGGGTCCCAGATACGTTTAGATGTCATTCCAAACAGCCAGTATTCCAAACCCCTCCTGTACATGTCAGATATATTTTAAAAGTACTGATAAATACACATCCTCGGTGTATATACTGTGTATGCAAGTGTTCTCTGTTTCTTTAACTCTCTTTATGTTCTTTTAACCTTTTTTCTTCTTGTTGTGTTCTCTGTTCTATCGTTTTTTACCTTTTGTCATCTGAACTTATTTTTCTATATAATGAAGCTCTCGCCCTCAAATAACCAAGAAATGCCTTTATCCACGACTGGTCATGGACCGGACAGCGGGGGTGTTGACCCCCGGAACACCCTCCAGGTATACTCAGGCATATTCCAGGTATAATCCAGGTGTACCCCAGGTATACAACTCTTCTTATACTTCATTTTTTGGGGGGTAATTTGCACTGGGAATCAATCTTGCCACCTCACTAAAGTGCCACAAAGAGTCTTGCTGCTGACGTAAATGATCGAGTAGTCTTGTGACTAAAAGTTTGTCACGACGAATGGACTTCGAATGCCAGTGAGGTCGTCAGATGGATTTCCAGTCCATCTTGAATACAAAATTTGCTTCTTCGATAGGATGGAATCTGATTTCGTGGAGTGTAAAAATTTCTTGATCACAGGACGGGAATTACACTGACGACCGCGGGGACTACCAGCACAACGAGGTGGCTTGTGACTACAACGCTGCCTTCACCGGAGCTCTGGCTGCTTTAGCTGAAATAAGCTAAATGTACAGACCAAAATGATGGATGATAACGCCTGCTCTGCAGGCAAAACGTTTCGTAAATAAAGATATCCAAATATCCATGTGTCTCATTCAATAAATCCAGACCCAGAGTTAATGCACCCTAGGCCTACCTCGGGAATTTCCTACCTCGCTTCCATATACATTTCTCTTCACTAGATTAATAAAATGAGTCAATATCCGAAGTAAAACAACAAATTTCTTTTATCATCCAAGTCGTTCTCCTCCAAGGTAACGCGACTTAAAAAAGAAACACACATTCACCATCATTCAACCCATAGATGTTTTTTTATAGTGGTGAGTAGACAATACAAGGTCAATTACCCTTCAAATCGCAACATCCCTGTCAATATATTTAGTGAAACTGATAAAAAATCTGACATTTTCAGTCTTATCTCAGTAAGTTTGCATTAGCTATTCGCCTCTTCAACACAGAGTTGGAATTTGTGGTCAGGACCAAAAGGTAGCCAAGAGGAAGACAGGGACAGAAGAATGACGAATTTGTCATACTGGTTCATAGTTTATCTGTAAATATGGGTGAAATTTGATTACTGTAAATGTGTGAAACACACGTACATATATACATACATACATACATACATACATACATACATACATACATACATACATACATACACATACATACACACACACACGGAGCCAGGAGCTATGAATCGACCCCTGCAATCACAAATACGCGAGTACACAATGTTTACCCTCGTGCGCCTTATTCTACCAGTCAGTGGAATTCTGATTCATAAACTAAAGTAAATGATTAGCATATATACGGTGAGAAACAGCATATTGATGATATATCGACATATTGAAGAATAAGTGATGCTCAGGATAGTTTCCAGGTCTTGAGGGACTGATCACCTCAAAACTACTGCTGTCTCTAGTGTTGTTTACGTCTGTATTCGAATAAAAAAAATCTGTGGTGCACAAGAAACGTTTCGGGAATAAAGATAACCGTTTCGGGCAATTAAGATATCCAAAGTGTTACACATGTGTCTTATTCATCAATAAAGATACCCAAGTGTTGTAAATGTTTCTTGAAAGTTAAGACACATGTGCAACATCTGGATATCTTTATTGTAGTAGACGTTTCGCCATCCAGTGGCTTTATCAATACAGATTCTAGGACATAATTGGAAGACAGTAGAACTATATACAAAAGATGAGGTAATCAGTCCCTCGGCCTTGGAGTTAGTGTTCACAGCATCGTGGTGGAGGAGAATCTGGAGCAAAGGTAAGAAGACTGGCGGTTATATAGGCGTCAGTGGATCAGGACGTGTAGCAGACGAGGACATAGTCACTGGTAGGCGGGATTCCCCAGTGGAAGTAGGTCCTTCCCAAAGAGATGGGTTAGTTGTAGCAGCCGTGAAGAAGGTCTTGTAGATGTCCTCGTCTGCTACACGTCCTGATCCACTGACGCCTATATAACCACCCGCAGAGTCCCTGTTGTCTTTTATGTCGTCTTCGTTATTGTTTATCCAGGCTTAGCAGTTGGGTCTAGTCCTGACTCTTCTCTCTTCGACTCAAGACATTCCTCTCACCGTCTATTCTTCGCACTGTCCCCACTTGCCCCTCGCCCGTCGTGGGTCCTTACCTGTGAGTCCTTGATTGATTTTGCTCCAGATTCTCCTCCACCACGATTCTGTCAACACTATCTCCAAGGCTGAGGGACTGATTACCTCATCTTTTGTATATAGTTCTACAGTCTTCCAATTATGTCCTAGAATCTGTATTGATAAAGCCACTGGATGGCGAAACGTCTACAATAAAGATATCCAGATGTTGCACACGTGTCTTAACTTTCATATTGTCGGTATTTTATCTTTCTTGCACTACATGTGTCTTATTCATCAATAAAAAACCTAAGTCTTGTACATGTGTCTTATTCATCAGTAAAGATACCGAAGTGTTGTACATGTGTCTTATTCATCAGCTTGTCAGTGTTGTGTGCCATCAATAATACAAACTGAAGAAAATAACTGGGTAAACAGCAAGAAATAAAGTAATACAATAACAACAAGTATATTACTCAATTAGTGCACAATAACCAATACCTTGCAGACGAAATTTTACTCAGCGTTTAGGTCCGGGACCATTATTAAGTTGTAACTTGCAAATGGTCTTGGATAGAACGAAACGTTGCTTGAAGTATTTTCTCCAAATTGTGAGTTTGAGAATTGTTCCAATTGCGGTATTGTGATTTAAATTCTTCGTTAATTGATGACTGTTGTTGCAGTCTTAATTTTTAAAGGAGTTGGAGGGGTAAGCCAGCGGAAGGCCTCGGTCTAATGACCAAAAGCTCCAGTGGTGGGTCATCATATGACCCCGAGTCAGGAATTACCTGTCAAACTTAGTTTCGTTTTCTCAGTAAAGGTCACTCGAACTTAGTTTCGTCTTCTCAGTAAAAGTCACTCGAACTTAGTTTCGTCTTCTCAGTAAAGGTCACTCGAGTTTAGTTTCATCTTCTCAGTAAAGGTCACTCGAACTTAGTTTCGTCTTCTCAGTAAAGGTCACTCGAACTTAGTTTTGTCTTCTCAGTAAAAGTCACTCGAACTTAGTTTCGTCTTCTCAGTAAAAGTCACTCGAACTTAGTTCCTTCTCAGTAAAAGTCACTCGAACTTAGTTTCGTCTTCTCAGTAAAGGTCACTCGAGTTTAGTTTCATCTTCTCAGTAAAAGTCACTCGAACTTAGTTTCATCTTCTCAGTAAAGGTCACTCGAACTTAGTTTCGTCTTCTCAGTAAAGGTCACTCGAACTTAGTTTTGTCTTCTCAGTAAAGGTCACTCGAACTTAGTTTCGTCTTCTCAGTAAAGGTCACTCGAACTTAGTTTTGTCTTCTCAGTAAAAGTCACTCGAACTTAGTTTCGTCTTCTCAATAAAGTTCACAGTGTAACGTGAAGGAAATATGCACTCGGGAGAGATGGGAAATCCTCCATGTGTGTACCAAATGACGTACCTCTCTCTCTCTCACAGTATCTCTACTGACGCACGACGGTGTAAACAACGTCAGGTGATGGGTTTGTGTGTCTATCAGACGAGCCCTGGAGACTAACATCTGTTGGTGGGACTGTCGGAGGACTGGTCTGTGACCGGTCCTTGTGTGTCCATCAGACGAGCCCTGGGGACTAACATCTGTTGGTGGGACTGTCGGAGGACTGGTCTGTGACCGGACCTTGTGTGTCTATCAGACGAGCCCTGGAGACTAACATCTGTTGGTGGAACTGTCGGAGGACTGGTCTGTGACCTTCGTGGAAGTTTCAGGTCTTTGCATGCATGAAAGGTTGTTATACGAGAACCCACTCAGTGGAGGTTTTGATCCTGTGATCGATGTCTTCCGCTGGCTTTCCGTCCGCCCGTAAAAGTTAATAATAACACCTAAAACGGGTGTCCCGTAGCTTGATTGGTAGCGCACTCAGCTCACACACTGAGACCCATGGTTCGATCCTCCTTTAAGAGTGAAAACATTTCGACGTGTTTCTTTAAGGCACCTGCTGTCCATGTTCACCTAGCAGAAAGTAGGTATCTAGGTGTTAGTTGACTGGTGTTAACCTAATTTGTCTGAAATGTTCTACATAAGCAGGGACTTTCTATATAGTCATACAGCACTTGGAGAATGGGAGGCATATTTTCTGAAGAACCTACTTTGTATGGGCCAGTAGGCCTGTTGCAGTGTTCCACCATTCTTATATTTTTCTGTATGATTCGAGGAAGATGGTGGTAGTGGTTAACTCCAATCTCTCATATCAAAAGCCCTTCACCAGCATAAACCCCTTGAAGGGTTAAACCCACCCGTATAAAACAAAAACCAGTCCGCTCTTCATTTACCCCGAATCCTGCTCTCACTCCAACTGGACATTGAATCCCCCCAAAACACCTGTCTCCATTAACTCCAGTCTAACATGTTCACAGGTGTCCAGATTCTCAAGCCCTTCCCTGTCTCCTAATCAAAACACAACCACTGTGATAGGCCTACTGGCCTACTCCGGGCAAACCCGGTAAACAATATGTAACACGTGTGTATCTATCTTTTTTACATCAAATTTTTCGTCCACACACAAGTTTTTAGTTGAATACAGAGGTGAGTATAGTAAGAATTAAAAAATAATTAAAATAATTCAAAAAGAATTAATTAAAAGAAATAGGCTTATTCAGTCGAGTATTGAGGAGTTGGTAGAAGCAGTAATGATTTGAAGATGATATAATCAGTCCATCACCCTTGAGGACGTAGTTTTGAGGTGGTCAGTCCCTCAGCCTGGAGAAGACTTTTGTTCCATTGTCTGGAACAATGTGAGGTCGAAGTGGCAGTATGGAGACTTGTATACTGTCAGAAGGTGAGGTGTAGTTCACTAGTAGAAGAAAGAATGCAATCATTGAGAGGTCAGGTATCTCTCACATCCAACCAAGACACTTAACTGTTGCATATGTGTCTAACTTACTAACATATTAGTATTGTATACCATTTTCATACTGTGTCAGGCACTGCAACACAACTGTATCTTGGTACAGAAATCAACTTGGGCAAACTTTTTCAAGTGAGAAGAGATGGATTTAAGGGGGACCTGACCTCTCTATGAATACATTTTTTTCTACTAGTGGACTACACCTCACCTTCTGACAGTATATAAGTCTCTATGTATCCATATTATCACTTCAACTTCCCATTGTTCCAGAAAATGGAACAAAACTCTTCTCCAGACTGAGAGTCTGACCACCCCAAAACTACGTCTTGAAAGGTGATGGACTGGTTACATGGTCTTTACATATATACTGCTTCTGCTAACTCTTCTGTACTCGACTGAAGAGCCTACTGTGTAGGCGAAACGTTTCCATAAAAAGATACCTAACTGTTGCACATGTGTCTTATCATAGAAGATAGAAAAAGAAGAAGAAGGAGAAGAAGCAATGAAGAAGAAAAGAAGACAAGAGTTATCCTTATCTGGCCCTACAGATAAAACAACTTGGTGAAAACGTCAAAAAATTCCCACAATATCTCACTTTTCAGAGTAAATCCACAACATCTCCAGCACACATTAAATCATACTTACGCGTAACACCTCTGGAAGTGGGATCACTCTAATAAGATCATCGGAACATTACCAATAAGTTGACGAAATAAGACACACACGCAACACACGTGTCTTATTCATGAAGTGGGAAAGAGTGAGACTCTCGACTGGGTATATAAGAGGTCGCTTAGTGGCATCAAGCGCCACAGTCCTCTTCTACAGCAGACATGACTGGTGTCCTGGTGAAGACCTGCCTGCTGGGGGCCCTGGCCCTCACACTCCTACACTCAGGTACCCATGTTTTTGAAACACATTGGTTTTTAATTTTGTTTTCACTTAAGCGCACGGTTTCACTGTGACTTTTAACGAAAGCGTACGGTTTCACTGTCACTTTTAACGAAAGTGCACGGTTTCACTGTGACTTTTAACGAAAGCGTACGGTTTCACTGTCACTTTTAACGAAAGTGCACGGTTTCACTGTCACTTTTAACGAAAGTGCACGGTTTCACTGTCACTTTTAACGAAAGTGCACGGTTTCACTGTCACTTTTAACGAAAGTGCACGGTTTCACTGTCACTTTTAACGAAAGTGCACGGTTTCACTGTCACTTTTAACGAAAGTGCACGGTTTCACTGTCACTTTTAACGAAAGTGCACGGTTTCACTGTCACTTTTAACGAAAGTGAACGGTTTGACTGTCACTTTTGAAGACAGACACTTACGTAGTATTTATAAATCTTGATCCTCAATAAAGGTTCCCAAATATTACACAAGCGACTTATTCTTCAACTTGTCGATTTTCTAAACCAATTACGTCATATATGTGAGTGTGTTGTTCCAGCCAGTGTTGTTCCAGCCAGTGTTGTTCCAGCCAGTGTTGTTCCAGCCACAGTGTTGTTCCAGCCAGTGTTGTTCCAGCCAGTGGTGTTCCAGCCAGTGTTGTTCCAGCCACAGTGTTGTTCCAGCCAGTGTTGTTCCAGCCACAGTGTTGTTCCGGCCAGTGTTGTTCCAGCCAGTGTTGTTCCAGCCAGTGTTGTTCCAGCCACAGTGTTGTTCCAGCCACAGTGTTGTTCCAGCCAGTGTTGTTCCAGCCACAGTGTTGTTCCAGCCAGTGTTGTTCCAGCCACAGTGTTGTTCCAGCCAGTGTTGTTCCAGCCATTGTTGTTAAAGCCAGTGTTGTTCCAGCCAGTGTTGTTAAAGCCAGTGTTGTTCCAGCCACAGTGTTGTTCCAGCCACAGTGTTGTTCCAGCCAGTGTTGTTCCAGCCAGTGTTGTTCCAGCCAGTGTTGTTCCAGCCAGTGTTGTTCCAGCCACAGTGTTGTTCCAGCCACAGTGTTGTTCCAGCCAGTGTTGTTCCAGCCAGTGTTGTTCCAGCCATTGTTGTTCCAGCCAGTGTTGTTCCAGCCAGTGTTGTTCCAGCCAGTGTTGTTCCAGCCAGTGTTGTTCCAGCCACAGTGTTGTTCCAGCCACAGTGTTGTTCCAACCAGTGTTGTTCCAGCCAGTGTTGTTCCAGCCAGTGTTGTTCCAGCCAGTGTTGTTCCAGCCAGTGTTGTTCCAGCCACAGTCTTGTTCCAGCCACAGTGTTGTTCCAGCCAGTGTTGTTAAAGCCAGTGTTGTTCCAGCCACAGTGTTGTTCCAGCCACAGTGTTGTTCCAGCCACAGTGTTGTTCCAGCCACATTGTTGTTCCAGCCAGTGTTGTTCCAGCCAGTGTTGTTCCAGCCAGTGTTGTTCCAGCCACAGTGTTGTTCCAGCCACAGTGTTGTTCCAGCCAGTGTTGTTCCAGCCAGTGTTGTTCCAGCCAGTGTTGTTCCAGCCACAGTGTTGTTCCAGCCACAGTGTTGTTCCAGCCAGTGTTGTTCCAGCCACAGTGTTGTTCCAGCCACAGTGTTGTTCCAGCCACAGTGTTGTTCCAGCCAGTGTTGTTCCAGCCACAGTGTTGTTCCAGCCACAGTGTTGTTCCAGCCACAGTGTTGCTCCAGCCACAGTGCTGTTCCAGCCACAGTGTTGTTCCAGCCACAGTGTTGCTCCAGCCACAGTGCTGTTCCAGCCACAGTGTTGTTCCAGCCACAGTGTTGTTCCAGCCACAGTGTTGTTCCAACCACAGTGTTGTTCCAGCCAGTGTTGTTCCAGCCACAGTGTTGTTCCAGCCACAGTGTTGTTCCAGCCACAGTGTTGTTCCAGCCGCAGTGTTGTTCCAGCCACAGTGTTGTTCCAGCCAGTGTTGTTCCAGCCACTGTGTTGTTCCAGCCACAGTGTTGTTCCAGCCACAGTGTTGTTCCATCCACAGTGTTGATCCAGCCACAGTGTTGTTCCAGCCAGTGTTGTTCCAGCCACAGTGTTGTTCCAGCCACAGTGCTGTTCCAGCCACAGTGTTGTTCCAGCCACAGTGTTGTTCCAGCCACAGTGTTGTTCCAGCCAGTGTTGTTCCAGCCACATTGTTGTTCCAGCCACAGTGTTGTTCCAGCCACAGTGTTGTTCCAGCCAGTGTTGTTCCAGCCACAGTGTTGTTCCAGCCACAGTGCTGTTCCAGCCACAGTGTTGTTCCAGCCACAGTGTTGTTCCAGTCACAGTGTTGTTCCAGCCACAGTGTTGTTCCAACCACAGAGTTGTTCCAGCCACAGTGTTGTCGCCTTTAATTCTTCCATTTGCTTTCAAAGCCGTCCATCGCCTATTTTTTTTCAGTAATATAGAACATACGAATGGAGGAGGAACACTGCAGCAGGCCTACTGGCCCAAACTAGGCAGGTCCTTCTCTAAACCAACCATTCCCAAAGCTACCCAAGAATTTACTCTCCTACCCACGACACCAGTCACATCCAGGCCCTCATAACAAACATCTGAAATGCCTAAACGACTGTGTTGACGTTGCAGGGGTGGAGGCACAGTGCGAACACACGGTCATAACGGAGCAGTTTCCTGGCAAGTATATGGCTGAGTTTACTGCCATTGCCCCAGTGGACATGGATGGTCTGACTCTGGACCTGACGTTCAACACTCCAGTCGACAATGTTGCTGTAAGTTTCCTTAGGCACACGTACACATAAGTACAATTATCACAGCGTAAATAGCATTAATGTTGCTAGAATTACCGAAAATATGTTCGATACGGCTTGATAAAGCTCCTGGAAAGCGAAACGTTGCCGCAATAAAATATCACATTAGTTGTACTTATGGTTTTTTAACCCAACATAAATAAAAATTGTTCCAGTTACTTAGTGAGCTGTTCCTTGATATCTCTTCAGTTCTTTGATGGATCGTCGACCAAGCACGACGACTACCACTTCACGGTGGAAAGTCAGAATATCCACGTGAAGGCCGGAGAAGAATTTTCGACCAAGTTCCAAGTGGAGTATTCTCACTACCTACCGTTTGTAGTTAATGAAGTGGTCAACGGCGTGGAAATCTGTGGTAAGTAGTGTCTCTTGTTGAAGAATATGACACGTATGCAGCAAGTACACACATGTGCAATATCTGGGTAATCGATTCTACAGTCTTAACCGTATGTCCTTGTATTGATAAAGCCACTGAATGGCGAAATGTCTACAAAGATACCCAGATGTTGCACATGTGTCTAATTGTTCATCTTGTCGTTACTGTATACCATCTATAATAATAGTAATAATAATAATAATAATAATAATAATAATAATAATAATAATAATAATAATAATAATAATAATAATAATAATAATAATAATAATAATAATCTTTGTTTCTACCAGTACATGTACAAGGTATACAGACCATAGCTGACATCAGTGACATACTACTATATAGAAAGCCACTTGTTATGCTCAGCATTTCTGGCAAATTAGGTCAGTTTTGTCCCAGGATGCGACCCACACCAGTCAACTAACACCAGATACCTGTTTTACTGCTAGGTAGACAGGGACAGCAGGTGTCTTAAGGAAACACATCCTAATGCTTCCTCCAGACCTCAATGTCTAACCTTGGAGAAATAGTATTTGAGGGGGTCAGTCCCTGATCCTGGAGAAGTGTATAGCTGCTGCTCGTCTTTACAGCTTATCGGTCTTATGTAACTTTTTAATATATTGTTTTACCAGCCAGTGGCTTTATCAGTTATGTAGATGATTTGTTACGATGGTAAAAACTGAGGTAATTAGTCCCTCTGACTGTCAGCCTGTGTTCTGTGTCTTAGTGTTAATGAATCGGCTGCTAGCCTGAGGGACTGACTGCCTCATCTGCCACTGTCTTCTGTGTATAGGTTTGCAAGACTGAGGGACTGATTGCCTTTGGTTGGCGAAAAGTCTAAAAAATAAGAAAAAACTAGGTATTACACGTGTTTAATTCCCTAATGCACATTGCGAAACGAGGTACCAGAGAGACTGTATAGAGCTTTATCAAGGCTACACAGGGCGAAACGAGGCTCCAGAGAGACTGTATAGAGCTTTTTCAAGGATACACAGGGCGAAACGAGGCTCCAGAGAGACTGTATAGAGCTTTATCAAGGCTACACAGGGCGAAATGAGGTTCCAGAGAGACTGTATAGAACTTTATCAAGGCTACACAGGGCGAAACGTTGTTCCAGTAAGTTTATTCTATAACGTTAGTCTTTTGTTCACTAATATCTTCTGTTTACCATGTTGATCAAACCAGGATAATTATGGATTGAATCCAAATATTTCTAGTTTCCTCTATCTCTTAACATGCTCTCTGACACAAGATATTACCGCGACTCAAGGCTGAAGGACTAATTACCTCAAACTCCTCATCATCCACTATTCATCTCTGTATAGGACTGAGGAAGCCACGAAACGTTTCCGCAATACAGATACCCAAGTTTTGCACAATTGTCTCAATCGTGTATGTTTACAAGTTTTCTGCAATTGGTGGTTATTTTAAAAGCCCGTTTTCATGTTTACTCCTTTGTCCTCTCTGTTAGACGTTATCGTCACTACACCAGCACCAATGCTGAACCCTTGTGCTGAGACTGGCATGACCCCTTACGACTACAGTCAGGTCAGTACCCTAAAATTTCGTCTTTGGATAATATGCCACAATTAAGCATCACAATTTGAGTGTCATCTGATGATGAAATGTGACTTTGAAGTCCATATGATGCTTGTGTTTATCATATAGCTGACTTCTTTCCACACATCCTCAGGTACTGTGCATGTCCTTCGTGTTCTACGAGGCTCAGCGGTCAGGCAAGCTTCCTGCTGATCAGCGCGTCACTTGGCGTGGTGACTCAGCTCTTGATGACGGTTCTGATGTTGGTCATGACCTTAGTGGTGGCTACTATGATGGTGAGAGACAGAGAGCGACAGCAAAAATACATGAATAAATTGCAAGAAGGTAAAAATAAATGACTACATGCCGTACACCACTTAAAATTTCCCTCATTCTTTTGCCCATTTGCAGCTGGTGACCACGTCAAGTTTGGCTTCCCCATGGCTTATACCGCCACTGTGCTGGCTTGGGGCCTCATTGACTTCGCTGAAGGATACGAAGCTGCTGGTGAGTGCTGCTGCTTGGTTCTTGCAAATCAACATAATAACGTTCGTTGTCGACCGGGGTTAAAGTGGCGTTAGAAATTATGGAGACGTAGGCAGAGTTTTAAACCTCATCCATGAAAAACTTAAATAGATCGTCAGTTTTAATCTTGATCAATTACTCACTAAACACAAAAGATTATTAAGTGATGATCCTTTGTTTTTAAGTCTTTTATTTAGGAAAATTGGATAAACAGTTTGTTGTTACCCTATTTATATGATAGAATAAAATCTTGTAGTTTCCCCTGTTATATTCCATAACAGAGGATGGGTTACATAGTGTTAAAATCTATCGGCCTCAGATGAGGGACCAGTAGAACTGTCTATATTACCAACTTGTCGGCATTTTATACCAATTTCGATATCTGCTAAAGGTTTAACAGCTATGACAGTTTCAACTGTTTCGCTCCAGCAGAACTGGAGTTACTGTCACAAAACTTAACTGATGTTTACCGCCTTCAGAAAATAGGTATGTGACCAGAATCCACAGGACAAACTCAGAGATTATAACTATTCCAACTTCGTCACAGGTCAGACGGAGTACGGTCGGGCAGCAGTCAAATGGGCCACAGACTACTTCCTTAAAGCTCACACTGCCACGGATGAATTCTACGGACAGGTGAGAATCCTCTCAACTTGTTGACAAATACTTATTGTTCATTTTAGGAATTAGTTTATGATTACATTGCATCATTTCTTATAATAATAGTTAATGTCATTACCAGTAACCTGATGTTCAAAGGAAGCAATAAAACTAGATAGCGTTTCATATTTTGTGGGTCATTGTAAGGAAATGGTGGGGGTTCGATCATTAGTCAGGTAATCGCAGCCTGGTCTCTGTTCAGTCAGGATGTTGGTGATACCTCTGGGTTGTAAACATGGTAGAGTGATAAACACTCCAACAGCAGAAACGAACATGGGCAAAAACCAGAAGATACATGTATATATTAGTCAGCTGAAGAGGGCACCACTTGCACACCGAAATAAACAGTAGCCCTATTTTTTTATACCAATCTAAATGGGCTGTAATAAGTCCCAGTGCTTAGGAAAACTAACAAAAGTTCACAAGCTGTACAGTTTCCCTCGTTCATGTAAGAGTGCACCAACTCACTATAATCTCCCCTCATTCGAGTACTGAACTAAGCAGTGGCGCAGCCATTGGTGAAAGGGAGGGACGGGAATTACGATAAAGGGAGATAACATCCCCTAGATGCAAATAATTACTTATTTTTCAATTAGTGGATAATTTTCACCATTATATTAACCAGGGAACACGAAGGCACCATAGCTGGAGAAATTCCACGCACTAAAAATCATGTTTTTAAGAGACAATTTCTTTGAAATTCTCGGTATCTTTTTATTTTTAAACTCACTTTTCCCTAGATTGGAATCCTGGCCTAGGTCACCCCAGATAGACATCTTGGCTGCGTTCTGAATCTAAGCATAATACAACTTGATTTTGTTTAGTCAGTGTTAGAGTTAGGGGTAATGAATGAGTGCCACGATCTGATAGAGCAATGTGAAGTCCTCTAACAGCATTTGGTCATTAGTGTAGATAAATAGTTCAGAGAACCGACAAGTTGAAGGACCTTCCTAGTATGGGCCAACAGGCCTGCTGCAGTGTTTCTCCTTTCTTATGTTCTTATAAATCAGACACATTGATGGACTGATTACATCGACTCCAGGCTGAGGGACTGATTTTCACAAAATCCTGATCTTCACCGTTCTTTGCACTGTACTGATGAAGCCACTGTGTGGCGAAACGTTTCCACAATATACCCAAGTGTTGCACATATGTCTAATTTATCATTCGGTCTTTTGCAGGTAGGCGCTGGTGGTCCAGACCATGGTTACTGGGGTCGCCCCGAGGACATGACCATGGAAAGACCATCCTATAAAATTGACGAACAGCACCCAGGTAAATCATTGTGGTTGAAGGGGACTGAAAGGTTGAGGAAACCCGTGACTTGGTTTATTCTGGCGACGCCTTAACAAATATAACAGTAGAGGCTATGATGTAAACAGTTTAGAAAAACTGACAAGTTGACGAATGAGACACTTGTGTAACATCTGGGAATCTTTATTTAGGAAATGTTTTGCTAGCCAGTGGCTTCTTCAGTCCAATACATATAAGAACGGTGGAAGATGAGAAGTTTTGAGGTAATCAGTCCCTCAGTCTGGAGTCTGTGTGTGTAGTCCATCATGACTGATGGACTAAACACAATGACTCCAGACTGAGAGACTAATTACCTCAAAACTCCTCATCTTTCACCGTTATATGTAATGGACTGAAGAAGCCACTGACTGGCGAAACTTTTCCATAATAAAAATTCCCAAATGTTGCACAAGTGTCTCGTTCTTCAACAAAAGCTCTAAAGCTAAGTATGAATAAGCTACACACAAAAGACGACCCTAAGGGCTGAAGTTACTCTTCAATCCCTCGTTATCACTTCTCAATATCCAGGAGTCTGGATACCTGATATGAGTAATAAATTGTAAGAACATACCTTGAGAGCTGAATAACATTAAGTAAAAGAACATAGCTAGGATAGTGTCAATGTTTAATTTTTAACGGCAACTGAGTAATATGTCGTTAGCACGTTAAGTTGTTGGGGATAACTGTGAAGATGTGTCTCGAGGTGCTCCCTCTTTTGGTTCGGTAAAACAGCACTGATAGGTGACCCCATGACCATCCCAAAACATTACATGTAGTAGTCAAAGGAGAGTTCCGTTAGAACCACAAAGTTCTTCCTGGGTATAGGCAGGTCTAGGTTGTCATCAACTTTGCTGTGGATTAGCGCATAGGTCAATGAGATGCTCTCCTTTCACCAGATAATAGTGGAAGTACGTCTGCCTGGTGCTTAACAGACGGAGGATCGAGCCTCCACTCTGTCTTACGCTGAATGAACCAAGAATTACATTATTCCATCGTTGCTTCCAGGAAGTGATCTGGCTGGAGAGACAGCTGCTGCCCTCGCCGCCGCCTCCATTGTCTTCCAGGTGATTATTAGTTCCACTTGCATGTTAGATTAGGTAAGATTCATCAGGAAATAGGACAAGTGCTTCCAGACGCGGGTCTGGAACTTATGATCATCTGACCGAGACCTTCCACTGGTTTACCCCTAAACCCCTTTACAAATTAAAATTATAATTTTTTCCTCCCACTTGTGGTTGTTTTTCTCCTTTTTTATTAATTGTGTAAAATTTCCCGTGTGTAAAATGGTGGAGTCACTGACTAATGCAATTTTCCTTGCCATTTACCATTTTTTTTTTTGCACTGGCCTGATATCTATTTATAACTGTGCCTTTGAAAAAACATTTTTTCTCTTCTAGTTTTAGAGCTAATTTACTTGGCCATTTTGTGCAGCTTAAAGACATCTAATTTGAAGTCCTGTTGACCCTAAAATCTGTATGTGGCTTCTTCAGTCCTGAAAAGTCACTCGTGGCGAAACGTTTCTTTTAATAAATGTTGTAAACTATGTTGTTAGGTAAGACACATATGCAACAGTTAGACAACTTTATTCCGAAACGTTTCGCCTACACAGTAGGCTTCTTCAGTCGAATACAGAAAGTAGGCAGGAACAGTAGAGATGTGAAGACGATGTAATCAGTCCATCATCCATCAGTCCAGGCCGAGGGACTGACAACCTCAAATTCTACGACTTTAAGGGTGATGGACTGATTACATCGTCTTCACATCTCTACTGTTCCTGCCTACTTTCTGTATTCGACTGAAGAAGCCTACTGTGTAGGCGAAACGTTTCGGAATAAAGTTGTCTAACTGTTGCATATGTGTCTTACCTAACAACCTGTCGGTATTGTATACCATTTTGATGTTCACGTTGTAAACTATACATAACTGTCTTTGTCCTCATCTTGTCAGTATCACCAGACCATTTTTCACACCGAGAGATGTACGACAGAGTGAGATCCTTTTTTTTTTTTTTTTTGAAGTGGGGATATGCCTGTCACAAGTAGACGCCAGCGACTGCTTCTCTCAGAACGAATTATGACTCAGACAAGTTTCGATGTCCCTAGTACGGTTACACCATCTTTGGCTTAACCAATAACGAAGACTAGCGCCGGAAGACGTTACTTCTGACTGACTAAATGCTATCGCTATTTTTGTGCTAAAATGATCTTTGGGAAGTTTACACAAGTGTTTAACCCTCGCTCTCTATAACACTGGTCTTCACCTCTCAGGATGTGGACTCAGCTTACGCTGCAGAGATGCTGGGCGTAGCCAAGGAGCTCTACGACTTCGCCGACAACTACCGTGACATCTACGACAACGCCATCACAGACGCCACAGCATATTATCAGTATGTATTATAAATCTCGGAACGGGTGTGGTTTTAACTCGTAGCAAATAGGTTATAAAACTCGCAAGCCAGTGCGTTAACCACTGGGCCAGCTGGCTATAATAAGAGTCACCCAACTAGGTATATTTCTATACACAATAGGTAGGTTAGTATGGACCATCACTGTGACCACAAATACAAGTTTTTACAGACGAATCTCACACCAGCGTATCTGTGTCGCACTTTAACTCAGGTCCTCCGAAAATACATATATACCATCACTGCTTTACACATGTTATGTCACTACTGTCCTTTGTATATTACTTCTCCACATGTCAGTCGGATTCTTCTTAACTTGTATTCCTAAAAAAACGGTAAGTTGAAAGTATCCTCATCCAGTCTCAGTTCAGTAACATCACCGTCACTGTGTACGTATCAGTGATACACAATACTGACACGTAACACATGTACAACAGTTACGTATCTTTAATCCGTAACATTTCGCCTATACAGTAGGTTTCTTCAGTCAGATACAGAGACAACAGCAGAAACTGTGGAGATTGTAGAGACGATGTAATCTAAATATTGCACACGTGTCTTATCAACAGTGAATTATTTCATGAAATGTCACAAGATGAAGAACATTCACTGGGACAACTTTTCACTTAACACGAGACAAAACGTTATCCCAACAAAATCTTATTTGACCACGTGTCTAGTACAAATGCTATTGTAAGTTAAGTTCAGGGTACACCTTGCACGATCTGTTACCCTCTCTAACTTGTGAGATTCTCATTTCAAATGTTTGTATCCTCCCTTCTTCCTAGTTCATGGAGCGGATATGGTGACGAGCTGGCCTGGGCGGCCCTGTGGCTGGCTAGAGCCACTGGCGACGACACTTACCTCGATCGCGCTAGGGGACACTGGGACGAGTTTGACTTCTTGGCAGAAGATGTGCTGCAGTTCTCATGGGACGACAAGAGGGCTGGAGTATATGTGAGTTCTCTTCAAAGTGTAGAGATGCTTATATACCATCCTTTTCTCTGAATTACTCAGTTTAATGCAGCACTAAAGATTTATAAATTAAACATGGAATTACCATAACAATTCAGGGGATCTCCACCTGTACAGGGACTTCTCACCTTGCTGGATGGTTCTTCAGAGTACTCTGACCCCTTCGTCAAGTATCTGGACTGGTTGAAAACCTCTGCCCCGTACACCCCTCAGGGTCTGGTCTTCCTCGACCAGTGGGGCTCGAACCGTCACGCTGCAAATGTTGCCTACATCTCTCTTTGGGTCAGTTATTTTCTGGTCTTCCAGGAAAACAATTGAAAATTTTTCACTAAATAGCTGAAATAGATGTTTTTGCGGTAATTAGACATGATGCTTGTCTAATTTACTGACCCATACAAGGCAGGACCTGCCTTGAATGGGTCAGTAAACCTGCTTCAGTGTTCCACCATTGTTTTGCTCTTAATCTAGTGTTTAACTGAATATTTTTAGGCCGCCAAGCACGGCATTGATGCAGCAGCCAACGAAGAATGGGCCAGAGGCCAGATCGGTCAGTTGCTGGGAGACAATCCTATATACCAGTCCTTCGTGGTCGGCTTCGGTGAAAATCCTCCTCAGAGACCCCACCATCGCTCCAGGTATATATGCACATATATGCAGAATATGTGTGTGTGTAAACACATGAAAGTGCTCAGGTTTGATTTCCTATTTTCACTGTGGTATTTTTCACACACACTGTATAATGTGTGCGCAAACGACTGTTTAATAATCGCAAAGCAAGCCATGGGAAAAAAGACGATGTAATGTAGCAGTTCAAGGCCTTTTTCACTCACTAGTGCTTCATGTTTGGTGCTGGAATGTGATTTTTAATGTACATTTAGCGAGTGCATTTCGTTTCCAGCGATCTTTCCAAATGTTAATATCTGCTTTAGAGTGGATAATCGCTGCTTCCAGGCATTTTCACTTCTGGGAATCATTTTCATTATCATTCTTGCCCCTTTCCAAATGACGTGTTATGTCTCTGCTTCAGCTCGTGCCCAACTCCTCCTGAAACCTGTGATGGAATGATGACCTATGACGGTCCCAACCCGCATGTTCTGTACGGCGCTCTGGTGGGAGGACCATCTTCAGTAAGTTGTCTCAACTCATCTAATTGGGACAGAGAATTCTCATAGCTTAAAAATTAATAATAACAACAACAAACAATAATAATAATAATAATAATAATAATAATAATAATAATAATAATAATAATAATAATAAATAATAATTTTAATTTAATAAAATACTATAACTATTACTACTACTAATAATACATAATAATAAAAATAAAAATAAAATAAAAATATTGAAATATATTGATAATGTTAAAAATAAACACTATGGTTTAACATGATTTTAGTCATAAAGTATAGACGATCTTCAAAGAATATTTCATATATCTAGTGTTTCAATTTTGATTCAATATCATCAACTGAAACAGAGAAAAAAATGAAATTATCCAAAAAGCCGATGAAGCCGTTCATGTGTAGACATAATCTCATCAGATAAATTTTTTCTGATAGTCTGTTGGTAAATTAGAGTTTTCTTACGTAAGTTAATCTAGCTGGATTGACTTAAGTGCGTTTGTGATGGTCGTTTGTGTATCTTCCTCAGAGTGGAGACTACAACGATGACCGCCAGGACTACCAGCACAACGAGGTGGCTTGTGACTACAACGCTGCCTTCAGCGGTGCTCTGGCTGCTCTGGTCGAACTCAGCTAGACGTCCAAAATTAGATTTAAACACCATTTCGGAGCTCTTTTTGAAGACCCTTTAGCTGGTTCTATTTGAACACCATTTGCCTAGGCTCTATTTGCTCTAACTGAGCTCAGCTAAAAGTTAATTAATTTAGCTTTGAACACTATTTACCCGAGCTCCATTCAAACACCCTTTACCTGAGCTCTATACGAGCACCCTTTACCTGAGCTCTATTTGAACACCCTTTACCTGGGCTCTTTGTTCTGACTGAATTCTGTTAGACTCCATGAATTAATTTTCAACACAGTCTTTCTTTAATAAAAAAAAACTCTACAAGTTTTCCATCTTTTCTCATCTCTCTCCCTATTATCCAGAACATCCCATACACAATGACTCTCTAGTTGTAAGAAATTCTTGACATTCTTGAAGTCGTAATAAATGCAGCCAAAGGATTTTTGTTTACATTAGTATCCTTCATACAGCGGAGGTATTTTATATGGTAAGAGAAACCGCGGGGGAAGGGGAAATTCTCCCGAAGAGGCAGAAACAGTATGGAGACTCATATACTGTCAGAGGTGAGGCGGAGATAGTCTTGACGATGGGAGAGGCGGAGACCACTAATAGAAGAACGTAAACACTGGGAGGGTACAGAAACCTCTTCTGAAGTGGGTCTTATTCATGGGCTGAAATGCTCGGTGAAGTTTTGGGTCATCTGAATGAGAGTTTTTCGTTAGTTTAACGGACCAGCCTTTAAAATGAATTTATTTCGTGGCACGAAAAAAGTGCTTTTGTTTAATGCCATATAACAAAAATAAAACCAGTGAGCGAATTTTATTTAAGCGAACTCAGGAAGAGGACAAGAGCTGTATGACCCCAACAGATTCAGCAGTTCTTCATATGTATAATAACAGTAGCAGGAAATCTCTAGATTAAAATGGATATGTTCTGTAAAAATAGTGACAGTTTGTAAATAAAAATGATCTGCAAAGATGGAGATGCTTAGAAGCTTCACCCTCAAGGGAGAGTCCTTGATGTTGGTGAGGGGCTCTTGATCTATGGAATTGGACCTGTGCTCCAAATTCTTTAAATTAAGCCTGACTGCGAATATTAAAATGGTATACAATACCGACAGGCTGGTAGGTAAGACACATGGGCAACAGTTAGGCAACTTTATTCCGAAACGTTTCGCCTACACAGTAGGCTTCTTCAGTCGAGTACAAAAGTAGGCATGTAATCAGTCCATCACCCTTGAAGTCGGAGATTTGAGGTTGTCAGTCCCTCACCCTGGAGAAGGGTTCTGTTCCGTAGTCTGAAACAATTTGAAGGAACAAGAGACAGTGTGGAGACTTATATACTGTCGAAAGGAGAGGTGCAGGGTGGTAGTTGTTAGTTTAATATGTTTATTATGCACCCCATACCCATCCTAGATTACAGAGGTACATAATGGGTCCAGGGACTGGGCCTCAAAGTTTTGATAGCTGAGCAAGTTACAGAGGTAATGAATTCACAATTTACAAAGGTAATGAACTCACAATTTACAAAGGTAATGAACTCCAGGTAGGTCAAGTCACAATCATGACAAGTTACAAAGGTATTTACAGATTACAGAGGTACACAATGGGTCCAGGGACCGGGCTCCAAAGTTTTGATGGCTGAACTAGGTACAAGGTAATGAACTCACAAGTAGTAGAGAGAATGTAGTCACTGAGAGGTCACGTCCCTCTCAGTTCCAACAATTCTCACTTGAAAAGTTGTCCAAGGTGTTTTCTCTTCTGTTCCGAGATGCCCTTGTGTTGCAGTGTCTGTCTGACACTGCAACACAAGGGCATCTTGGTAACTTGCATCGTGGTAACTTGCTAACACCCTATGATATATAGAAATATACCTGGTTGGATGACTCTTATTAGAGTCAGTTGGTCCAGTGGTTAACACACTGCCCTGTGAGTTTTAAGACTCGCTTGCCATGGGTTCAAACCCCACCTATTACCTGATTTGCCGATATCGCCGTACCTAGTAAAACCCGTGGCTTCGATGTTATGTTTAGGCAGTTGGTTTAAAAAAAAGTTGAATCTCTTAGGGCCTCTAACCAAGAAGAAATGCAATTAAATTTAACTATTACAAAACCGTATTTTTCTTACCCGCTGCTTCATGTATGATTGTAAACGTGAAACACAGCGTAGTTATCCACTCCTCAAAAATATATAGCAAAGTTGACAATAGATTTGCTATACTTCTGTCACCAGTGTCTCCAAGGTCTTACCAACTGGGCACATTAGAACATAAGCACCTAGGAACACTGCAGCAGGCCTACTGGTCCGTGAATAACAAACACAATACCATGACTGGAACAATACACAAATAACCTGCACATAGGAGAGGGAACTTACGACGACGCTTCTGTCCGACTTGGATCATTTACAAAGTCACACTGAGTGTGACTTTGTAAACAGCATCAAAGATCACATGAGAAAAACAGAACTTTTGAAACTAAATCAGGAAGGTAAATCACCTCACGTGAAGAGATGCGGCAAAAACCTATTTGGGGAAAAACAGAGAGAGAGACTTAGACAATGGAATCAATATGCATAAATATGCATAGCAAACTAACAATAACAATGCATACGTCATGCACAATAGCACTACTGGACATTGTGTAAAGTGGGACGAGTCTTAACTCATCATGGAAGAAGAGAACCTGTATACCTGTACAAGTGCCTATGTTTGAAATCTAGAAAGGTAATAGTTTTTGCAAAACACTAAAATACAAAAAAAAAAATCTGGCAAGGTTAATTTCGTGAATAATGGTAGAGTTACCTACAATATGTTAGGTAAAAAGGCATATGTGCAACACGTAATATTTTATTGTGGTAACGTTAGTTGCACTTATGTCCATGTACCTAATAAGGTTTATTTTGATAAGAATTGTGTAATATTTGCAACTTATTCAACATTTACACAAGTGTCTCAATTATCAACTTCTCGGTTTTTTAAACCATTTAATCAAAAGGTTTATTTTACAGGGCACGTCCGTCAGGTGACCCGACAAATTACACTACACCTGACTCACGAAATCGTAATGACACGATTGCAAACAAACCATACCACGCATGGGGTTAGAACCCGCGGTCAGAAAGTCTCAAAACTCTAGCCACTGGATCAGTTTTTTTTCTTTTTACACTACACCTGATTTGTTTATATCTGATATTCCTTCGATAATATGTTCTCTTATTTTCTGTGTTGGTGCGTCTTATTGTGAGGTTTTACGTCTTGTTCATGTGATCTGCATTTGTGAGGTTCCCAAGGTGATGTTAATACGGATTAAAAAGGCACAATACTGTGACTGGAACAATACAGAAATACATAGGAGAAAAACTAGTCACGCACAGTGTGACTAGTTAATGGTTCAATTCGGGCCGACATATTATAAGCTTCTTTTTCCTGTGTGCGAATTGTGTATGGAAATAGGTGTTTATAATTGTTGAAATAGCGTTGCGGTATACCTGGAGGGTGTTTCGGGGGTCAGCGCCCCCCTGCAGCCCGGTCCTTAACCAGGTCTCTTGCGTGGTAGGGAGCGTTCTTTTGTCGCGAAGACCCATGAAGGTGAAGAGGGAGATTTGGATAGTGGAGAGGAATGGTCAGGAGATCAAGGGAAAGATCCGGGGCTAGACTCAGCTGCATGGCGTTGGTTGGCCAGAGCTGGAAGGAAATGCTGCTTGTTGTGTTGACTGTATACTTGCTTCTGCAGAGCTTGTCCGGATACAAGTGACAAAGGACTGGCAGACAGCGGCACCTGTACGTCATAAGCAAGGCTTGCTATTTCCTGTTTCTCAATGCTATTGTTGATAGAGGGGGAAATATGGAATGTTAACTAGAAAAAACGGGTGTCTTTCAAGGTCCACCCCTGCAAAGGGCTGGGCAGAAAATATGTTAGAGATTAGGTATAGAGAGGGGAAGGAGCAGGATTATAGAGTGGAAAAGGTTTTAAAGGTTAGGTGGTCGTCTTATGATTTCGTCAAGGTATGTTATTCATAAATCCTGGCGGGTTTCTAGTCAGTCTAACTGCCTGTCACTGAGCTCTTTCTACAAAACGTTCAGTGCCAGGGTGCCAGTCCTGGTGTATAGAGTCTCTCTCCACACCACATCCAGCACCTGCGCAGTGCACAGTTCTGAATTCACTGTACTTTCAGGACATTAATCTTAGCAGCAAGTGAAAGAGTGAGAGGTGTGGATGTGATAAGTAGCCATATAAGTGCCTTGTATAAGTGTAGCTTAGAGTGTGGATGTGAATCTTCAAGCTTGTAGAGTCGCTCAAGGGCATTACTAGCTAAAGCTCTCTTAGCATGTATATGGAGTCTGAGACTGGAGTCAAGGTTAACTCCAAGAACAGTGATCTTCTAGTAGTGGTGGTTCTGAGTTCGACAGGTAGTGGTGGGCGTCCTTTTGGGAGGAAGTATATCATTTTGGATTTATTGACGTTAGTTTTAGTACGCCATAGGATCACCCAGGTGCTAATTCGTGTTGTGTTCTGAGTGATAGGTACCTACAGATTTCATGTGCGATGAGTGTATAATGTCATCTGTATATGGTAGTGTGTGTTTTGGTGTACAGGGTCTTTTATGTCGTAGGAAAGAGTACTGAGTCCTGAGGTACTCCCGCGTGTGGTCACCAAGGAAGTTGCAGAGTAGCTTTTGAGATTCCTAGGAAGATCAAAAAGGTAACATAATTGTAACCGAGCCTCGCAAGTCAGTGTCGAATGCTTCCTCCACGTCTGTGTACAGTCATGTACTGTCATTTAGTAAATGATTTAAAATTTTTATTTAATTAATTCTTTATGATATTTAAATAAAATGTGACTTTTTCCTGTGACTTTCCTAGCCAAAACTGTGACTTATTTTCTGTGAATTTTTTTTCCTGGTGATTTTTCCAGTGACTTTTCCCCGGACACCGTCTGGGTATAACAGTACTTTCATATTGCTTGTGTTCATCTCTTAAACATAACTCCTCTGAAGGTCACATTATCGTTTTGATGCTGAGAAATTTATTCTGTGCTCTGGGAACTTCCTCACCTGTCTGCTGCTACACAGGTGTATTTTTCGTCGTCAGTGTACCTAATGACGCATTCGGGTATTCATATGACGTCCATAAATGGCTTCCGTGTGGCACGAGCAGTAATTCTTTATACTAAACTTATTGGTAAAATTATCTACAATGTTAGATAAAAGGCCACAAGTGCAACTAGTGCGACATTATGGCAACGCTTCGTTCTTCAGGAGCTTCGGAGAGCGAAACGTTGTTACAATAAAATGTCGCATTAGTTGCACTTGGGTTCTTTTACCTAACACATGGAAGAATCTGAGTAGTATGGGCCAGTAGGCGTGCTGCAGTGCTCCTCCATTATGTTCTGATGAATACGTCCACAGTTTGTTACGTTGTGGGTTCAGAGGCTTTATGTTGTCCTGGCATTTTAGCGAGTATTTTATCACATAGGATGGGTTGCATACATGTAGTAAGGAAATCTGTCAACTTGAGCAACAAACCTAACAGGCAGACGAGAAGAGCTTTTAAAACACATCTGCCATCTCCCACCGAGGCAGGGTGACCTGAAAAGAAAGAAACTTCCAGTTCTTCTTCTTTTCATTTAGTAATCTGGCGAGAGGATATCGTCAAGAATTTCAATATGAACTTAGTACTTACGAAATCTTCAAAGGTTTAATTTCACCACTGTTGGTGTGGTTATGGAACCTAATTTCCGTTGACGATAACGCCTTGAATCGTCATTAATCGTTATATCTAACACAAACAGAGTAAAGGCAGCTTCATCGTGGCCCGGTGGCCTGGTGGCTAAAGCTCCCGCTTCACACACGGAGGGCCCGGGTTCGATTCCCGGCGGGTGGAAACATTTCGACACGTTTCCTTACACCTGTTGTCCTGTTCACCTAGCAGCAAATAGGTACCTGGGTGTTAGTCGACTGGTGTGGGTCGCATCCTGGGGGACAAGATTAAGGACCCCAATGGAAATAAGTTAGACAGTCCTCGATGACGCACTGACTTTCTTGGGTTATCCTGGGTGGCTAACACCCCGGGGTTAAAAATCCGAACGAAATCTTATCTTATCTTATCGTCTCTGAAGTATTGCCAAGAGTTCTCCTCAGAGCAATAAACCCCGCCAACACTTGTCTGCTACTACTACTACTACTGCCACTACTACTACTACTACTACTACAACAACTACTACTACTACTACTACTGCTACTATCTTCAACGATTATATTATGCTTTGCATCTCTGTACTTATATATACCCTCTGTGTCCATGTATTGTTTGTAATGGCTTGACAAAGCTCCTGGAGAGCGAAACGTTGCCACAATAAAACGTCACGTTAGTTGTACTTGTGTCCTTTTACTTTACATATTGTCGGTAATTCCACCAACATTAATTCGACAATGTAAAATAAAGATACCCAAGTGTTGCATGAGTGTTTCGTAAGAGATTTGTGGACGTGTTCGTAATGTCAAGTCGTGGGAATGTTGCTGTTGCGGATTCGCGTGACTCGAGTATAGGATAACATGGGGTGCAGGGTGACGCAGGTGCAGGGCGACACGGGGGAGAGTGACACGGGGTGCAGGGCGACACCGTGTCTGTGGGAATGAACGAGCGAGTATATAAGAGTGTTGGTACAGCCTCCATCACACCCCACAGTCTCTTCTGCAGCAGACATGACTGGTGTCCTTGTGAAGACCTGCCTGCTGGGGGCCCTGGCCCTCACCCTCCTACACTCAGGTACGTACACGCACACACACACACACACACACACACACACACACACACACACACACACACACACACACAGTATTTCTTCAGTCACAGAGTTGTAAGGCAGTGGAATAGCCTAGAAAATGACGTAGTGGAGGCAGGAACCATACACAGTTTTAAGACGAGGTTTGATAAAGCTCATGGAGCGGGGAGAGAGAGGGCCCAGTAGCAACCGGTGAAGAGGCGGGGCCAGGAGCTAAGACTCGACCCCTGCAACCACAAATAGGTGAGTACACACACACACACACACACACACACTCGGGCCAGGAGCTGAGTCTCGACCCCTGCAACCACAATTAGGTGAGTACACGTAGCACGCCTTTACGTAAAATTTAATTCTTTTTCCAGAGTATAGATAGACAACGTGTCTGCCTCGCGATTAGCTGACGAAGGATCGAGCCTTTGGCTGAGTAACTCACATAGGTTTAGCGTTTCGCAGAATAATAATAATAATAATTAATAATAATAAATAATAATTAATAGTAATAATAATAATAATAATAATAATAATAATAATAATAATAATAATAATAATAATAATAATAATAATAATAATAATAATTAATAATATTCAGCCTTTTAATTAATTGCAACAAACTCTTTAAGGAAATCCAGTTACTCACGAGGTGCTTTAAGTCCAAGTAACTGGAGCTACCTAGCCACTCCTCGGATCAAACCTGTGTCCCTACCACTTCCTACGATCTGTATAACCCCTACGGGTTTAACATTACTGAATCTTCATTTTTTTAAATAGCAAATTCATTGAGTAAACTCGTAGGAGCGCTAAACCCGCAGGAGTCGTACAGCACCCGAGGAATCAGAGGCAATCAAGAGGGTTGCTCTTATTTCCCGGATCAAGAGCCCTTCACTGGCATCAAGTGTCTATGGGCAAATTTTGTCACCACAGCGTAATATATTTATTTTTTGAACCAACTATAGATGTTCCTATAGTGGGTTCAGGGGTTCCTATAGTGGGTTCAGGGGTTCCTATAGTAGGTTCAGGGGTTCCTATAGTGGGTTCAGGGGTTCCTATAGTGGGTTCAGGGTTCCTATAGTGGGTTCAGGGGTTCCTATAGTAGGTTCAGGGGTTCCTATAGTGGGTTCAGGGGTTCCTATAGTGGGTTCAGGGGTTCCTATAGTGGGTTCAGGGGTTCCTATAGTAGGTTCAGGGGTTCCTATAGTAGGTTCAGGGGTTCCTATAGTAGGTTCAGGGGTTCCTATAGTGGGTTCAGGGGTTCCTATAGTGGGTTCAGGGGTTCCTATAGTGGGTTCAGGGGTTCCTATAGTAGGTTCAGGGGTTCCTATAGTGGGTTCAGGGGTTCAGGGGTCCCTATAGTGGGCTCAGGGTTTCCTATAGCGGGTTAAGATGTTCCTGTAGTAGGTTGAGGGGTTCCTATAGTGGGTTCAGTGGTTCCTATAGTGGGTTCAGTGGTTCCTATAGTGGGTTCAGGGGTTCCTATAGTGGGTTCAGGGGTTCCTATAGTAGGTTCAGGGGTTCCTATAGTAGGTTCAGGGGTTCCTATAGTGGGTTCAGGGGTTCCTATAGTGGGTTCAGGGGTTCAGGGGTCCCTATAGTGGGCTCAGGGTTTCCTATAGCGGGTTAAGATGTTCCTGTAGTAGGTTGAGGGGTTCCTATAGTGGGTTCAGTGGTTCCTATAGTGGGTTCAGGGGTTTCTATAGTAAGTTCAGGGGTTCCTATAGTGGGTTCAGGGGTTCCTATAGTGGGTTCAGGGGTTCCTATAGTAGGTTGAGGGGTTCCTATAGTGGGTTCAGTGGTTCCTATAGTGGGTTCAAGGGTTTCTATAGTAGGGTCAGGGGTTCCTATAGTGGGTTCAGGGGTTCCTATAGTGGGTTCAGGGGGTCCTATAGTGGGTTCAGTGGTTCCTATAGTGGGTTCAGTGGTTCCTATAGAGGATTCAGAGGTTCCTATAGTGGGTTCAGGGGTTTCTGTAGTGGGTTCAGAGGTTCCTATAGAGGGTTCAGTGGTTCCTATAGTGGGTTCAGTGGTTCCTATAGTGGGTTCAGTGGTTCCTATAGAGGATTCAGAGGTTCCTATAGTGGGTTCAGGGGCTTCTATAGTGGGTTCAGGGGTTCCTATAGTGGGTTTAGGGGGTCCTATAGTGGGTTCAGTGGTTCCTATAGTGGGTTCAGTGGTTCCTATAGAGGATTCAGAGGTTCCTATAGTGGGTTCAGGGATTTCTATAGTGGGTTCAGAGGTTCCTACAGAGGGTTCAGTGGTTCCTATAGAGGGTTCAGTGGTTCCTATAGTGGGTTCAGTGGTTCTTATAGTGGGTTCAGTGGTTCCTATAGTGGGTTCAGAGGCTCCTATAGTGGGTTCAGAGGTTCTTATAGAGGATTCAGTGGTTCCTATAGTGGGTTCAGTGGTTCCTATAGAGGATTCAGAAGTTCCTATAGTGAGTTCAGGGGTTTCTATAGTGGGTTCAATGGTTCCTATAGAGGATTCAGAGGTTCCTATAGTGGGTTCAGGGGTTTCTATAGTGGGTTCAATGGTTTCTATAGAGGATTCAGAGGTTCCTATAGTGGGTTCAGGGGTTTCTATAGTGGGTTCAGTGGTTCCTATAGAGGAATCAGTGGTTCCTATAGTGGGTTCAGAGGCTCCTATAGTGGGTTCAGTGGTTCCTATAGAGGATTCAGTGGTTCCTACAGTGGGTTCAGGGGTTTCTCTAGTGGGTTCAGTGGTTCTTATAGAGGGTTCAGTGGTTCCTATAGTGGGTTCTGAAGTTCGTATAGTGGGTTCAGAGGTTCCTACAGTGGGTTCAGTGGTTCCTATAGTGGGTTCAGTGGTTCCTATAGTGGGTTCAGTGGTTCCTATAGTAGGTTCAGGGGTTTCTATAGTGGGTTCAGAGGTTCCTATAGTGGTTCAGTGGTTTCTATAGAGGGCTCAGTGTTTCCTATAGTGGGTTCAGAGGTTCCTATAGTGGGTTCAGTGGTTCCTACAGTGGGTTCAGAAAGTCTTATAGCTGACATACTGATCCAGTAGGTTGTGTTTACCTTCAGGAGCTGAGGCACAGTGTGAGGAAACAGTGATTGAGCAGCAGTTTCCTGGGTCTTACCTGGCAGAGTTCACAGTGCCTGCACCTACAGAGATCACCAGCTTCTCCTTGACTATCACCTTCAGCACTCCCGTCGACAATGTTATTGTAAGTTTGACTCACGAAATCGTAATGACACGATTGTAAACAAGCCATACCACTGGTGGGGTTAGAACCCGCGATCAGAGTGTCTCGAAACTCCAGATCGTCGCCTTAGCCACTGGACCAGCTGGCTACTGTCTTGTTGTAGCTAGCTGGTCCAGTGGCTAACGCGTCAGTCTGGAGTTTTGAGACTCTCTGATCGCGGGTTCTAACCCCACCAGTGGTATGGTTTGTTAGGCTATCAAGGTTGATGGGGTGGTTGCCTACCGCGTCTCCAAAGGATTTATCAATCCTGATATCATCTGAAAGCTTCAGGAAACACTGACAAACCTTACATAAGAACATAAGACAGAAGGGACACGGCAGCACTCCTACTGGCCCATGCTAGGCAGCTCCTTCTCCAAATCCACTAAAAAATATTCGTCCAACCCACCATCAACATTACCCATGGAATATGTTTTGATAACTAAAGTGAAAATCCCACTGAAAACCAACCCCTCTCACTCATACATTTACCTAATCTATATTTAAAGTTTCCCAAGCTTGTAGCTTCAGTAACCCTTCTGGGTTGACTGTTCCACTCACCCACTACACTATTTCCAAACCAGTACTTTCCTATATCCTTTCTAAATCTAAATTTATCCAATTTGAATCTATTATTTCGAGTTCTTTCTTGAAGGGATATCCTCAGGACCTTATTTATATCTCCTTTATTTATGCCAATCTTCCACTTATACCCAACCTCACCTCAAACTGCTTTATGCCTTCCATCGTCTACATAGTCTCCGTAATTAGCTTGATAAAACTCCCGTGAAGATAACCAAGTGATACACACTCTTCTACCATTGTTACCAGCTTGGTGTGAAATTTATTATCTAATAATGGTTTAAAAATGTGCATAAGAATGCACTCGGACCAGAAAATACTTCCCTCATTCCTTTGTCATATCACTACCTGTCTCTTGCCTCTGTCATATCTACCTCTACCACTGCTTCTCCACTTCTTTCTTCCTCTCTCCCGTCCCTGTCCCCCCTCGCCTATATATACTGGCTCTCTCACCCTCGTGTGTTAGTGTGACTTGTTAATGGTTCAAGTAGACCGAAACGTCTTCATAAGCTTCTATGTGCGGGTTATTTGTGTATATGCTACCATTTTAGGCTCCTGTATGGTAGAAATGATCGAGGTCCCAGAACCGAAATGTTCTCTAATATTTCTTATTATTTCCTCAAGTGTCTTTTTCAAACCATTTATTGCCAAGATCATAAATTTATCAGTACAGTAAGCTCTTATAAAGCTATTCTTTATAAAGGTATTATTTGCAAAATCGAAAAAGAGCATTCAATGTTGATTAATAGTTATCATGAAGGCCTTTTTGGTGCTATACAATCTTGTATATACATTTCAATAGCAATATATATATAATATATATATATATATATATATATATATATATATATATATATATATATATATATATATATATATATATATATATATATATATATATATACATATATATATATATATATATATATATATATATATATATATATATATAATATATATATTATATATATATATATATATATATATAAACTTCATAAGACAGCTGATTAGTTTCAGTGTGATGATCATGGCGTAATAGCTCATAAAATACGTGCTAAAGGAATAACTGGGAAAGTGGGGAGATGGATCTTCAACTTCCTAACAAATCGAACACAAAGAGTAGTGGTCAACAGAGTTAAATCGGAGGCTGCCATAGTGAAGAGCTCTGTTCCACAAGGCACAGTACTCGCCCCCATCTTATTCCTCATCCTCATATCAGACATAGACAGAGATATACATCACAGCACCGTATCATCCTTTGCGGATGATACTAGGATCTGTATGAGGCTGTCATCTGATGAGGACGCAGTTAACCTCCAAGAAGATATAAACAAAGTTTTCCAGTGGGCAACGGTAAACAATATGATGTTCAATGAGGACAAATTCCAACTACTCCGTTATGGAAAACTGGAGGAAATAATAACTAGAACAGAGTATACTACAGACTCTGGCCATACAATAGAGCGGAAAAATAATGTAAGGGACCTGGGAGTAGTAATGTCTGAGGATCTCACTTTCAAGGATCACAACAGTGCCACGATCGCACGTGCAAAGAAAATGAAAGGATGGATAATGAGAACGTTCGAAACGAGAGATGCCAAGCCAATGATGATCATTTTCAAATCACTTGTTCTCTCTAGGCTGGAATACTGCTGTACATTAACATCTCCATTCAAAGCAGGTGAAATCGCAGATCTAGAGAGTGTACAGAGATCCTTTACTGCACGTATAAGTTCTGTCAAGCACCTTAACTACTGGGAACGCTTGGAAGCACTTGACTTGTACTCGTTGGAACGCAGGAGGGAGAGATATATCATAATCTACACTTGGAAAATCCTGGAAGGAATGGTCCCAAATCTGCACACAGAAATCACTCCCTACGAAAGTAAAAGACTGGACAGGCGATGCAAAATGCCCCCAATAAAAAGTAGGGGCGCCATTGGTACACTAAGGGAAATCACTATAAGTGTCCGGGGCCCAAGACTGTTCAACAGCCTCCCATCAAGCATTAGGGGAATTACCAATAAACCCCTGGCTGCCTTCAAGAGAGAGCTGGACAGATACCTAAAGTTAGTGCCGGATCAGCCGGGCTGTGGCTCGTACGTTGGACTACGTGCGGCCAGCAGTAACAGCCTAGTTGATCAGGCCCTGATCCATCGGGAGGCCTGGTCATGGACCGGGTCGCGGGGGCGTTGATCCCCGGAATAACCTCCAGGCAACCAGGTAACCCAGCTGGGCAACATCTGGGTATCTCTGTAGACGTTTCGCCCTCCAGTGACTTTATCAGTACCATAGCGGACATATCTGAAGACTGTATAAATATATACAAAATAAATGTATACGATTGTTTACAAGGGTAGTCTTATTACCAGTGTAAATTGTTTGGTTGTCAAAATAATGGGACTCAGTGCGTGGACTCATTACGTACCACTGTAGGGAGTTCAGTGGTTCCTAAAGTGGATTCAAAGAGTCCTACAGTGGGTTCAGAGTCCAAGCTCACTCGTAGTAGATCAAACACCTATAGACAGAGCCTTTATTAAAACTCACAGACCAGTGCGTTAACCACTCGTATTTCGTGTTTTGTTTGTATTCGTGTCGCGATTTCGTAAGACATAGATCTCATACTTAATAAAACCCTCACCGGATAAGACTTTCAGCTGGCTTACTGGTCCACCTTTTAACATGCAAGGTACCATCTGATGAAGAACATGAAGACAATACCGTGACTGAATACACAAACCGCAAATATATTTACTGGCTCCCTCGTCTTCATGTGTTAGTGTGACTTGTAAATGTAAAGTAAAAGGACACAAGTGCAACTAATGCGACATTTATTGTGGCAACGTTTCGCTCTCCAGGAGCTTTATCAAGCCATTACAAACAATACATGGACACAGAGGGTATATAAAGGCTCAGAGTGAGGTGTAATACTAGTGAGGTAACATTTCGATGTTCACTAGTGGTAGTAGTAGTAGTACGAATTAATTGCTCTATCATATTGTATTACTTTTGTCACTACTACTACTACTACTACTACCACTAGTGAACATCGAATGTTACCTCACTAGTATTGCACCTCACTCTGAGCCTTTATATACCCTCTGTGTCCATGTATTGTTTGTAATGGCTTGATAAAGCTCCTGGAGAGCGAAACGTTGCCACAATAAATGTCACATTAGTTGCACTTGTGTCCTTTTACTTTACATATTGTCGGTAATTCTACCAACTTTATTACGACTTATAATGATCCATGTCGGACCGAAACGTCGTCATAAGCTCCTCTCTCCTATGTGCGGGTTATAACATCTGATGTTTTTACATAATGATGTGTTTTTCTCGGCAGTACAATGATGGTACGGTGACCAAGGTTGATGACTACACCTTCATCCTTGAGAACCCAAATATGCATGCTAATCCAGGCGAGGGTGTACATGCTAAGTTTACGGTGGAGTTTACTCACAACATACCCTATGTTGTCAACGAGGTGTTCAACGGTGAAGAAATCTGTGGTAAGTGGCCTTTCGTTGGTTAATTGGGCTTCAGGTCTATCGAAAAAATAATAATAATGATTAAAATTAAAATTATGATTTTTAAAGGGGTGGAGGGGTAAGCTAGTGGAAGGCCTCGATCAGATAACCAAAAGCTATAGTGGCGAGACATCATTTGACTAAGAACCCCGTCAAGAAACACTTGCCATGCCTAACCTAACCCTACCTAACCTAACATTACCTAACTTCACCTTACCTTACCTAACGTTACCTAACCTAAAGTTACCTAACATCACCTTACCTAACCTAACCCTATCGATTACTCTGAGTCATTAAGGCTGTATGATCTTGATTGGCTAATTCAGTTTCAAGACTGTGATGAATGGTTTGAAAAACCGACAAGTTGAAAATTGAGACACTTATGCAGCATATGGGAATCTTTATTCAGGAAACGTTTCGCCACACAGTAGCTTCATCAGTCCAATACAAAGAGGAAGGTGTAAGGAGAGGAGGAGCATGAGGTAATCAGTCCCTCAGCCTGGAGTCGATGTGTTCAGTCCATCAATCTTGTAGAATGTACAGCAAAGGGCCGTAGACGTGGCTTATATACTGTAGTGAGGTGAGGTGAAGCAGGCGGAGGCGGGGTCATAGTGGTACCTTCCACTAGTCGAAGTAGGTCTTCGTCCAAAGGTTGAACAAGTGTTGAAGAATTCTTTGTAACAAGATCCCATGATGCTGCAGTGTCTGACAGTTGTGATGAAACGTTTCCTGAATAAAGATTCCCATATGCTGCATAAGTGTCTCAATTTTCAGTTTCAAGACTGTATGATCTCCCTGTTGCTTGGTTAATTGGGATTCAAGCTACTCAGTCAATATAACTGGTTAACTGGGTTTCAAGCCTATCCACTACTGCCTGTTCACCACCAGTCAGTAATACTTTAATGCCTAAAATAGGGATTAAAGTAAACTCTCAGTGTATATACAGTGTATATACAGTGTATATACAGTGTATATACAGACATACTCCTCTCAATCCCTCAAGACAAGAACCTAAGTATGCGGAGAGTCCTTGTGTACTGCAGATAAATGGTTGTAAAGTAAGAGGACACAAGTGCAACTAATGTGACATTTTATTGTGGCAACGTTTCGCTCTCCAGGAGCTTTGTCAAGCCGATACTCCTGGAGAGCGAAACGTTGCCACAATAAAATGTCACATTAGTTGCACTTGTGTCCTTTTACTTTACACATTGTCGGTAATTCTACCAACATTATTACAGATAAATGGTTCACAGAACCAACACGTTGACGACTGGGACACATGTGTAACACTTGGGTATCTTTATTGTGGAAACGTTTCGCCACACAGTGGCTTCATCAGTCTAATACAGAGAAGACTTTTGTGAAAAATGGTCTGGTGATATCGACAAGATGTGGGAAAAGACATTTATGTCCAGTTCGGGACATTTATCAGAGGAAACGTTTGGCCTCTAGTAGAGAAGAAGCCATGAAGCCATAAAGAAGCCATAAAGAAGCCATGAACGCAGTACATTTACAACCCAGATAGTTGCCACACCATTAATAACACCAACTCCATCTATGGCTGTTTCATTTCTTCCCATTATCTCAAACCTCATCTTCCCCATTACTTCCTTACTATTCCTACGGTCAAGTAATTCCTTGTTTCTTTCCCTCATGACCAGCCACCTTCGCTACCACTCCAGTGCCAATGCTGAACCCTTGTGAGGAGACTGGCATGACACCTTACGACTACAACCAGGTCAGTGCCATGACATCCTTCCATAGTAAAAAAATTGCATCATGTTGACTTTCATTTAGATTTCATCCAGAAATGAGGCCCTCGTTGGCTGCTATTATTGTTAATGGTTGGAATCCCGGCGTAGAGAGAAGAATATCTGTTAAGGGTGAAGCCACGGGTTTTCAAAACTGACTTATGTAACATTTGGGAATCTTTATGGAGGAGACGTTTCGCCAGCCAGTGACTTTTTCAGTCTAATACAAACTACTATTCATCTTCCACCGTTTTTCTCTGTATTGGACTGAAGAAGCCACTGGCTAGCGAAACATTTCCTCATTAAAGATTCCCAAATGTTGCACAGGTGTCTCTTTCTCTGTTAAAGGGACGGAGAATCGAGCTTCTACTACTCCTTTAGCTGAAAGAATGCACGAGCCTAGTACTTTATATAATGTTAACATACCAATACCCTCGTTTCCAGGCACTGTGCATGTCCTTCGTGTTCTACGAGGCTCAGCGGTCAGGCAAGCTTCCTGCTGATCAGCGCGTCAACTGGCGTTTCGACTCAGCACTTGATGACGGTTCTGATGTTGGCCACGACCTTACTGGTGGCTACTATGATGGTGAGAGATAGATATATAGACAGATAAAGAGAGAGAAAGAAAGAATATGTAGTATCTTAAGTGAAACCAACACTTGCATATCCATAGATATGTCAAAACAATGTTATTCATAATCTTCTCATTTGCAGCTGGTGACCACGTTAAGTTTGGCTTCCCCATGGCTTACACCGCCACTGTGCTGGCTTGGGGTCTCATTGACTTCGCTGAAGGATACGAAGCTGCTGGTGAGTCTTATGTATTACATGAATGGTAAATAATGTATTTCGCGGCTTGTAAGACTTGTTTCTGTTTCAATGGCTCGGCATCGGACGTAACTGGGAGAGCTACATCCCACCCAACACCCCAAACTTACAGCTCCCGTCACTGACCCTCAGTTTATAGGACGCAAAGTGGTTTTTGGAGACATTTTATGGAAAAAATGCGTCTAATAAGCCGCGAAATACGGTAATGCCATCAAAATGAAGAATTAGACACATGTGTAACATCTCGATATCTTGATTTGTAGACGTTTCACCATCCAGTGGCTTTATCAGTACAAGGACATAATGTGAAGACTGTAGAACTCCCTCAGCCTTGGAACTGGTGAAGAGCGACAGGTGTCTAATTCTTCAGGAGGTCTTCTGTACTTCATGCAAGTTCACCCTAGACTGTTGCAATATGATTCCATGTTTTAACTAAATATGGGAAATTAGCTGTAATTAGCGGACGCTAATTGCAGCTAGCGGACGCTAATTACTACAGTAGCTAAATAAATACTGATAACCAACACTATACACTGAATAATTACTGATAATTAGCATTGTACATTGAAAAATTACTGATAACCAGCACTGTATACTAAATAATTACTGATAATTAGCAGTGTAAATTACATAATTAGTATTACAATGTTGATATTACGCAACACCGACAAGTTAATGGACAACACATGTGCAACACTTGGGATCTTTATTATCGAAACGTTTCGCCTGCGAAACAGGCTTTTTCAGTCAAATACAACACTAAGTAGGAGGTGATCAGTCCCTAACCACGTCACAGCCTAAATGGCAATAAACGACAAACGGAAAAAAAGGCAAACGTGGTACATAATCTTTTTTCTTTACCCTAGACAATAATTAATGTATTTAAGAATAAATCTAATCACAGGAATTTTGAAAAAAAAAACTATTCTACGCTAAGATATTAAATTTTTTATTAAATTAAGAAAATACTTTACTAAGGAATTAAAAAAAGGTTACTTTGTAATGGCTGGAATAATTTACCAAAAAAAATCTGCTTTTAGATGATCCTTATGACGGAGAACCTAACGTCGTTATGACGGAGAACCTAACGTCGTTATGACGGAGAACCTAACGTCGTTATGACGGAGAACCTAACGTCGTTATGACGGAGAACCTAACGTCGTTATGACGGAGAACCTAACGTCGTTATGACGGAGAACCTAACGTCGTTATGACGGAGAACCTAACGTCGTTATAACGCTCAAACTGCGACTTTTAACGAACCTTAAGATCTTGGTGGTATTTTGTTTGATGATTATGACACATGTGCACCAGTTGGGTATCTTTATTGATGAAACGTTTCGCCTACACAGTAGACTTCTTCAGTCGAGTACAGAAAGTAGGCAGGAGCAGTAGAGATGTGAAGACAATGTAATCAGTCCCTCACCCTTCACATAACTACTGTTCCTGCCTACTTCTGTACCCAACTGAAGAAGCCTACTGTGTAGGCGAAACGTTTCGGAATAAAGTTGCCTAAATGTTGAACATTAAAATGGTATAAAATACCGACAGGTTGTTAGGTAAGACACATATGCAACAGTTAGGTATCTTTATTATGAAACGTTTCGCCTACACAGTAGGCTTCTTCAGTCAAGTACAGAAAAGTTGATAGAAGCAGAAGATACTTGAAGACGATGTAATCAGTCCATCACCCTTAAAGTTTTGAGGTGGTCAGTCCCTCAGTCTGGAGAAGAGCATTGTTCCATAGTATGAAACAATATGGAACAATGCTCTTCTCCAGACTGAGGGACTGACCACCTCAAAACTTTAAGGGTGATGGACTGATTACATCGTCTTCAAGTATCTTCTGCTTCTATCAACTTTTCTGTACTTGACTGAAGAAGCCTACTGTGTAGGCGAAATGTTTCATAATAAAGATACCTAACTGTTGCATATGTGTCTTACCTGCCTAAATGTTGCTTATGTGTCTTACTTACCAGCTGTTGCACATGTGTCTTAATCTTCAACTTGTCGGCAATTTATACAATTTTCAACGTACTGATGCTGCTAGTTTCTTCCCTTCAGGTCAGACTGACTATGGTCGCGTGGCAGTCAAATGGGCCACGGACTACTTCCTCAAGGCCCACACTGCCACGGACGAACTTTACGGCCAGGTGAGAATTTTCTCTCTGGGAGCAGTAGATTTGTTTGAGAATATTGACACGTTATATTTGATAAATTAGACAAATATGCAACAGTTAGGTATCTTTATTCCGAAACGTTTCGCCTACACGGTAGGCTTTTTGATTTAAGTACAGAAGAGTTAGTAGAATAAGGATATCTAACTTGCGCATACGTCTTACTTATTAACCTGTTGGAATTGTATACCAGTTTAATATGATCATATAACCGAGGCTTTCTGATGGTTTACCTACGTTATGTGTGTGTTAGTTACCATTTTGTCCTAGGCACATGTCGATTAGACACTAGGCCTGTTGTATATGAGTACGTGTGTGTGTGTGTGTGTGTGTGTGTGTGTGTGTGTGTGTGTGTGTGTGTGTGTGTGTGTGTGTGTGTGTGTGTGTGAGTGTGTGTGTGTGTGTGTGTGTGTGTGTGTGTGTGTGTGTGTGTGTGTGTGTGTGTACTCACCTATTTGTACTCACCTATTTGTGGTTGCAGGGGTCGAGTCCTAGCTCCTGGCCCCGCCTCTTCACCGGTTGCTACTAGGCCCTCTCTCTCCCCGCTCCATGAGCTTTATCAAACCTCGTCTTAAAACTGTGTATGGTTCCTGCCTCCACTACGTCATTTTCTAGGCTATTCCACTGCCTTACAACTCTATGACTGAAGAAATACTTCCTACTATCTCTCTGACTCATTTGTGTCTTCAACTTCCAATTGTGTGTGTGTGTGTGTGTGTGTGTGTGTGTGTGTGTGTGTGTGTGTGTGTGTGTGTGTGTGTAGGAGTGAGCTTCATCAAGTCCCGGTAAAGCTTTTTCCTATCTAAAATAAAATTGTGTGTGTTTTTGTAATCGGCGTTATAGCCTCTAGCCATAACGACGTTGTGGCATTCACATATATGTAAATAACATATCGTAAATTTTAGGTTGGCAACGGTGGTACGGACCACGCTTTCTGGGGCCGCCCTGAGGACATGACTATGGCCAGACCTTCGTATAAAATTGATGAACAGAAGCCAGGTAAGCCACTAGAGTTGTGGTGAGAGTTATAGCAGCAAGACCTAGCATGAAAAGTAAGATTATTGTCTAAGTTTCGCTAAGGATTGAGAATTATCAAGTCTTAATAAAGGCTTGCTAACGCTCAAATCTTGTTGTCTTGGTGTCCCCCATTCACCATAAACACCATCACTGACGCTTCCTTGTTTTCATCCAGGATCTGATTTGGCCGGAGAGACAGCTGCTGCCCTTGCTGCAGCTTCTATTGTCTTCCAGGTAAATAATCCCCCTTGCATTGTTGCATTTTTATTTACAATTAACCCTCAGTTTGATAAATTAGACACATGTGCAACACTTGGGTATCTTTAATGATACCCAATTAAAGATACCCCATTAAAGATACCCAAATGTTGCACATGTGTCTAATTTATCAACTTGTCGGTTCTCTGAACCATTCACCTACAACCTTCAATTTGTAGAGGTGGTTTTAAACGGCATTACGATCACGTCCAGAAAAGTCCAAACGAATCGTAAAAATGCCTCTAAAAGTGTGGTTTAATTATGAATGGTTTTATTTACTGCATTGTGACTGTTTTTTGTCCTCTCTACTGGAAATGCTGTAATACTCATGCTCTTCGATATGTACCATTTAAGGCTTTTTTTCTTGCGTTCTATAGTTAGCATATTCTTCTGTAGATAGTAGAGTGGCCCGGTGGTCTGGTGGCTAAAGCTCCCGCTTCACACACGGAGGGCCCGGGTTCGATTCCCGGCGGGTGGAAACATTTCGACACGTTTCCTTACACCTGTTGTCCTGTTCACCTAGCAGCAAATAGGTACCTGGGTGTTAGTCGACTGGTGTGGGTCGCATCCTGGGGGACAAGATTAAGGACCCCAATGGAAATAAGTTAGACAGTCCTCGATGACGCACTGACTTTCTTGGGTTATCCTGGGTGGCTAACCCTCCGGGGTTAAAAATCCGAACGAAATATTATCTTATCTTCTCGGTATTTATTCAGTTATCAAGGCATGTTTTGCTACCCAAAATATTTAACCATTTGCTGTCACAATGGTGAAATTTTTAGTTCGCGTTCTGAAAAAGTCGTTGTTTTGGCCACAATGTTTCATCCGTCTGTTACATTGCATCATTGTAATATTGGTAAATAATCACGATAAGATGAGGGATTAGACACGTATGGAACACCTGGAGATGTGTTGCAAATAGTGACTCTTTGCAATTCAGTGCATAGAAGATGTTGCAACAGTAGAATCCTTCATAGTCATTAAAACTAAGTTACTGAACACTGGCTTGCAGGCTCAGGGACTGATTACTTCATTTTCCACTGAGGGACTGATTATCTCATCTTCCCCTGAGAGACTGATTATCTCATTTTTCACTGAAGGACTGATTATCTCATCTTCATCTTCCACTGAGGGATTGATTATCTCATCTTCCACTGTGAAAAATCCACTGGATGGTGAAACGTCTTCAGATAAAGATACCCAGGTGTTAGGAAAACGGTCACATGTGCAATTAATGCGAGATTTTATTGAGCGAAAGTTTCGCAATCCGGGATCTTGACAAAGCTCCTGAAGAGCGAAACGTTGCCACAATAAAATGTCACATTATTTGCACATGTGTCCTTTTACTTAACATATTGTGGGTCATTCTACCAACATTACATACCCAGGTGTTTTATCTGTGCCTAATTCCTTATCTCTTACACTGCATTCATCTCCCAGGATGTGGACTCAGCTTACGCCGCAGAGATGCTGGGCGTAGCCAAGGAGCTCTACGACTTTGCCGACAACTACCGTGACATCTACGACAACTCCATCACAGACGCCACACAATATTATCAGTAAGTGTTGTATGTTATCTGTTCAGTATCTTTCCCCCTGCATACCCCTCTGAATCCTCCTGATAATCCATGAAGTTATATTAGGTTCTAAGCTCTCCCTTACACTCCAGCAAGCCAGTATGTAAGTATGAGGTTCACATGACTGTGGTCCTGGCACGGGTTTTAATCTTGCAATGACCCGTCTCTGGTTCCCGAAGGAGAAGGGTTCTGCAATGTTGCAACGTATGCTGTTCCAGCACTGCCCTGGGCAGTACATCTGGTGCGTCTCCTAAGCGACAACGCCGTCTGTATCAGCACTAGACTGGCTTATGAAGGTTAACAGCTAGTTTATACTCGACTACTGTCGATTCTCAGGCGCTGGATGGCCAATTCTGATATTGCTCTTCCCCAAGAATATGATAATGATAATATACCAACGTTACCCCTGTCAGCATATTAACAATTAATAGCGCTAATTCATTAACAAAGCATGAGTGTCAGCCGGTTATTAACAACAGTGCGTCACTGTCAGCGCATAGCAGTTTAATATAACAATTGGTCTAATATCATCAGATCAGTGAAAATAACAGATAAATCACATATACATAAAGTCTTAGTTCAGGCTTGATCCTCCGGAACGCAGATAGAAGCTTTCAAGAAGCTAAACAGCCAAGTGTTTTTGTGGATCTGATAGTCGCTAGCAGAAACAGCCTGCTTGATCAGGTGGTCAACAGGGAAGCCAGGCTTCAGGTTCGGATAGAAGAACCCTCAAAACCAGCCACAGGTACAGTCACATGTCCGCTAACCGTACTTGGTGGTTTATTCGTTACGTAAAAATACATCGTCTCCTAACAAGGGTCTCAATTATATTAGGTACACACAAATAACAGGCACACAGCTATAGGGTACACAAATATTAGGTACACAGATATTAGGTGCACAAACAGGTACACAAGTATTAGGTACACATAAATATTAGGTACACATAAATACAGTTACACAAATTAGCATATATAGTAACATGTGTGGAAATTACCTAGGATAAGTCAGCATCCGCTGGCTTACCCAAGATAGAATCGTTCGTGAAAACCCGCATTTGGGGTCACACTGTGACTCTTAAAAATCTTCCATGTTTGTATAATACGCAGTTGCATGAATCTTATTAGACCAACATGGTTCAGTGGACAGAACACTTACTTGCTAGTTTAAAGACTGATTTCCTTGGGTTCCAGCTCGAAATATACAGATAAATTATTCTCCCGTGTTTCTGCCAAGTATTGATTACACTTTAGTTATTAATAATTTTGTACAAGTGAGCTACATTATCTCGTCTCAACAGTTCATGGAGCGGGTATGGTGACGAGCTGGCCTGGGCGGCACTGTGGCTGGCAAGAGCCACTGGCGACGATACTTACCTCGATCGCGCTAAGGGGACACTGGGACGAGTTCGACTTCTTGGCGGATGACGTTCAGCAGTTCTCATGGGACGACAAGAGGGCTGGAGTCTTCGTGAGTTTCCTCTTATCCTTTATTATAGCCCTGGGGAAAAGCCTGTCTGCGGGGATTAGCGCCTCTATCATTAGTGGATGAAGAATCGAGCCTACATTATACCTTAGACTGAATAACCCACACGGTTATGGAGATTCATTTAACTAGATATGAGAACCATTTAAAAAATCCGCCGGAATTTACACATCACTAGTCACACATTTACACCCCTTCGTTTTGTAAATATGCAAGGAATAATATGGCATATATTACTATTATTTTTAGTTATATATTAGGAAGAAAAATTAAGTATATATATATTAGTACTGAGAAACAACACTTAAATGTATGGTAATGGAATGTGAAACGTAGTTCCTTTATATAATACTTTCATATTATCTACGTTTCGAAACGTAGTCTAAAATATGTATATGAAATAAGTACCTAACCGGCTAATCTGGGATGGGAAGACTCCCTTATTTAGACAAGTTCCCAACAGAAAGATTTTTTTTGGATTTAGTTCTGAAAGTGTGAAATCTTCTGCTGAAATGGGTCTTATAATTTCTCTCTCTCTCTCTCTTTATATATATATATATGTGTGTGTGTGTGTGTGTGTGTGTGTGTGTTGTGTGTGTGTGTGTTGTGTGTGTGTGTGTGTGTGTGTGTGTGTGTGTGTGTGTGATTATCATATAGAATATGTATCTTCATCATTACAGGCACTTCTCACCTTGCTGGATGGTTCTTCGGAGTACTCTGATCCCCTCGTCAAGTATCTGGACTGGTTGAAAACCACTGCCCCGTACACCCCTCAGGGTCTGGTCTTCCTCGACCAGTGGGGCGCAAACCGTCACGCTGCAAATGTTGCCTACATCTCTCTTTGGGTCGGTTATTTTCTGGTCTTCCAAGAAAACCATTAAAAATCTGTCACTAAATAACTGAAACTGAAGTTTTTGCGATAATTAGACATGATGCTTGTCAAATATAACGAAAACTTGAATAGCAGGACCTTCCTTGTATGTGCCAGTAAACTTGCTTCAGTGTTTCACCATTCTTTTTGCTCCTAATCTAGTGTTTAATTGAATATTTTTAGGCCGCCAAGCACGGCATTGATACAGCAGCCAACGAAGAATGGGCCAGAGGCCAGATCGGTCAGTTGTTGGGAGACAATCCTTTATACCAGTCCTTCGTGGTCGGCTTCGGTGAAAATCCTCCTCAGAGGCCCCACCATCGCTCCAGGTAATTTGTGTGAAATATTTGTAACTGATTTGGGGTATTTAAAATGTATACATGTTTTATAAGCATGAATTTGGGTCTGAAATATGTTACGAACACAGTCATGATTGGCTGCTTGATCAATTTAAGTCTACCAATTGGAGAATTGGGTTTTGGTGGAAGTCTCGATTTGAAAGCACGGCAGAAAATGGCTCAGCCAATAAGGCGGCAGCTAGAAAATATAGTTTACTGATTTGTTGTTCTAGCTGTGACCGAGTAATCTGATCTGTTACGACTGGCTGTTTTGACTTAACCAATCAAAAAGGGTTCTGCCTTGCGGTAGGTATGAGACGGGAGCTCCACACTTCGCTTTTTCTTGCGTCACAAGTCAGGCATCTCAGAGCCCCGTCAGGGCGAATGTGAAGCCTAGTGCGTACAACACCGGAATGCAGTGAATGTAATCATTAGTCTCAAGGAATTATGATGAAATCACCTGGTCCCCACCATAGGACTATTAATTGCAACTTTAATCATCGATCCTCCTTAGGAAACCAGTGACAGTTCATCATTTAATTGATACCTAAGTCAGGACATGGCTCTTGGAAAATGCATAACCTTCTAGCCTTAGGGGGTCAAAGGATATAAAAAGAGGTGTGCATCTCACTGCAAATATGCAGAGAGTTTAATTTAATATCTTCTTTAGGGATAAGGGTTACCTTGAATGGTGCTGAGCTGCTTGCTGCGGCCTGAATGACCCTCTTGTAGGTGATACGTTTTGAAGCCAGTTAATCAGCAAACCCAATGAGCAAACACTAGGACATATCTATTAGAAAACGTTTCGGGTCCTGGGACCTTGATCACCTTGATCAAGACCCAGGACCGAAACGTTTTCTAATAAATATGTCCTAGTGTTTTTTTCACGTGTTTTTCTAAAGCAGTTTATCGGTATTTACTACTAGGTTTATACCATAAACCAAGATTATCGTCTACTTATCGTCTATTTTCCCATCATCGACTAAGACATGTATGGCAGGAGACAAGAGTTTCTGATGTTATTGTTTTTTTTACCTCAGCTCCTGCCCGTCTCCTCCACAAACCTGCGACGGAATGATGACTTACGACGGCCCCAACCATCATGTCCTCTACGGTGCCCTTGTTGGTGGACCAGCACAGGTACGTCTTAGCACCTCACTTAACATACTGCCAGAAATCAAATCACGGGACGGGTGGGGGTTGAACCCGTCTTGGTATTACGATTTCGTGAGTAACAATGCAAGCTTAAGCATCAAACCTGACTCACGAAATCGTAATGACACGATTACAAACCATACCATGGGTGAGGTTAGAACCCTCAATCAAAGAGTCACAAACTTCAGACCGTCGCGTTAGCGGTCATTTCAGTAAGCGGCGTTAGTAATTTATAATGCATACTCAAATGCTACAAAAGGATCGCTTATACAGAAGCATCTAACATCATAGCTAGTGAGTGGGATTCAAAACCATGTTCTAACATTACAGTCACGAATGATATTTAAATGCCGAACTAATTCCATATATCTACAGTAATTTATAATTTCTGTTTAGTCCATGGCTTCGAGTCCAGCATATTAGCCATGTACTAAAATGCTTTTAGATGAATTAGACACAGGTGCAACACTTGGGTATCTTTGTGGAAACCTTTCGCCAAAGGGGCGAAACGTAGGCCTAATTTATCAACTTGGCCCGGTGGTCTGGTGGCTAAAGCTCCGCTTCACACACGGAGGGCCCGGGTTCGATTCCCGGCGGGTGGAAACATTTCGACACGTTTCCTTACACCTGTTGTCCTGTTCACCTAGCAGCAAATAGGTACCTGGGTGTTAGTCGACTGGTGTGGGTCGCATCCTGGGGGACAAGATTAAGGACCCCAATGGAAATAAGTTAGACAGTCCTCGATGACGCACTGACTTTCTTGGGTTATCCTGGGTGGCTAACCCTCCGGGGTTAAAAATCCGAACGAAATCTTATCTTATCTTATCTCTGAACTATTTATCTACAAAATACTTTTAGATGAAGTTATATAACATTATCATTTGTGGCAGAGTGATGATACGATTAAGAGGATAAATATAAAAAATCGCCTGATTAAGATAAGATTTCGTTCGGATTTTTAACCCCGGAGGGTTAGCCACCCAGGATAACCCAAGAAAGTCAGTGCGTCATCGAGGACTGTCTAACTTATTTCCATTGGGGTCCTTAATCTTGTCCCCCAGGATGCGACCCACACCAGTCGACTAACACCCAGGTACCTATTTGCTGCTAGGTGAACAGGACAACAGGTGTAAGGAAACGTGTCGAAATGTTTCCACCCGCCGGGAATCGAACCCGGGCCCTCCGTGTGTGAAGCGGGAACTTTAGCCACCAGGCCACCGGGCCACACCTGCCTAGTCAAAAAAAAATGGTTATTAGACAAATCTATAAATTAATGGTTTGAAATGTGAATAGGAATTTCTAACTAATTTTACCATTTAGCTTCATAAAAAATATTACTAAAAATACAAGAATTTTGGTGCTACTTTCGGAGTTATTTTTCTAACCCAAAATATTTTTCAATTTAGTTTTTTTTCTTAGATTTGACTGACGGAAAAAAGGCAGATAGGGAGAAAATTAACATATAATAACTGAAGGTGCAATTTACCATATTGCACAGAATAAAACTGAACTTTAAAACTGGATTATGATATTTTTCATCTGTTTTGAATATTTTTCACGATGTGGCGTCAATGGTTTAGAAAAAACCATTGAAGAACGAAACACTTGTGTGCAACATTAGTCCCAAATGTTGCACAAGCGTCCCAGTCTTCATTTTTCACATTGCATTTCTGTTTACCAAGTGTTTACCTCTCTCAGGACGGCACCTACAATGACGATCGTCAGGACTACCAGCACAACGAAGTAGCCTGCGACTACAACGCTGCCTACAGCGGTGCTCTGGCTGCTCTAATCGAGCTCAGCTAGAGTCCAAATGAGCCCGATGCCTTTTTTTTTCAAGCCGTGTGATATTCTTTGCGTTCTTGTAGCGGCAGTAATAAATGTAGCGGAATTTTTTGTATTTTTATTGCTGACCACAGAGGTACCGGAAAAGGCTTACAGAAATACCAAACAAAGGCTTACAGGGATACCAGAACAAAGGCTTACAGAGATTCCAGAAAAGGCTTTCAGAGATACCAAAGGCTTATAGGTACCAAAACAAAGGCTTACAGATACCAAGCAAAGGCTTACAGAAATACCAAACAAAGGCTTACAGTGATACCAAAGGCTAACAGATGTAATTAAAAGAATTTTACAGAGATAATTAAAAAAGGCAAACAGAAGTAACAAAAAAGGCTTACACATGTAATAAAGAGGTTTGTATAAGTCCCCACTGAGGGCCATTAAGACCACAGTGATGGGAGTAGTAGGGACGGATAGAGCGTTGATGAAGGTTGTACGTAAACATTACTAGATAGAACATTAAAATGGTATAAAATACCGACAGGTTGTTAGGTAAGACACATATGCAACAGTTAGGTATCTTTATTTCGAAACGTTTCGCCTACACAGTAGGCTTCTTCAGTCGAGTACAGAAAAGTTGATAGAAGCAGAAGAGACTTGAAGACGATGTAATCAGTCCATCACCCTTAAAGTTTTGAGGTGGTCAGTCCCTCAGTCTGGAGAAGAGCATTGTTCCATAGTCTGAAACAATATGGAGTTGAAGTGACAGGATGGAGCCTTATATAGCGCCAGGAGGTGAGACGTAGGTTACTTCTGCTTCTATCAACTTTTCTGTACTCGACTGAAGAAGCCTACTGTGTAGGCGAAACGTTTCGAAATAAAGATACCTAACTGTTGCATATGCGTCTTACCAAACAATCTGTCGGTATTTTATACCATTTTAATGTTCAATCTGTCAGACACTGCAACACAAGAGTATCTTGGTACAGACCTGCAATCAACTTCGACTACCTCTACTAGTGAGAACGGCTGGATTTGAGAGGGACCTGACCTCCCAACATCTGCGTTCTACTAGTGACCTACGTCTCACCTCCTGGCGCTATATAAGGCTCCATCCTGTCACTTCAACTCCATATTGTTTCAAACTTTGGAACAATGCTCTTCTCCAGACTGAGGGACTGACCACCTCAAAACTTTAATTAAGGGTGATGGACTGATTACATCGTCTTCAAGTCTCTTCTGCTTCTATCAACTTTTCTGTACTCGACTGAAGAAGCCTACTGTGTAGGCGAAACGTTTCGAAATAAAGATACCTAATTGTTGCATATGTGTCTTACCTAACATTACTAGATAGGTAAGGCAAAATGGCCTGACCACTATAGTCAGGTCATTTTAGTGACCTATAATCGTGGTACCTATGGTCAGGCCATTTTAGTGACCTATAATCGTGGTACCTATGGTCAGGCCATTTTAGTGACCTATAATCGTGGTACCTATGGTCAGGCCATTTTAGTGACCTATACCCGTGGTACCTATGGTCAAGCCGTTTTAGTGACCAATACTCGTGGTACCTAACTAGATCAGTAAACAAAGGTACCATTTCCTTGACTGGGGCCTTTTCATTAGAGAGAAATAAAGGTAAAATGCAGATTTGCTTAAAATTTAAGGTGTATTTAAGTGATTTTCCGGTTTTTATTGGGTATATTTAAACCCGATTAAACGGTTTTTGTCTTGGGTTTATTTAGAACCGTCTAAACTGTTTATCCCTTATCTTTACGGTGTTATTTAAACCCGATTAAACGGGTTATTTCTTGGACAATAAGGTCCTAACTTCACTGGGATACCATGATGCTGGTGACGAGCTCTTGATCAAAGGAACTGGAGGAACTGGTCGTGGACCGGGCCGCGGGGGCGCTGATCCCAGGAACACCCTCCAGGTATACACACACACCGGGTATACACACACACCGGGTATACACACACACCAGGTATACACACACACCAGCTATACACACACACCAGGTATACACACACCAGGTATACACACACACACCAGGCATACACACACACCAGGTATACACACACACCAGGTATACACACACACACCGGGTATACACACACACCAGGTATACACACACACCAGGTATACACACACACCAGGTATACACACACCAGGTATACACACACACACCAGGTATACACACACACCAGGTATACACACACCAGGTATACGCACACACACCAGGTATACACACACACCAGGTATACACACACCAGGTATACACACACACCAGGTATACACACACACACCAGGTATACACACACACCAGGTATACACACACACACACCAGGTATACACACACACCAGGTATACACGCACACCAGGTATACACACACACCAGGTATACACACACACCAGGTATACACACACACCAGGTATACACACACACCAGGTATACACACACACCAGGTATACACACACCAGGTATACACACACACCAGGTATACACACACACCAGGTATACACACACACCAGGTATACACACACACCAGGTATACACACACACACCAGGTATACACACACCAGGTATACACACACCAGGTATACACACACACCAGGTATACACACACACACACCAGGTATACACACACACCAGGTATACACACACACCAGGTATACACACACACCAGGTATACACACACACCAGGTATACACACACACCAGGTATACACACACCAGGTATACAAACACACCAGGTATACACACACAACAGCCTGGTTGATCAGGCTCTGATCCACCAGGAGGCCTGGTCACAGACCGGGCCGCGGGGGCGTTGACCCCCGGAACTCTCTCCAGGTAAACTCCAGGTAAACACACCAGGTATACACACACACCAGGTATACACACACACCAGGTATACACACACACCAGGTATACACACACACCAGGTATACACACACACCAGGTATACACACACACCAGGTATACACACACACACCAGGTATACACACACACCAGGCATTCACACACACCAGGTATACACACACACCAGGTATACACACACACCAGGTATACACGCACACCAGGTATACACACACACCAGGTATACACACACACCAGTATACACACACACCAAGTATACACACACACCAGGTATACACACACCAGGTGTACAAACACACCAGGTATACACACACACCAGGTATAACACACACACCAGGTATACACACACCAGGTATACACACACACCAGGCATACACACACACCAGGTATACACACACCAGGTATACACACACCAGGTATACACACACACCAGGTATACACACACACACACCAGGTATACACACACACCAGGTATACACACACACACCAGGTATACACACACACCAGGCATCACACACACACAGGTATACACACACTCCAGGTATACACGCACACCAGGTATACACACACCAGGTATACACACACACCAGGTATACACACACACCAGGTATACACACACCAGGTATACAAACACACCAGGTATACACACACACCAGGTATACACACACATCAGGTATACACACACACCAGGTATACACACACACCAGGCACACACACACACCAGGTATACACAACACCAGCATACACACACACCAGGCATACACACACACCAGGTATACACGCACACCAGGTATACACACACACCAGGTATACACACACACCAGGTATACACACACACCAGGTATACACACACCAGGTATACAAACACACCAGGTATACAAACACACCAGGTATACACACACACACAGGTATACACCACACACCAGGTATACAACACACACCAGGTATACACACACACCAGGTATACACACACACCAGGCATACACACACACCAGGTATACACACACACCAGGTATACACACACACACCAGGTATACACACACACCAGGCATACACACACACCAGGTATACACACACTCCAGGTATACACGCACACCAGGTATACACACACCAGGTATACACACACACCAGGTATACACACACACCAGGTATACACACACCAGGTATACAAACACACCAGGTATACACACACACCAGGTATACACACACATCAGGTATACACACACACCAGGTATACACACACACCAGGCATACACACACACCAGGTATACACACACACCAGGCATACACACACACCAGGCATACACACACACCAGGTATACACGCACACCAGGTATACACACACACCAGGTATACACACACACCAGGTATACACACACACCAGGTATACACACACCAGGTATACAAACACACCAGGTATACAAACACACCAGGTATACACACACACCAGGTATACACACACACCAGGTATACACACACACCAGGTATACACACACACCAGGTATACACACACACCAGGCATACACACACACCAGGTATACACACACACCAGGTATACATACACACCAGGTATACACACACACCAGGTATACACACACACCAGGTATACACACACACCAGGTATACACACACACCAGGTATACACACACACCAGGTATACACACACACCAGTATAACACACACACCAGGTATACACACACACCAGTATGCACACACACCAGGTATACACACACACCAGGTATACAACACACCAGGTATACACACACACCAGGTATACAAACACACCAGGTATACACACACACCAGGTATACACACACCAGGTATACACACACACCAGGTATACACGCACACCAGGTATACACACACACCAGGTATACCCTCCCTTCCTCAGGCCAAAACAATAATTTAAACCATAAACCACTTCTTTCATTTATTATTTAGAGTCAGGCAAGAATAAATTGCTTTTATTTCTTAAAACCTGACCCATTTGGTCTTCTTTGATGCAAACTCAGTGTCAACACTGAGGTCCGTGGTTCGATCCCCGGTGCGGGTGGCAACATAAGGTGTTTCCTTAAGACACCTGCTGTTCACTTAGCAGTAAGTAGGTACCTGGGTGTTAGTCGACTGGTGTGGGT